GATGAACATGACAAACGAAACAGGTAAAAAGAAAACAAATCTTCTTCGTCTTTCATTTATCATTCATTTTTGCTTCTTTGACTAGTACCAATGAGACAACACTTTGTCAAGTATGTGTCAGATTGTATAAGCTGAATAGAAGAAAGAAGCATCAATATTTTAGATGACAATAGCTAATCTTGACAAGCCAGCCGATGATGATGGTATTCTACTGGATGCACAACTTGAATGGGAACATGAAGAAGGTGAGTTGTCTAGTAGAAATAAAACAACATATCTATGACAGATGATATTCTAGCAAAAGTTATTCAAATGTATGTATGAACTTCTGCATATGAATTGAAGTGTTTGACTAACGACTCGTTTGATGTTTCCTCTATGCATCTCTCTTTTTTTCTCTTTGTTTGATGATTATGGTTCAACAAGTTTTGATCGTAATTTCCTTCTATTTAGGTATTGAACGTAGTCCAAAAGTCTACCGTAAATCCGACCGAGACCTACTAGATATTCTTCTGACACAATCTCCACATTCCGCATCTCCTCCGACATATATTCGCGTAACACAGTGTCCTGATTTCGAATGGGATTATTTGTTCGATTTTGCTCTATAGAAAAAAAGACCGGGTTCTTTTTCCCTCCATGTAGTTTTCATGTGAACAGTTGTCTTTTCTTCTAATTTGTCTGTACGATGTTTATTTTTTTCTCCTTTCTCTCCTATTCTCTTGTTCGACTCGTTATAATTAACTCTTCAAGATAGTGTTTTCATTTCTCACCGATAAAAACACACGTCTAGAGAAAACACTATCTTGTTTAACTGCAAATAAATTGAAAACGAATGTTATGGATGAAAATCTTCTCCGACAAGTCTCAGCCTACTACTAATTTGGATCAATTGCCATGCTAGACTAACTCAGTATACTTGTTTGAAAAAGAACAGATAAATGCAGTAGGTTATTCATGATATATGAAGAGAAAAAAGACCAAGGTTGTCTCAAGGATCTGTTATTATGCGAGTAGAATCGGTTGGAATCAAGGAGATTTTATAGAGACGTTTCAAGGCAAAATGCTAATCTCAAGTTCAGACGTCGATTCCTAAGGTTCAGCTTGTGCAATGCATTGAATTTCGATAGATAAACTCAGATGATGTTTATAAAGGTAATATGAGTAGGAATGCGAATGTATAGGTAGTAACATTGAAAATTTAGCAATTAAAATGAATGTTGTTGTGCGTGGAGTAATTACAAAGAGAGATTTTTTTACAAAGCTCTGTTGGACAATTTCCAATGGAGATATTCAAACTGAAAAGTCTATTCAATCGGTAAAATATATTTTGTTAATAAAAGAAAAGGAATAACATAATGATACTGAACGAGATTCGATTAGGAAAAAAAATGGATGCGAACAACGTTTTGTTTTTATAAAATAATTTGGTTTTTCGAACTTGAATCAAGTTCTTTATGTGGTAGAACAATTGCATTAAGAACAACAACTTCGCCTGGGATGGAAACATTATTACCTAAAGAGAAATCCATCAAGAATGTTTCGCTTTTTCGTCGTATATTTTCTTACCAATTACAGTGATAGATGGATGAAGTTTTCCATCGTGAAATAATGAATCTTTTTCAATTTTGGAAAATTGTCGATTAGGATCGGGATCTGCAATAAATCCGTTTCGCTTTCTCATTCTCTCTCTCTCTCTCTCAAGACTTCACTCACCATTCGGGGTGCCCTCAACACGACTCCATGGGCCAATGGTTGAATTCCATGCAATAATCGAATAAAGTACACAGCAATGATCCTAGATGAACAAATGTCGTTGATTGATGAGTATTTTAAACAAACGTTCATACTTGTAAAACACAACTGCCTAAAATAATCGATTCTCTTACACGAACGCCGTAACCAATTGTTACATCTTGACCAATCGATACATTTGGACCCAACTTTTCAATGACGATTAGAAATGCAATTTATTTCCTCGAATGTTTTCTTACCACAGCTGTTGGATCAACACATGCCGTTGGATGAATAAATACGTCGCCAATCTAAACAAAGCTCGTGCTTTCTACGACTTATTTTCGTGCAGGAAGTTCATACAATCGTCGGTGAATTAGGATTCACTTGCGCCGCTAAACGTTCCGGATGATACATTCGATAGATTTCGAGATAATGTCGATTAGCGTAGATAACCGAACTTCAAAAGAATCCAGTCATAAAACAATGTGTAAATTTTTTTCTGCGATACCTACCCTGGATTCTTTATTGCAGTCCAAAATCGATTTCCCATTGGAAAGACGTACAATTGACCAGTACCCTAGAATGACTATTGTTCATGTTAACCAATCTACTCGTTGAAACTCACGCCTAGCTTCGATAGGACATCCTTTTCTAAGCGAATATTTTCCCGAGCAAATCCGACGTCGTAACTTGGAAATGATGATGTGGTTTCACTAGAAGACAAAGCAGAATGGAACTGTTCGATGAGGGTGCACATTCAATCGGAAAAAAAACGAAGCATTCAATCATTCCATATCCGTTCGTCTTCTAAGAATTTTTCCATGTCATAGAAAAAGCATCAGAGAATTTCTTTTCGGTACTAAGAGGAAAGGAGTAACTAAGGAAAACATGCAATAAAGATAGATGATTCAGGTAGAAAATAACAACGTATATACTGATTTACTGAAAAATAGGCTGTGATTCACTAGAAGAAATAGAAAGGAAATACGTTCGAGCTTGGTAGAAGATTGATTTACTTGTAAATTTGTTGGTTATTTCGATAGGTTTCGGAGAGAATTTGAAATATCGTTTTCGAAAATAAATATACACCACAATTGATGGTTGTCGATACGAATGTCGATGGTTTTTCAACATAATGTTTCACTTCATGTGTTTCTTTATCCCACGCGATGCAACCGTAGTTCGTCGATTGTTTTTCAGTTGCCTGTCATGATAGAACATAGGGTTTCATTCGTATCTGCAATCACGAACTCACCTCAGTACCAAGAATAGTGAAGCCTTTGTCTCCGACATTTTCTCGATGAAATTGTAGCATTTCGACTAATGGTAGATCAGCACAGATATCGCCGTTAATAACGAAGAAAACGTCCTTATCCGATACATTCGATTTAATTATATCACGGAAGTGGTAAATTCCACCGCCAGTTCCTAACGATGCGTATTCTTGTAGATAACTATAATTGAAAAGCAACAGTTTCCGATTTTACTTAATAGATTCAGTTGAGTTTTACCGGATGGATATGTGGAACGTTTGTTGGACATTGGCAATGAAACGCGAGAGAGCTTCGTTTGGTTGGTAGCATCCAATGAGAAGAATTTCACGTAATTCACGTAACTATATTTCAATAGAATTTAAAGTTTTCTTCTTAAGTGTCACTGATTATCTCTCACTCTGGCACACGATTCGATCAGATGGTACAGAATCGGATGACCAGCAATTGGAAACAATGGTTTTGGGATCTCCAATGATAACGGGCGAAATCGGGTTCCTAATAGAATTTTGTCATTGAAAGAGTATTTTCGTTGAAAAGAACCTTCACTGTACCTTTTTGAGGACTACCGATAAGAATCACTGCTTTCAGCATGACGGAAAAATTCTACAAAAATCAAACGAAGACTTTTGAGATTTTAATCTATTATTTGTTTTCATATTTATTTATCAAATACTGGAGTCCATCGATAACAAGTCGACAAAAGAAAACCTTGTGTGGAATTGAATCTCAATGACTCATTGTCGTATTTTCCGTGTACCTATACGATTACTTGCCAACAAAATGATCGATTTTACTCGACACTTTCCTTCTCTTGTCATAAATTTATCCACCTATATGAGAAAACAAAACAAGATTATAAACATCTTCGATAGATGACGCTATTTTCTTCTCGAGTAAATCAAAACAAAATATATTCCGAAATCGAGGTTTTCTCCATGAAAATCCCTTCATTTATCCGTTGTCGACTTTCGAAAAATCGTTTTTCCTGAAAACTATCCCTGACATATGAACAGCCCAACGAAAAGCAAATCAAAAATAGTACACCGTATATATATAATATACACACCCAGACCATGCCCAGTCTACTGATTAAGTTTGCCTCGAACTAATTGCGATAAATCATTGTCTATCAGGTAAATCAGTAGTCCATCCTAGCGATTTACATTATATTCGAGAGAAAAAAGTGTGATTTGTCGTCTGAGTTAGCTGATTTCGCGTTAACCCGACGAAATGAAATCATACTTCATTCAAAAACAAACAGTATAACCAGTGAAAAGCGTCGCTGTGTAAACTCTACCATATCCAGAGGAAAGAAATTATTTCTGCTCGATAAGGACTGTTACTAGAAAGCAAAAGAAGCTTTTCCGTTTTTTTATATCGAGGAAATGTAATTAAACAGTTTAATTCATTTTCCATAATAATAGTCATCTTCTCATAACGTCCCTTAGAGAATGCTCAGATGCACCTGTAATCTTTATATATATATATATAATAAAGAAGGAATTATTCCATATTTAATTAAAGTTTAGCTGAAAAGAGAAGGAATGATTTATGATATATCATTCGTTGGATTAGACCGTTATAATTTAATTAAATCTACTGAGAGAAAAGGTCTTTTCCTTTTGAAAAATGATGACGTATCTTTCCTTTTTGTTTCGTCTGATTCACTCCTCCAACAGCATGAGAAACGTTGAAGATAAAAATCTTCCAAAACAAGTCCACCTCGTTTCTTCATTCCTTATCTTTAGTCTTGAGAATACATAAGTAAAGAATAGCTTCGACCATCTTTCTATTTCTTATTTGGTAACTCACCTCAAGTGTGCAAACCTGTTTTCTATAACTGTCAAATGCAATCCATCGTTTAGAAAATGTTTTACTACAACTGTCAACCAAGTTTCTCCATTTTCTGTTTATTGTCGATACAAAGCAGACAAGTTTGTCTACAACGACATTGATCATCGATTGCCTTCACATCATTAGTATTCCATGGATCAATAAAGTCAAGTCTGTTAAATGTTAAATATTCTGATGAAAATAGTATTCCTCTTAGGAGAAGATTAGTTTTCGAGATCCTCTGACTATTGTTTCACTCACTAGAGATCCATAAATATATGATGACATGTTGTGAATAGGTATAGCTTTTCCCATCGAAGGCTAGTAGAAACTTGATGGCTGTTCCTCTATTAAATTATGGAGTTATTGTACTATTACACCTGAATGGTCTTGTTAGAGGTTCTTTCTCCAGTCTAGGAGATAAGACGCATTCTTGACGACGATGTTTGAGTCACGCAGTATGGTTAGTATCAAGTTCATTATTTGACTTTTTTTTCTGTATGAGATGACGACGGTAGAAAAGAAAAACTACGAGAAGCAAAAAAACGCACGAGAAAAAGAGAGCAAAGACGCGTGCAAGTGTGTGAATCTCGTCTATTTCTTTCTTTTCTAGTCGTTCGTCATGATACTCGCAGTTTTTTCCTAGGTTGACGAGAAAGAAAACGAGCGAGAGAGAAAAGACTATACGCAAATGTTCAAGCGTGTTTAGTGGCGTTTATTAACCATCTCATATATTCATTAACTTACATTTTTTATTTCAAGTTCTTCTCAGTACAATCCAAAAAACAAAGAGTTTAGTTGTAACTAGTGTCGTTTTGTATCTCGGAATTTCTATTTTTGTTTTCTTCTCAATATTGCCTTGAGTTTTTTTTTGTCATCAACGGTTTTTTCGTTTCTGTATGTAGTACAAGCCTCTTTCTGTGTAGGATGAAGCATTAGTTTGACATAAACAACGAATCCTTTTCTTCGTTTTCGCATTCGATGCACCTTTTTCTCTTCCATTTCTATAACTATCATGAATGAATACAGAGCACGAGCGAAACATACCAGCAAGCACATGCTCTCAAGACCTTTCGTCTTACGGATGGAAAAAGAAGAAGAAGAAGAAGAAGAAGAAGAAGAAGGACGAGGAGAAGAAGAGTAGCGATGAGATTAAAACTTTCTTTTCAGATGATTTATTATCAAAGAAAAAGTCTCATTTCGAACAGAAGAGAACTACGATAAGTTCTTTCGACTAATACTGCTCAAGTTTTCTTTTTCATCAAACAATACTTTTGAACGAGCTCATTTAATAATCCCAAAAGACAATGCAGCAGTCGTTGTCGTAATGTTCGATGGAAACATATGTACGTATATGTCGGAAATCTTTCAACGGATTGAAAGATTTCTATCGTTTTAGTTGACGTAGCTGTACCGACGCAACAACGTCAGCCAAAGAAATTGTCATTCGAAGAAATGGGAAATGAGTTGCTCAATGCAATGCAGGGTACACTTATTTGTCTTGATAATCATCATATCATCGTTGATGTATCAAAAACAGTGAAGCAATATTTTGGTTTCGAAAAGGTTTGTTTGCACGAGATAAACGTCATTCGAGATGCCCTTCTCTTAATCTGATTTTCTAGACTGAAATCATCGGCCTATCAATCTTATTACTTGTCGAAGACACTGAAAGAGACCCCTTTTTCAAATTTCTCAATAGTATAGCTCAACGTAAGTAAAACCATCTCAACATCGACACTGAGTGTAAAGTTTCTGGTTCTGAATGTTGATAAATACGATCCCTTACGGATTATTAACTAGAAACGCATAATCCACGTTGGGTTAACACGGAAAAATCGTGACGAAGAACAATTGAATTAATTATATATATGAGTTAGAGAAAAAAACGAGAATATGTGGGTAGGATTTCCTAAAGGGCATCTTTCAAATTTTCTATGAATACAAATTCGCTCGTTATAGCAGAGCGTGGATTAGACCTCCTTGAATTCTTATGTTTATCAGTAGTCGGAAAACTGCGCTGTGTTCTCTTTCTAGCTAATGATGTACATTGCGTTCGTATGATGAATAGTATATCTGAATACCGACAAGTGAAAATCCAACGGAAGAGAAAAGTCAGACAAGACGCAATCGGTAAATCTTTCGACAATGATTGCATTTGTATCTTCAATATGCTTGTTAGATGTTCACTCAACAACACCAAGATACAGTAGTTCCATTGAAACCATTCTCGTGGTTACTTTAGAAGATTCCTCCTATATTGACATCACTCTCTATGATATTCATAAATCGGAATTCTACACCAAAATGAACTTAGTCGGTGAGATCATTTTGGAAGATCATCGCGGTGCTTTGATAACTGGCTACCTCCCACATGAACTGTACTCTCAATCAATCTTCAATTTTGTTTATCACGAAGATCGGCTAGTTAAATTACATGCGCTATGGAAATGTACGAAGGCAAACGTGAAATTCTATTACGAATGACTATCATGTTATCTTTAGGTGTAACAACTGGCTCTAGTAAGTTACAATGGCGCTTAAATGCACGTGATGGTTCATTAGTTTTCCTTCAAACTGAGTATAAACTGATATCCGACGAGAAAAATCATGATATCATTACCGCGCGAAATGAAGTTCTAAGGTATTTATAATCAATGTAGCAGCTAGATTAAATCGTTTCTGATGTCGTCTTAGTCCGGTACAAGTTTCTCAATTTGATGAATTGCAAACCGCATGGAAACATCAGTGTGCAGCTGATATCAAAGGAAATAGTTCATCTTTCAAAATAAGTATGTCGAGTGAATTCGTTTTCAGCAAACACGACAGAAAATAATATTCTTTCACTCATTGAACACCCCTTTTTAGTTTCATCATCTGATAGAGATGCAACACCGATATCAAATGGGGAATGTCGTATTTGTGTTCCTTCGCTGAATATGTGTTTTATAACAAGTAAACTACAGCCATTGAATTTACAAGGAAACATTTTCGATGCTTCGAAAACCACACGTCCGTTGACTATACAAGACTATATACACATACTGATCGATAATGACAAACAAACGGATGGTGAAATAGCAAATATGGTTAATAGTATTCAATTGTTAACTGCACGCTATCGACGTTTAAACGATATGGAAAGAAAGCCAAACGACTCTTCAGGTATCGGACAAATCATACAGTCTTGATTTGCGAATAAAAGTCGAATATGTTGTACATTTGTCATTGTTTTTACTTGTGTATATATCAATAATCCCTAACTTTATTTTCTCCTTTGTAATTCATTTGTTTTTCTCTGTTTTTAAATAGATGTATCAACTGATGAGAAATTTCAATCGGATTCTTTATCATCTTTTACTGAACCATTTTCTCGACGGAAAAATGATTCCGATTCTATCGTACGCGGAATACTGAATAATTCCGCGAAATACAATCATGAAAATCAATCCGGTTTGTATTTGCGAAACGAAAAGAAATAAAAAAAATCTCCCCCCCCCCCCTCCCTCCCCCGCCTCACATTTCAGGCGATTCAGCAACAACGGCGATTAATCGGCTTCTCCATACCAACGGGAGTAATCTGCCCAATGGTAGTACAAGATCATCAACAGCAGCGACGACAGGTCATGTTCACCCAAACCAATCGAAGGTTGGTAGAAATCAATTTGATAAATTGTCATCTATTTGTTTATCGATAACCTAGCCACATTCAGCATCACATAATTCGGAAAGTCTTTATCAACAGCATGTCGATTTCTTGAGAAAATATAAAGCAGGTTTGTTCATTGTTTCACTGGAATTCTCTCATATGATTATATCCTGGAGACATTAGCCAAATATATGAATGCTATGTAATTTGTTGTCTAGCGAAAGTCAAATTAGAATCTCAATTAGAACTTCATCGCAGTCAAGACGGAATGAAATCTAACCAAACAAGTGATGTGGCGAAACGAGTATGAGATAAATCCATGAAATCAATTGCCTATTTCTTGTTGGATAGAATGCAACATTGAGCAAATTGTCTCAATTAGAAATTATCAAAACTAAACATCTAGCACGTCTACACGATGGTCAACGACATGTAACCACAACTGCGGTTCCTGTAAATAACAACGAGCAAAAAGATTTCTTGAACAGCCTCTTTTCTTCATCGCCTAACTCCAATGGACTACTGTCAACAGACAATACATCCTTACCATCACCGTTGTTTCCTTCAACTAACGAGCAATCACCATCCTACTCTTCAAATTTTCAATATCAGCGAAGCTCCTCTCAACAATTTGATTCGAGACAATCGCCGGCATACATAGATGTTAAAACTCCGTTCTTCGATGAATTGTCCATACCACCACCACCTCCACCACCACCTCCATCATCATCTTCTTACATACCAGTGAATAACACATCAACATACGTGAATCTTACATCGAACGATCCAATAAATTCTTCATTCTTCTCTAATCAACCGCAACATCCAGCCTATCGTTACTGAATGTATTGTTCATGTACAGTTTTGTGTTTCTCAATCAACTGTGATTTATTTTCATTTCTTTTTATTTGTCGTATATTGGATAGTTTTCTTCGTTTGTTTTGTAACTAACTTGCTAGTTACCTTGTTCATACTTATTGTTGCTCAACTGGAAATGCAGAAGTCGGAGACGTGCAAGACTAAACCAAGACCCACAAGTTTAATGTACAGATAGAAGAGAAAGGGAAAACATGTTTTGAATGTTTATGTAATTTCAGTTTTGTTTTCTTGTACGATTATCTCTAAATGTTGTTTGTCTGCAATAGGTTTCATCTTGCTGAACAGTGTTTTGTGAAACTAGTTTCTTTCTATTCGTACCAATGTATCTTTTTTTGTTGATTTTCTTTCAATGAACAGCATCAGATATACAGAAAACCATTCGAAACGTTACTTTATGCTTTTCTCGATTAACTATCGTGCGATATTCTGTTTATTCGTTTTTCATGCTTCGATTTTTCGATTATCCACGCCTCGAATTTCCCGTCGACATTGAAAAAAGAACCGCACAGATAAGATGATTGTTTAGCATATACTTGTGATATATAACAAAAATGACATTCACACAAAAGACCAAAGTGTTTGCTAGTAGGAAGAAGTTGACGCGACATGCGCATTGAATGAAGATTTTTTTTATCAATATATAAGTAAATAATCATATATTAACGAGAGAACAATTTCTCATTTACAGAAAGAAAAAGGAAGAAGAAGCAAGTGATGAAAGTAAATAGTAACCCATCGAGAAAAAAAACACATATTCGACTAACCGTTTATCTTCAACGTAACCTTGACTAATCTTGCTTTTACTTTTTTTTTCTTTCTGTCTTTCTCTTTCTTCATGTTTTACATTTCTTCGTGTTTTGATAACGAATATTTGTCAATAAATACGAAATCGAACGAAAAAACTCAACTCACTATGGCAGAATATTTAATACGATAATATATTCCGATTATTTATCGATGTGTTGTATACATATGTTCTAAACACAAAGAGTAAGCATCGGCTGTCTAGGATTTTTCTTCATCGACGGTATATTCAATCAGATTTCTTATGACATCACGTCAAGATTTTCTTTTCATCTTTCTTTTGCTGCAGACAAAAGAACTACTTCATATATACGTGGTACTCCTTCGATATCTACGACGTACAATGTTGAGATGTTACGTACGTAAACAAAACGTGTTTGAAAATAATTGATTATATCATCGACAAGTTGAAGCTCGTCTCGAATTTCATTTTCAAACAAAAGAACTCGTTCTTTTCTTGATTGGAAATATTGGTTTGGTAAGAAAATCCTCTTTTCGTTAGTTATCTTATTACACGCACGATGAATATCGACAAAACTCTCTATCAATCAAATGATTGCCTTCTTATCTTTATTTCCATAGAATCAATCTATTACCTGATACGCTCTGTTTGTGATCAGAACTGGCAGAGTTAAGAATAAAGAACGAATAGTATCTATCAGAACGATTAAAACATCATTTATCTTCCTGTTCTTTTCGAAAACAAAGAGTTTGCAAAGAACTTTTTCTCAGCACTAACCGAACGATAGATGTCGCCCGAATTTTCCGTTCGAAAACTATCGATTTCGATCTGTTTCTTTTACAATTCATATTCGATCGTACGCGAATTTCCCATACTGAAAAGAAAAGACATTCTCCGTGAAAGATTTCAATCACATAGACTGTAGCGTTGCCACCTTCGTTCTACGAGATGAGATGAGAGGACGAACATATTATCGATGGCTGTAATGAATGAATGACGATTGTGTACATCTGTATACAGTCACTATATTGCAATCTGAAAAAGCAAAATTTATTCTCAATAGCAAATCACACTGTCCGACTGATTAATACTCATTTGCTCGAAATGAATTAGTCGAAAATCTTGTTATTCTCTTTTTTTTCTAGATTTATTTCATGAGGAATAAATTCTCGAACTTCAGCGAACAAGAAAATAGTCTTATTTATTATTTACAAGTGTTTTTAACTCTTCTTTCCTCATCGTGGACTCATTCGTTCTTAATCAATCCATCAAATCATCATTATGTCCAATCTGCCACTACAATCAGCAGTGAATCATAATGATGATAATGATGAACAGATCACCCCTTCAACAAATAAACTCTCGACACTTAATAGTCGAATAACGTCACCATTGATTATCAAACGACAGCAAAATATCGAAACCGAAACAGCAAATAACCAAGCATATGATGAAATACACGACTTACAGCCAAGACATTCCTCAATCAAAAAGTTCGTCATCCTTATTTCATATTTCGTACATCATAATCGTCTTTTTTTAGAACAAATAACGATAATTCAAAACAACGCTATCAATCAAAATCGAATAGTTCTCACGATTTAATGCAGGGCAACTATTATGATCCAACGCGATATGATGTCATTTCTTCGTCAAATCATCTCTCTCATCCACAATCAATTCACATCAACATTGATGAATATAAAAAAGTAAGATATCCTACAAGAGCTTCAATTCAGTTCTTTGCTTCTCAATATCACTGACAATAGAACGAATGACATTGATGCACACAAGAGTATCGCTCATTGACCGTTTTGTGAGAGAATACGACCGATCTATTGTTATTGTCTGCCTGAATGTGCCTTGGCTTTCTTCTTTTCTTCTTGCTAATATCGATGCACAGAGAGGTACATTGAGTCGGTACATATACACCTGCATATCGATATGACAGCAGCTTGTGCGTTACTAAGCTATAGAAGGGCAAATAACAATGATGTGTTCTTCTCTTTTCTTTCGTATATCTTATACTTTTCTTTTTAGACGATTACTCCTAATTCGACAAGCAAAGCTAATAGTAACAAGACTCGTTCAACTTCACCACCATTTGGTCATACAAGTGAATCAATTCAACAAGGCATCGCTCAAAGTGCTGGCATACTTCTCGAATTGAATAAAAAACAACATCAGCAGAAGAGCTCGATGAAAACTAATTATCAGTCTCATGATCGAACAACACTGGATAGTTATCTATTGAATGAAAATGAAACCAAGAAACAACGTTCAGTGTCGGCATCGTCATCAGCGTCCGATTGTTCCACATCAGATTCTTCATCATCAAATAAACGTGATGATGCTTGCGAGAAATCAAACATTCCCTATAAGACATTAACCAATGATGAAAACGAAGATAATGAAGTCTTAAGCGAACAAACAGAAAAGCCTGCAACAGAATCCACATTCTTAAATAAGAATTACTCTCAGACTTATGGTACTCAATCTATCAGTGAACGTAGTAAATATCTGCCTAACAATGGCTACAATTCGCATGGTTCGTCAATAACAACGAAGTCTTCATCAGATAATAGTGGAAGTATACGTACGAATTCCGGTTCAGATAACGATGAGGAATCCGACGAAGAACCTTTTAATAACTCATCGATATCAAATAATTCAAATTCGACATCATCAAAATGCGTACGTGAAAACGATAGACGAAAAACACATTCATCAACTTAATTTCTGTTCTAGATAAACAAACCCAATGATATTCGTTATTCATATTCAAGTATGAACTAATTTTCTTCTTCATTTCATTGTATATAAGAAAAACGATCTAACTACCTTTGCATTTTTGTTAGGTGGACAAAATAGTTATCAGTCACGACGAACGAATAATAGTCGTTCGGAACAAATTGGTAATAATGATGAACATCATTTACAAGTACCTCGTTTTAAACAACTTCCTAATGATGGTAGGTTTTGCCTATTTACTTCGTCTTTTTTTTCGACATAAAACGACAAATCATTTTTTTTTCATGTTTCTCTTCGTACTTATGATCAATTGACTAGAGAGTAATTTCAGACGATTTTTAAATACCTCGACGATGAACTGCACACACACACGTATGTGTGTGCATGTGTGTATTTAAACGCTAAATCATACTCTTGTTTTCATATAATAGAAATCGACGCAAAAGATAGGCGGAGAAGAAGTAGTAGTAGTAGAAAAAAAAGAACGAATCAAGCGAAAAATACTAAATTGCACAAATGTACTACACTCTTCATATTACTACCATCCTTTTCTTCTTTCTTTCTTTCTTTCTTTCTCCTTCTCCTAAGTAACGACCTACCGCCTGACTAGTAGCCGTGTCGCTCCTCTCTTTCTCTCTCTCCCCTCCCTCTTATCTCATTTTCGAATATGATTATCACTCCTTCAACATAATCACTATCCTCTCCATACATAAAACATATCGATTCAAATCATCTTTATCCATTTAACAATCATTATCATTATGATCATTGTTGCATTCACGTGGATCTCGACTCGATTGTGTCAGATATAGACAAAACATGGCCGCGGCCATCAATAATGTATTTATACTATAAACTATCCGAAAATCTCGTTTATATTCCACATAGCGGTAAGAATATCAGCGAAGACAAACGCAACTTTCTCTCAAAACCGTTTTTCTCTTCTTTCTCATAACAGGAAGTAGAATAGCAATTTGCTAATTTCTCTTTTTTCTTTCTCTCTCTCCTCCATAGACCCAAGCGGCAATAAAACTCTCAGTAAATTAAATTCTGGCACTGATCATACCACACTTCCCAATACATCAACGTGGCCTTTACAACAATCATCTGTTAATCAAATCAATAGTTTATCATCATCATCATCTAGTCATCAAAATCGGTAAACTACATCAGATTCGAAACGAGCCGAATATCTGTTATTTGAATTATTCTTAGAAATCTTGTCGATCGTCAAGAACAACAACAATACCAATCCAATTCATCTCGAAATAATTCTCGTCAACATCAGATTCGCACAACAAAAAAACGAAAACAAGTAAATAGTCTGACTTTTATTTGAATATTTATACAAGATCGTATGTTCTTGTTAAGTCTCAACAGCAAGAAACAATTCGCACTGAGTTGATACCTGGACATCGTGGTAACCTTGATGTCGATGAATTGGTCATGTTCATTGATGGAAATCCATCAAAACGAGGACAAAATTCATCATCGCTGAACTCAACCGATGCAAACAAACCGAAATTGAATACGTTAAATGACTCCAATAGTAATAAAACAGCACCTCGAAAAAAATCTCGGAAGACCACAAAGAGTCTTCAACAACCCATTTCGGTAACAGACGATTATGAAAATGAAATATCCACATCGGTTACATTCAACCAATCCCATTCGGAAGCGAACTACGTGGATAATGAAAGCAATCTAACTACACATTCAATTGTTGATATAACCAATCAGTCCTTAGAAGACAGAACTGTATCAACAACAAATAATAATGAATACCGATCAGATATAACTAATATTACGGCAGTAGCTATGACTGTAAGAAAAATGCTTTTCATTTTTTGTTTCAAAATAATCTTCGTTTCTTGTAGAATGGCGTCAATTCATTACCGAATTGGTTTGAACAAACTCGTGATATATGTTCGCCAAATGACGATAGCAATTCGCTTCATTTGTCATCTACGATGACTAATCGTTCGAACAGTGAACCTATTTCTGAACCGTTTGTAACTGTAACACATCGTCGTCGTTTGCTTAAAGAACGCCGCCAAGACAATAATTCTTCATCGATACGTTCATCCGGTTTACCACTGCAGCCAGTAGCACCATCACAATTCTCGTCGTTTTCGAACAACAATAGTGATAAGCGACGCATATCATGCGCGAAACATAATGGAACGCAACGTACGGCTGCACAATCAAATCATTCGAATAATAAATCTATCAACACATCAACATCGATAGAAGAAAATAAAAACAACAATAATATTGGCAATATCAACGCAGTCCTTTCTGAACCTGCATCTCAACAATCTCCATCATTATCATCTTTGACCAGTAATCCTGTTCCAGAGTCAACGTCAGAAAAGCGACAATCATCTCCTCGTCTCTCATCTCAATCATCGTCATCATCGTTATCATCACTAATAAAGCGCCCATCAAAACCTCCACCTGTTGTCTTTCTAAATAAGTCTGCCGGCGTGGAACTGAACGATGTTTCATTTGGCTTCGATCTTGATTCAACATCATTGAATAAATCGCTGGATGAAACAAACGAAAAATCTTCGACAGATCATATTGATGCTGAGTCGACGAATGCATCTATGCCATCAACGGTCGGATTCAATCAATTTACAGACCCAGGAACCGAGAAGTCGACTCGAAAATTTCAACCACGATTTTACCGTGGTCTGCAATTCTATTCAGGTTCTGATATTCGTCCGCATCATCATCGTGCTTATCCGTCTCAGCAATTACCATCCCAACCATCTTACGTTGATCCTCTCGTGCTACTTAACTACAACCAACAACGTCTACCATCTTATACCCATCCATTGACATGTATGAATCTAATGCGAGGATCGTACGTGTTGCCTCAATCTCAATATGTGTATCTTCCAACTACTCTGACGAACTCGAGCACAGTACCAACAACGGCAACAAACGAAACTAATGGCGATGAAGAAGCCAATCAAACATCATCTGAATCAATTCCTGAACCATTAGTTGTCATTGCAGCACCGCCAGCATCAATGTATTATCATACATTAATGAATAAAAAACTCTACATTGATTCAGATCAGCAACAAACACCACAAGCGACTCCAATTTCAAGTATATATCCGGCAGTTCCTCCTGTTTATCCCGCAAACTATTTCTATCCCACACATGCACCACATTTGCTTCCATCACACCCGGCTTACTTTCAGCCAATCACGTCACCTTCATTGTTAATTGATACGAAGTTCGAACCAAATGATATCGATGGTATTGAAGTCAACGATGACGATTATGAGAAATCAACAAAACTCTACTCACAAGCACGGCAACAATCATCATCAGATATTATGTCGAATGCTTTACAACTTGTCTACAGTCAACAGCGACGAAATGCTCAAACGGATCGTTTTAATCTCGATGACCTAACAGCTTACTTAGCTATGAAATGGACAGAGACCGTTGATCACTATGAGCAAGGTGAGAGTTCATTACGTATATATAAGACAATGCTCTCTATTCAGAAAAAGAACAGTTGTAGAAACAAAATATAGTTTTGATTTTATTTTAGGCGATAATCGAATTTTGTTAGTTGATGAATGATGATATAACAAGATTTATCGAACAAAACCAAAACCTATTCGAATTCTTTCTATCCACTCTTCCATATCCTGATGTGTTCCTTTCATGTGTACGAATATGTTTTTCGTTCTTTTGTTTTTTGTATCGACGATGAACTAAAAGCTCAAACACAAACTTGTTCTCCTGCGACGTGCAACTTTAGTCCTTTTCCTTTTTTCATGTATAAAAGCAAACAGAAAAAAAAACAATTGTGTTTTTGTTTGTTAACATCTTCTCTTCTCATGTGTTTGTTTTGTTCATTTTTTACATTACAAGTAGTATGTGTGTTCTTTTCTTTTCATTTTTTTTTCATTTCTCCTGCTGCTGCTGGTGTTGCTGTTGTGTTCCCAATGTGATACAAAGTTTATCTCTTCGCTTATTCATTCGTGTACTATGTACTGTTTTCACAGAAGACTCCTGAGAAGTATCTTTTGTTGTACAATGAAAATTCTTCGGATCGAATCATATTTCAACTCACCGAGAACAACAGTATTTTCTATCGATGATAAAAAATACGAAAATCTAGATTTCGTTTTTCCCTTTCCTTGTGCTGTTCTTTTGGTTTCATTTGCTTACGTCGTGTTTCTTCTTATTTTGGCCGAGTGATATATTTATGGGTGTGGTGTCTTTTTTTGCTGTATACGCTGGCGTTTTTCTCTTCTCAAAACTAAGCTTTAAAAAGAAAACTCGTGAGGATGAGTTGAGGAAATTATAAAAATCAGTGGAGAAGCAAACTATTCGTGTAGGTTGAGTTTATTCATGACATAATTACTAAATCAGGCAACAATAGCAAAATCTATGCTACAAAGAGCTTCCATATAAGCGCAGTTTGATGTTCATTTCCTGGCTACCATATCATATTTGGCACTGATCTATCTGTGGATTTGATTTGTTTTTCTCTTCGTTTGTCTCCTTTTGAAACTATGAATGTACTTTATTTACTCGTTTTCTGGTGCGTGCGTGTGTGTGCTGTTCTGTACGCGCTCCTGTAAATTCTGCGCTTTCAACAGCCTTTTCTCATCGGTCATCGCTTTGATTGTTATACTGCTGCTACTTGATTCTTGCTTTCTCTATATAAATACATGATTTTCCCTTTGATTCATTTCGTTTCTTGTGTTTTGCTCTTACTTTTATCTTCGCTCAATCTTTCTCATCCTATATACATATATACACTTTTCCCAAACTCTATTTTGAACAACATCCAGGCAAAATAAAACAAACTAACGATAAAATACATGCATTTTTTATCATTCTTAAAGCCTTCTTTGTGACTATCTGTGATCAGTCCAACTTAAATTTGTTCTACACTGTAAAATATGTTCGAAAAAAACCCAGAAACAATCGAATAAGTAAGGATTCTAATAACTCGCCGCCCAGTCGGAGTGATTACTCATCCATGTCGTATTTATACATTCCCCAGTAAAAAATTGGACCGATATATACAAACAATAATGACGAAAGTTACGTTTGGTTTTGGGGAAACCTTTTCATGCGCGAATAAAAATGAAAAGAATATAATGGAAATTAGAGAAAATATTAAAAGCATATATTTAGCAGTCGGTAATACTTCTCCGCGCTGGTTAAAAACCCCACAAAATCGTGTCTATGACAGTATATAAGATGGTAGTGTGTAAGCCATATTTCCACATATCTTAGCATTCATCTACTCGTACGACAACGCTTTCGTTTTTAGTTTTACTTTTCACAAACTCTGTTCTTCATTTTCAATCAAGTGACACGAATTTGTCCGTCCAAAAGTCATGTCAACAACACTTACAAGCTTGCGAAGAAGTTACAATGAACACAAAGGATCTCTCTATTTCTGGGATTGGGATGAACGAAGAGGATATACCATTGAACAAGATCAACTTGTTGAAGATTTCGAATCCATTACAAACGATTCAGATGAGAAGATCATTCAAGTTACCATCTACAAAACGCCGTTAAGTACTTGGCAGCTAACGCAAGCGGTTCTGTATCACGCATTCGTGGTACTTGAAACGGAAAACTGGTATTATTCATTGGAAATATCGGAGAAGTGCGTTACAATGCAGCGGTCAAAATCCAAGGAAGACGTCCGCGATTCTTATCCTCGCGAAAGACTTCGAAATGTTCTTCGTGGGGATACACCGGAACGCATCAGGAGAGCCAAGGGCAAAAAGACAATGAGCGAAGTGATGAAATACATCGTAGACAATGAAATACTCGACCGAAACTACGAAGTGCTCGTAGACGATGGTCAGAACTGTCAAACCTTCGCTAATAGTATCTTCCGTCACTTCACCAAACTCTAAGAAGTCATGGAATCAATGGACAGCGAGGATAAAATTCTAATCAAGACGTGCTATTTACTTCGAAATGTAACCCCATCGATTTTTCTAATGTGTCATATTCATATAATAAACTCGAGCACGAAATAAAGCTATTTTTTTTGTCGCTATTTGTTTTTCTTCAACCGAAAGCGAGTGAAGCAAATCATGCATGTAGCCCCATCGATCGCTTTTCAACAACAATCGGACATCTAGTAAAACTTGATAATAGAAAGAAAATCTATGACCAAGAGGTTGTTCATGATACAAATACATTTGCCAGAGTACGAAAAATGCGATTATTTACTTATTATCTCAGAGTTACTATATGCGAATGTTTCATTTTCAATAGGAAGTACCTTGCTCGACTCTACTACAATTTCCAAATGACCTCTTCACGCATCAGGCGAAGTCCATTGTATTGAATATCTTGAGTTTTCCCAGTACTGCCGATTGTCATAAAACGAAAAGTTTCATCTCAGTAATGTATATTTAATGTAGTAGAAAAAAAAACTGTCGAGTATATGTATTGAATGAATGCATATACCAGTGACGGATACACACGCACACACAAATGTATAAAGAAACATGTACATGAAAGAAGAGTATTGTTAAGATTCCATCATGGAAAATCGTGCACGCGCTACTTTTCGTACAGCATCTTTGTATGATTCACCCGGTTGAGGTCGATAACGGCCATATTGATCGGCTCCAAGACCAGCTCCACTTTGTCTCATTTCCGCCTGCAAGTAATAGGAAATATTGTGATAAATACAGTCAGTTTTTGTTATAATTCAATTCAAAGATGTATATACCTCGACAGGAGCAGCACGTCCTTGTAGTTTTTTGCCTAAACCATGTCCTTCTTGCCAGCCATGCTTTTTCAACAACTTGGAACCGATACCACTATCGAACGATGACGATGACGACGATGACGATGGTGCTGATGCCATAGGTGCTGTTGTAGACGAAGGAGGTGGATCTATGAAACGAAAAAATAAAGTAAAAAGATTTATCTCAAAACGTTTAACTTTACGGTAGGATGGTACTCGTCGCGACGGAGGTGCATGGGTTCGTTCATGTACAGGTGAATAATCATTTCGTTTCGCTGAATCTTCCGTACCGAACTTTTCTCGACGTTCTTTCGCACGATCACGATAGACAAGCTAAATGGATAAAATATGATAAAGCTTGTACGAAAAATCTTCTCAATCAAATACTTACTGGCTGTGATCGAACGATGCCCGCTTTTGCCAAATTTTCCTACAAAAAAAAGTTTATATGTCCAGTAAAATCGGATGGAAAAATTTACTTACTTTGTGTAGATTTGACATTTGCAGATGTTTCTCAAGTACTTCACGCGTATCGAACTGTCTTTGACATAGAAGACATGCTAGTTTACTCCAATCGACTAACTTCTCTTCGCTGGCATCGAGAATATTCGTACTACCAGTTGCGGTTGTGGATGGTTTAACCGTACTTTCATCGTTGTCATCGGAATCTGGATTATCAAATGCTGCTAAAAGGGTTGGCCGATTTGTGCTAGATGCGCCACTACTTGATGGCATTAAATTCAATGAGATTAAACCACCAGTTGATCGAGTAGATAGAAGACCAACATCTGCAAAAGTGGATGATGATGATGATGACGACGTTGTTCCACTAGCATTGGTGTTTAGAGTAGATGTAGAATCTCCAGTGCTTGTTGTTGAAGGTGCAGTAGCAGCAGACAGTTGAGCTTTACGTTTGGCTTCTTTCTCCTTCTTTTCACGCTCCTTCTTAGCCCAGAGTTCCATTTCCTTGGAAAACAAATAATCAATAGATAAACAGATCGTTTTCAGTAGATGTACATACCTTGGCGACTTTTTGAGCATTTTTAGCTTTTTCTACTTTATCATTTGTCTCGGTTGCTACCGCATTCGTCGTGTCTTGAGATACAGCAGTTACAGTATCTTCAACAGGGACGTAGGTCGCTTGTGCTGGATCCCAATACATATATTTTTGTGTTGTTGGATTATAGAAATATGACGACTTCGCGTCGAAATAGAAGCCTGTCGTTCGATCAAAATGGTAACCAACTTCTGGAAACCATTCGAATTTAGATGGATCTGGCGTTGTATATTGTTCGAGCTCATTCGTGCTTGTTTTGGTTGAACGCTGACGTTTACTTTGCTGATTCGACGACGAGTCGCTTGATTCATCACTACTTGAATGATTTCGACGACGTTGTTGGCGATTCTTTTGAGCATGAATATTCTGCAATGCTTGCTGAGCTATTTCCGCAGCCGTATTCGTACGATCGACTAGAAAAGTCATTCATGAAAGTGTTAGCAAGTATTATATGCCCTACTGTTATTTGACGGAAGTAATTGCGCAACATTGGATGACCGATCCTAAGCACATCAATGAAAGATAGTTATATTGCACAGCGAAGCAAATTAGGTTTACATTATCGTGATCATGGCGGTGACGATGTCGAGATGATCGTTTTGTGTAAAAGTCTTCATCTTCATCTTGAATTTGTGCTAGTCTAGAGGAAATTGACTTTAGGGAGAGGAAGTTTTCACGGTTTAGAAAGAAAACGTACGATGTTGCGAAGTTGTTTTTGGAAAAATGAGCAATCACAGCTTTGCCTTCGATTTCTACTCCAGGTGTTGTTGTTTGTAATTTTTCATAAACTAATACCGACTCCTTTGAACGAAGAACGAAATAGTTGTCTCGTCTAATCTATGTACGTTTCAGTAAAGTTACGTGTATGGAATTGTACTCAACAAAAGCAAAACCACGTGAAACACCGGTATAATTATCTTTGACAATTGCGATATTTTTCATTTGTACATATGTTAATTCAAGTAATTTGGCTTCGATTGTTTCTTTTGTAGTTAATATATCCAAACCTCGTAATACCAATGCTGAAATAATTCAATAGAGAAATCGTTTCGAGAATAACATTTGACTTACTATTGCATGGGTTTAATCCAACAAACGAAAATCCGTCAAGATCTCGTGTTCGTTCCGAGTCTATAAGAAATTCCAGAAAAACGCTTTTTTAATCTATTCTTTTTCATAATTCATCTTTGTCTCTTTGTTTTCTTCATTGGTTTGTTCTTATTATCTTTCTCACATACCTTCACGCGATATATGACAATTAAAACAATGATCACGTCGTTTAAAATTTTGTACACCGCACTGAAACAAGCAAAAATAATCAATATTGAAGGATGTTGACTTTCTCTCTCTCTCTTTACTTTATAGCAATCCCAATCGCGTAAACGTAATTCATTCGCTGCCGATCGTTGATAATCTCGATGAGTATTGCTGTTGTTACTTTTGTTATTGTTCGATGAGAAATCGTCGTCGCTGCGATGCGCCAGTGTAACGGGATGATCGTTGAGAAGAAATGTACCCTGAATGAAAATCAACATTAGGGATTGGATTTGAATGTCCAAATAAATTCTCGACGAATATTTATAAATAGGTAGATATATAGATCTTGCCGTCCATCGTATCAGACGACACTCCCACCAATAGATGAAAACAAGAATGGTGGAATAGATTTCTTTTTAGAGTTTGTTTGAACCTGCGTTAAAGTCATCCATTGCTCAGCTTCTTGAATTGTATTGAATTCCACATATGCCGTTTGGAGATTTGTTGCTACGAAGATTGAAGTGCATTTTCAAATCAGCGAGAGAATAAGATTAAAACTTACCAGGGTCTCTTCGATGAATGATACGAATTTCTTGAACAGGCACTTTAGCAATCGACAGTTCTGAGAGGAGCTAGAAGATAGAAGATTATTAGCGTCACTCGTTCAAATTGATAGATTAAGATAAAGGAGAAGTTTATCATGTCTAGTATTTGAGTTTAAATATAACACTCCCTGTAACATAATTTTCAAATACCAAACGGATCAGTCGTCTGATGAAAAACATGATTTATCGCATTGCTCAAATTCATCCTTGAGAAGTTCGTAAATATTTCCTATCCCTTAACAGCAGAGGAGGCCCAATAACAAAATCTCACCTCATGTTCATCGTAAGTTAAAGGAATGTTATGCATAATTATTGTATTGGTGAGTTTTGGTTCATGTTCTTCAGTCTAAAATCGAAAATTCTCATATGACATTTCTGCGTACGAAATTTTTAATAATGATAGAACAAAACAATTGTTTACCGAATGTCGTCGTTTTCTATCTCGGCTCTTACTACGAGTTGACGAGCTATGACTTGAACTAGCTGATGAGTGTCGTCGCTGGCGACGTTGCTGTGTTTCTTGCTGTTTATGTCTTCTTCGTCGGTCACCTTCACTCGACGACGAACGAGAATAGGAACGATGGTGTTTCGATTTTGATTTGTTGGATGATCGGTGGCGACTGTGATAGTCCGAGTCGGAATCGGACTGCACAGGGTCGAGCGGATGTCGATGATGATGGCGTCGAGAACTTCCACTCTGATGGCGACGTGATTTCTTTTCTTGTGAAGTCGATCTTAGAGAAAAGGTCAGATAAAGGTTAATTAATGAAATAACAAAGAATATGTTACCTTCGAGTGTTTTCGCGCAGAAACGATGAAATCCGTTCTTGTTCAGCACGTGTTTTCAGAGAATGACCGGACGCCATGTTGTCTGAAGACGCTGAATTTCCTTGATGCATCGATTCAAACTTAGTCAGACAGATAAATGAATCTACGTGTGACGTAAAAGACAATGTTGAATAAATAAATAACCAAACAACACAACGCGAAATCTGATTGGTAAATTCTTTGGAAAAATTTAATTAACCAAAAATGATCTGTAATTCAAGGAAAAGCTTCGATAAATTTCCGTGCGATTTTTGTTTGGTGTAAATAAAATAATGTCATTAGTGGTGGCAACACTGTCAACGTCGAATCGTGGCGATTGTGGCACTCCACAGTTTTGTCCTTAATCTGGCACCGGATGTATGGAAGATGAAAGAGAAGTGCTCAATAATAGTTTCTTTTTGTTACGACCTTGCGCGTGCTCTTTACGTTCGATTTGCCATTCTAAGAAAGACCATCGTTTCCTGTCTTGATTTTGTTCACATATATTTTCATTTAGATGTATCTTTTTTATTCTCCAAAAGTTGTTGAACGTTGTTTTTCTCTGGCAAGACGAAAAATATGATCTATAATTCATGTTTATGTAAGTCGAACATCTTCTCATCGATTTTCGGACATTCGTTTTTTTTCGGTAGTAGTTTCTTCTATTTGTCATTGTAAATCTGTCCCCATTGAAGCATTCTATCAGTAAATTGATTTCTTCTTAACAAATTAACGAAGATCATGTTCAGTCCATTAACATATTCGTACGTAGCAGATGACGAATATGATACGCGTGAGTTAATCAATATGACATTTATACTTTACTCATCGAACATGTTTTCTTTAGTCCCACCATTACCACCACAAATGAAAGCTCCGCCTAAGAAAGCAGTAAGTACACGACTTCACAGATTGGCATTGTTTATCAACGGGAAACTTACTAGGCACATCTACTCGATATACCTACTGGTAATAATGCTTGGAGTTCTGTCTTACAACAAGCCGAAGTGCGACGACGTAAACGCCTTCAGACCACTCCAGAACATCCTCGTCGTGCATTATTTTGTTTAACACTTGACAATAAATTACGTCGATCGTGTATTAAATTAGTCGAATGGAAGTATGTTGTCATGTTCATGTAATTCAATCATATGTCTTCTTGTGTTTTAGACCTTTTGAATATTTGGTACTGTTTACCATATTTTGTAATTGCGCTGCATTAGCTCTTAGTAAACCTCTACCGAATAATGATACAACACCAACAAATTACATCTTAGTAAATAAGATATCATCGAGAGAAGGATATACGTTGTACTTCTATGTTTTCAGGAACAAATTGAATATATCTTTCTGGCAATATTTACTTTCGAAGTGATTTTGAAGATTATTGCCTATGGTTTATGTCTACATCCAAATGCGTATCTCAGAAGTGGATGGAATTTTCTTGATTTCATTATTGTTGTAGTCGGGTACGACATTAATGTGTTAAAATTAACTTTTGTGAACGATTTCTTTTCGTTTGAATAGTTTTTTAAGTGTATTTTTGGTTCGATATAATGTACAAGGTTTTGATGTCAAATCACTACGAGCATTTCGTGTTATTCGACCATTGAAACTTGTCAATGGTGTACCGAGTAAATATATGTCTATGTTGTATCATTGTCTGCTTTGTAAACATGTCTATGTTGTGTGATTTGGTAAGAATGACACGTGAGAGTTCGAACGAAACTAATTCACTATGTTATTTTTCCTTCAAGGTTTACAAATTGTCTTGAATTCTATTCTACGAGCAATGCTACCTTTGTTGCATATCGCTTTGTTAGTATTATTTGTCATTATAATCTATGCTATCATTGGCCTGGAATTATTCTGTGGTAAAATGCATATGACTTGTTATTATAATGGAACAAGTATGTTTTCGGCGACGTACATTGTGTTTGAGATTGAACTATCCATTTTATAGATATCATGTCACGCGCCGATGAAGATAGACCCTGTGGTGATAAGGGACGACGATGTCCAGAAAATCAAGAATGCAAAGATATTGGTTGGACTGGCCCCTGGCATGGTTTCATCAATTTCGATAATTTTGGATTAGCAATGTTAACAGTATTTCAGTGTATCACCATGGAAGGATGGACATCAATATTATACAAAGTATATGATTTTGTAGAGAGAATTCGTTATTACTTTTTCGTTTGAATTAGATGAATGACGCTATCGGTCGCGACTGGGCATGGATTTATTTTGTTTCGTTAATTATCATTGGATCATTTTTTGTCATGAATCTTGTCTTAGGTGTTTTAAGCGGGTAAGATTACGTTAAGAAATATGACATGACAGAGAGAATTCTAATTACATCTTGTTTTCTCGTTACGTTAGTGAATTTTCGAAAGAAAGAGAAAAGGCTAAGCAAAGAGGCGACTTTCAAAAGCTACGGGAAATTCAAATTATCGATGAATCTTTTCGAAATTATATGGCATGGATTCGAAAGGCAGGTAAGGAGACAACACAACAACTACTCGCTGGAAAAGGTGCACAATTCGTATTCATTTCTTTATCTAGAAATCGGTGACGATACAAATGATGCGATAGAAAATAGTGGTGCGTTTTCCTTTCGACAATTTCATGTTTTTATTCAATTTTTGTCGATATAGTTGCCCTCGACGCATCAGGCGAACCGGTAAAAAAAGAAGGTCGATTCGAAAAGCATTGTGGCTGGCTCCACGCGAAATTGTACGTTCACATTCTATATTAAAACATCAATTATCTGATTGTTATTTCGACTTAGACGTTACTTACGTATCTTTCATGCGTACACACGTCGTCGTATTCATGCATTAGTCAAATCTCAAGCGTTCTATTGGATTGTGATTCTTCTTGTCTTGATGAATACAGTCGTCTTAGCCACTGAATACTATGGGCAACCACCGTGGCTAACAGAAACACAAGGTATAGCGAATTGCTCAGTGAACATAGGCTATTGTTAGCGCTTTGAATAGTTTACTTGCGCTCGGAGAAGATAATGAGCTTATGAAGACGATATTTTAATAGCATCTCTTTTTCTTTCTTCACTTTGAACCTTTTAGAAATAGCCAATCGCGTTTTCGTGTACCTGTTCTCGTTTGAAATGTTACTGAAAATGTATTCACTCGGTATCACTGGCTATTTTGTTTCGAACTTTAATCGTTTCGATTGTTTTGTTGTTATCGCATCAATTATTGAATTCGTTCTCATCCATTTCGGAGTTATGCCCGCATTAGGTATATCGGTGCTTCGTTGTGTACGTCTATTGCGCGTATTCAAAGTCACGCGTTATTGGACAGCATTGAGAAATCTAGTTGCATCTTTACTTAATTCAATGAAATCAATCGCATCTCTACTTCTTCTATTGTTTCTATTCATTGTCATCTTTGCACTATTGGGTATGCAAATGTTCGGAGGAAAGTTTGATCAAATATTTCAAGTCGAAGAAAAACCACGAAATAATTTCGACTCATTTTGGGGCGCACTAATCACTGTTTTTCAAGTAAGAGACCTTTTCATTCACTTGCCCAAGCCAAACTTTTATTCAATCCTGATATACCCTTAGATTTTGACCGGAGAAGATTGGAATGAAGTTTTATATACAGGCATTCGCGCTCTGGGCGGTATGGGTCTTGTAGGCACTGTTGTATGTGTTTATTTCATTGTATTATTTATTTGTGGCAATTATATACTGTTAAACGTCTTCTTGGCCAGTAAGACAATTTTAATCGATTGGAAAAGATTACACGAATGAATTTGATTTATTTAGTCGCCGTTGATAATTTGGCTGATGCAGAAAATCTAACAGCAGCTGAAGTTGAAGAGCAAAAGAAACGTGAAGCTGCCAAAGAAGAGGAGAAAAAACGCGAAGTAGCTAAATTAAACGAAACGAATCAATTGAATCCTGCTGTTGAAGAAATTGAGCCGTACGTTAACTATTTCAACGCGCTTTCAATTAATCACTGAGATGTTTTTCTTTTAGGAAAAATACAAAGATACTTCAAATTGGTAAGGCTACTTTTCAAATGAATCATCATTCTGATGACGCGTTTAATCGTATAGACAAACAAGTGAACGAGGAAGCAATGAGTGCATCATTGGATGAAGAAAAGCAAAATGAATTGGAACAAACAAATGATGAATTGGAAAAAGAAAGATTAACGAAAGATGATGAAGAACAACCTACTGCTAGGTTTGCATGATCTATATGCTTATTTCTTTTCCTTCTCAAAGCACCGTTCGGAATAATCTAGATTAAAACTTCTTCAAGTCTCTATTCGAGCAGAAAGTCCTTCGACAACAGTTTGAATGATTGTTCTGTCAGATTAGAACTCTATGAATAACTGATGATATTGATAAGACTCGAGAAACAGGGAATCCAAATCGACCTATAATTGAGTTAATCAGCAATATAGAGCAGTATTTTGAGTTCTGTGATCAAATGGGAAAATATGTCACGTTCATTGGATTGAAATGTATTTTTGACACATAGCAATTATGTCAAGAGAATTTCCATTAGTTTACTCTGTGATGTGTATTGAGATGAACTTGAATTTGATTTTATTTAGACCACGACGTGTGTCCGAATTGAATATTGTTGAAAAAGTGAAGTCCATTCCACCACATTCATCTCTATTTGTGTTTAAACATACGAACAAGTAACACGTTTCATAGACCTCTCGAAATTCAATACAATAAGATCACCATTTAGATTTCGTATCCTTTGTCATCATGTTTGTAACCATCGAGCGTTTGGATATGTTGTGTTGGTTTGCATCTTGTTTTCAAGTGTTTCTCTCGGAGCAGAAGATCCAGTCGATTCGGATTCATTCCGAAATAAGGTCTGAAAAACACTGAATCCGGTCTTCTGCTCACTGTTCTCTTCTCTTCTCAAATTTAGATTCTCAATACTGCTGATTACTTCTTTACAGCTGTTTTTACCGTCGAGATTTGTTTAAAAGTAAAATCTGACATCTCATTCTCGTTTATTTGACTCTTTGCCTTGAATTAAAGGTCGTTGCCTATGGTTTAATACTTCATCCGGGTGCATTCTGTCGGAATCGTTTCAATATTCTTGATATCGTCGTTGTCTCTGTTTCCTTAATATCGATGGTAATCAAAGATCGTGCAATGTCCGTCGTGAAAATTCTTCGCGTACTTCGTGTACTTCGTCCATTGCGTGCAATTAATCGTGCCAAGGGTCTTAAAGTATGTTGGAATGCTTATCGAAAAGTATACGTCAATGAGTATTTTCACTTCAGCATGTTGTTCAATGCGTTGTCGTCGCTATCAAAACTATCGGAAATATTATGCTAGTTACATTTCTTCTACAATTCATGTTTGCTTGTATGGGTGTACAACTATTCAAAGTAAAGATTGTTGAAATAATTTAAGTTGAATCAAGTCGAATGTTTGTTTTCAAGGGGACTTTTTACTCATGCAACGATAAATCCATGTTGAGTGAAGTCCAATGCAGGTATGAACAGTCGCGACTCTCTATTTGGGTTGACCGAATCAAACTCTGTTGAAACATTTCTAGAGGATTCTATTTAAAAACCGATACAAATAAAAATCGAATCATTAAATTACCACGTGTATGGACAAACGCCAAATTTCATTTTGATAATGTCCCACAAGCACTATTAACATTGTTTACTGTGGCAACATTCGAAGGATGGCCAAGGTGAATACTGTGAAGACGCGTCATAATCAAATAATTAAAATTATCTTTCATTTAGTCTTTTGCACACAGCTATCGATTCTAAAGGCGAAGGCGAAGGACCTGTTTACAATTATCGACCATTTGTAGCCCCATTTTTCATAGCATTCATCATTGTAAGTGATTTGCCTTTCTGGATCAATACCGATTGATCGGTATGCATTTGAATAGGTCATCGCCTTCTTCATGGTAAACATCTTCGTGGGTTTTGTCATCGTTACATTTCAAAATGAAGGAGAGCAGGAGTATAAGAACTGTGAATTAGATAAAAATCAAGTAAAACTTATTTTTTGTATATCATTCAATGAAGTCTTCTAACATGAGATTTGTTATTTTCTAGCGAAAATGTATCGAATTTGCACTGAAAGCGAAGCCAATCAAGCGCTACATACCTGTTCATAAAGTTCAATCGAAAATCTGGTGGTTTGTCACATCTCCACCATTCGAATACGCAATATTCTCGCTAATTATGATCAATACCGTTGTTCTAGCAATGAAAGTAAGTTGCTTTTTCTTTTTCACAGGTCATGCCTAAACATTTGATTACAGTATAATAAACAACCAGATAATTATTCGAAAGCACTGGATTATCTGAATATTGTATTCACTGCCATCTTTGCTTGTGAATCTATTCTTAAAATGCTTGCTTTCCGTTGTCAAGTATGTCGAATTCCACCTTTACTTCCACGAACTATCACCGTCTTTCTCTCTCTCTCTCTATTCAATAGAACTACTTCAGTGATCCATCGAATTGCTGTGATTTTGTAATTGTTATTGGAAGCTTAATTGATATCATTTACACTGATCTGATAGCTGTAAGTAGCCAATCGAATTTCACTCTCAATTTCTATTTCCGAAAAGATGAATCCAGTGAATGAAGTATTTGATGTTACACATATTTCTAGTTCCTTTTTTTGGGATGCTTTCAACATCTGTTTGTCTATGATACATATTTGCATGTCCTTTTTTTCCTCACATATACTCTTTGATTGGGATTGTTTATATTGCATCATATCTACTCCTAAAACATTTCCCCTGTTCTTATATTTGGAAATTATTTTATTCTTTTTTCCATTAGCGAGTTTGGAGATCGCATCAGGTATAAGATTTTGTTGTTCCGTCATTGTCGTTATTTATCTATATTTATATCTATATATCTATACGAATTAATGTTTTGATATTATCCATCTAACGTTGTAGAATATAATTTTCTTTTTCTTTTCATAACTGTTTCATTTTTATGATAATTTTAGACTTTGATATTAGTAGTTCGAGAACTATACCGAGGAATTGAAAATCAGTTGTATGACTTACTTTGTTTTCTAGCCTGGAACGAATGTGATTAGTATAAATTTCTTTCGACTATTTCGTGTTATGCGCTTGGTTAAAGTGCTCAGTCGAGGAGAAGGCATTCGGACATTACTTTGGACATTTATCAAATCATTTCAAGTATGTCATCGAATTCTTTACTAAACATATTTATAAATTTCATTGACTAGGCACTACCTTACGTTGCACTGTTGATTGCTATGCTATTTTTCATTTATGCTGTCATTGGCATGCAGGTAGGTTGAGTTGAAGAGAGAATTAGCAAGAATTTGCGTGATAACTTAGATGTTTGGCAAAATCGCGTTGGATGATGATACCGCAATAAATATGAATAACAATTTTCAGACATTTTTCAATTCATTATTAGTTCTTTTTCGGTAAGTGATCTTTCGATAGTTGGCATCGATAATTTTGATGGTTCTTAGTTCGTCGACGGGTGAAGCTTGGCAAGAAATCATGTACGGTTGTGGACCGAGCGCCAATCCTAAATGTGATAGTCGATCTCGATCAGTTAAAAATGAAAATTGTGGAAGTTACTTTGCAATACCATTTTTTCTGTCATTTTATATTCTATGTTCATTTTTGGTAACAAGTCGTCGAATTCTCATTCTTGAATTGACACTGTTTCTCTTCTACTTAGATCATCAATTTATTTGTTGCTGTTATTATGGATAATTTTGATTATTTGACACGTGATTGGTCGATATTGGGTCCTCATCATTTGGACGAATTTGTTCGACTTTGGTCTGAATATGATCCCGAAGCCAAGTAAGAGAAACTTTCGTCTTGATTTTTCGATGATTCGGATGATCGAACTGAATTTGAACTAAAACCTCTTTCTAACAGAGGACGTATAAAGCATCTCGAAGTAGTTAATTTACTTCGAAGTATCACGCCGCCGTTAGGGTTCGGAAAATTCTGTCCCCATCGGACTGCGTGCAAGGTATTTTCATTCGGCTGAATATTGTAAACATTCGTAGCAACTATCTTCATATCTTTTATTGTTTAAATATCGTATTCTCTCTTGCACTCTTTTTTTATACGCTTTTCTTGTTGTTCATCATAATATTTTTTCCTCATCTTATATAAGATGAATAATATTATTTATCGGAAGTATTTCCTATCGTGAATGGCAATCTAGAAAAGAAAAAAATTCATTCTGTATCTTTTCCATAGAAACTGGTCTCCATGAATATGCCGTTGAATCAAGATGGAACCGTAATGTTCAATGCCACATTGTTTGCATTGATTCGTACGTCGTTGAAAATCAAAACCGAAGGGAATATTGATCAGGCAAATGAAGAATTACGTGCTGTTATACGGAAAATTTGGAAACGGACACCGCAAAAATTACTCGATCAAATTATTCCACCGCCGGGCTCGGATGATGATGTTACTGTCGGAAAATTCTATGCGACATTCCTGATCCAAGATTATTTCCGACGGTTTAAGAAACGAAAAGAACAAGCAGCGAAGAAAATTCAATTGGGTTTTTCGGGTGCCAGTAAAAATTCTGTGGCGTTACAAGCTGGCCTTCGACAGTTACACGATTTGGGACCTGAAATACGACGAGCTATATCAGGAGATCTTGACGACGAAGAAACGTTTAATCGATTTTGGCGAGAAGAAGAACCACAACATCGCGTATGTTGACACGAGTCCAATTATCTGTTTCAAACATTAGCCATGCTTGCTTTCTTTGTAGCGAGATCATTCGTTATTTGGATCAATGCTTGATGCATTTTCACGCGCAATCCGTAAACCATCACAAGTCCATGGGTACGAGCCTGATCTATCGGGACTGAAAATGTTAGCACCTGGCACACGTCTCCGGCGTGAACCTGATGGTCCCGTCTCAGTTAAGCTAGATCCGGATACGAACTTTCACGTACCATCACCATTCCGAATCGGGTAAAGCAAAACAGACTTCTGTTCTTTACAATGTTTCATATTTTTTCTTGTAGAGCGATTTCAGCCGAACGACGTGGCATCGAACCGGATCGATACATATTTCAAGTGCCTGAGAAGGAAGAAGATCCCTTGGGACCGTTAAGATTAACCGATCGTCGAGGAAATATTCGAAAAGAGACTGATGCTCAATTTCATAAATCAATTGATACTCCTATTGAAAGCCCAAATGTTAATTCTCATTCATCTGAGGGCCGTCGCCGTTCTGTCCTCGCGCGTTTATTCGCACGCCGAAAGCAAGATAGTCAGGAGTCAACTTTAGTCAAAGGCTCATCGAGCACCGATGATTCGAATCAAGCAAGAGCATCAGTGAGCACACGCGCAGGAACGTGTTTTCAAGAATAACTTTCTTTTTTTCTAGACGATTAATCGTGCTTTAATCGTAGAAAATGGTGATACGATAAGGAGTAATACTGCCTTAAAATGAAATTGATGGAGTAAGAATCTTGTTGTTTTTAGCACGAGCAGTTTGTTTTACACAATCTCCAAACTCGCCTCCAAAAAAATCAGTCACATTATCATCATTTGAAAACCAACCATCACAACAAGGTCAATTACTTCAGCTGAATCCTTGATCGTTTTAATGATCTTTATTTGATTTTTTTTCGTTCAGGCTCGAGACCTTATTCTACAACGAATGAACCTAAAGATAACATCGAGAATCTAGTCAATGCCTGTCTTGATACGTCAGGTATTGATCGTCGTTATGGTGCATTGATCTTAGAAGAATTACGTGATTGTACCAACTTAACACCTGATCAAATGCGTGAAGCTGCACATGAGATAACAACTACACTCGGATCAAGTTCTCCTCAATTCGCATCATTTACTTCATCTGTCTATGATTCCGTAGCTACACGTATACCCTCATCCGATGAACTAATCTTTGATTCCGCCTCGAATCAATATGCCAATGTGTGATTTTCGATTCTTTTCTCTCTCTCTGTGTTACGGTGCTTATCTTCATGTTTATTTGCACGATTGTTGTCTTCCAGATAAATTGTACTCGTATCGGTTTCATTCCCTTCAATGTTACGATCTTTTGTTTAAGATAGATCATAGATATATCATATAGATGTGTACATTTATTTATTTCTCCATGTATGTACGTGTGTGTGTGTGTGTATATGTCAGCAACAGTGTTTTCCAAAGATTTATTTTTCTTTTGATTCTCTGTTGATATGGAACAAATAATAGAAAAAAAAGGGTTTTTCTTCTCTCACTCGCCTGGCTCATTACTTGCACATTACTAATCGATTTTATTCTCAACAAATTTGTCTCATTAATGTAATATATACATGCTTAAATGTCAGCGAATATGACGGCGTACGACAGTGCAATTGATGGTTGTTTTCGGAAATATTCATCATGTGATTTATTGATTTGCGTAAAAAACATCGTGAAAAAGCCATCATCATCAACAATTAATGAGGGTTTATTTTGCGTCGAAATTAAAAAAGGAAAATTCATACAAATTTATTCGAAACTATCAAGTAGAGATTTTTCGTTCCTATGAGCAGGAATTAATCGACCGTCTACATGACTAATCAGTCGAGGGTGATGTACAAAATATTTTCCAACAATTCACCGAGTGTAAATAAGTTTTATCAGGTGTAGGCCGAAACGAGAACTCACTGTCCCTTTTTTCTGCTAGATAATCTCGTCTACATCATTAGATTCTCAGCGTGACAGTCGATAACAAATAGCAAATACATAAATATAGGGCAGAAAAAGAGAACGACAACACGAGAGAGTGATAATGTTTTTGTGACTTTCATTGCTATATGCGTGGTGAGTAATAAAAATAATAATCTAGGCGGAGACCATGTTTTCTTTTTTCTTCTTCTTCTTATTTTCTTGCGTATATATGCATTTTGTTCTGTTCTTGTCCGAGATGAAATGATAGTAGTAAGCAGAAAAACAACGAGACGGAAAGACGGAGAGAGAGAGAGAGAGTAGCAATCATTTGCGGTTAGAAAACTTTTTTCGAGATCTTCTGATTCTCAATGTCTCGATAGCGAACAAAAATGTATCGAAACAAATACCAGAAGAGAAAAGAATTCTGGATAGACATTTTTCACCAGTTGTCAGTAAGACAAAACGACACGTCGACAAGTCTCTGCTGTAAGTAAAATAGTCTTATTGCTCTCGATCTGTTCGAGTGAATCCTTAATCATAATGTCATATAGATCTGAGAGACAGAACGAGAGAGAGAGAGTTCGATGCGAACGTTGTCTACCCATGTCTAATGACCTTATAGCATTTGATGAGAGTTTAGTTTTATAAAAATGTCAAACTTTTTCATTTATTTATTTGTTGTCCTTCACATTTGCTCATATAGATGCGAAACCTTCATTTTCTTCTTTTTTTAGTCGATCGATGTCGAATGTATGGAGGCAGAAAATAAAGTGAAGTAATGGTGGCAGCACGGCAGCAGCTTGAGTTTCAGTAAATAAGCAATGAAACGAATTTAATCCGTACATTGCTTCTCTCTTGTACGTACACACTGATGTATAATACTGTGAAAGCGAGTAATCCTCTATGGAGGCATTCGCAGCGTTCTATCATAACAAAAACAACGCGAGCAAGCAAAGGGTTATGCAAATTGCGAATAGTTTACGATCTGAAGTTTTTTTTTTTCTTCACTTTTTTCCCTTCTTGTATTTCTTCATTTGAAATACAACCGATTTCGTTTGTTATTATTCGTCTGGTCGTATGGAATTCTAAAGTAGTCACTTGTGCATATTATGTACGACGATTGAATATTGACGTATAGTAATGATGTAATAAAATATTCTTTCATTCGTTTCAAGAGATTTCTGTTACAAAACTGTTCGATTCAGATGTATATACATATATTCGAATGAAATTAATATAGAAGAAGCAAGTATTCATTAACGTTCATGTAGACGTTATCGAAATCCTTTCGTCTCAAATTTCCTTCTTTTGTTTGTCTGTTTGCGTTTCTCTTTGTTGTTTTTTTTTTGTTCGAAGAATCTCGACGACGACCTCTTACTCTCATTTGTTCTATTGTCATTTCCTTTTCAGGAGTATATCCGATCTGTAGTCAGTAATGTCAACGTTTTTGACATTCGTTATTGACATAACAGCCGTTGTTTTGTACGCCTAGATGTTTGAGCTATAAGCAATCGCTATTGATTATATTTTATTGATATAATCGTCGTCTATACCTGTGATAGATCATCAGTTGTCGTCATTGTTATATCCGTTCGAGTGAGTCTTATTCTATTCTTACCATTGTGTACTGTTTGCATGGAGAACGCAAAGAGAAGAACGAAAAAGAAAACAGAAAGAAAGAGAAATCATGTAAGTTATTTCCGAGCTGATTCTTTTCTTTTACTATTAATATAGAAATATATTTCACGACATGGTTAGAGAGAGAGAGAAGAAGAAGTTGAAGAAGAACAAGAACAAGAACAAAAAGAAAGAAGATGAAGGAAGCAAAAAAAGAAAGAAAATTGGGTAGAAAAAACGGAGTACCCACATTTATATGCACACCGTTGTCGTATGTAGTCATATTCATCACACGAGTTTGTCTTAGGTGATAGAGAGAGAGTAGAGGAAACAAACAATAATACACAAGTTGTTGTATTTGCGTGCGCCAGGCAAAACTACCAATAAGAAGTAAAACGATTGTCATTTGCTAACTTGTGCATGCGCCGATAATACATATGTTATCAACGAACCCGCAAGGAAGAAAGAAAGAGTGCTTTGCCTTCCGAAAACGGGTAAAGTTGTGCCACCAGCAGAAAAGTGTTGTTGATGTAAACAGGTATATTAATCGCTATTGCTTTCTTTCTTTTTTCTTCTCTTCTCTTTCCACCTACTCCATTCCTTCTTTCAATCTCTTTACATACTAGACATACCTATATATTAATATTGTATACACACACACATACATACATACCTATTTACATGTATATTGATGTTCACGTATTCATTAATTCTAGACATTGATATTTTTTTTCTCTCGTCGCAGATTGATGTGATCAGTTTTGAACTCTATTAAAATTATACATAGATTAAGACGATAGTAATCATTAAAAAACAATATCGGTGATTAAAACAAGAAACAAAATGACGACTGGTGATCGCTATTATCAACGTCGTTCACGTACGGTTATACCCGTGACGATAAATCCTAACGATGATCAACGTTTTATTCGCTTTCGTTCGTCTAACACATCGACCGATGACTTCCATAATCGAATGAGTTCCCGAATGCGTCAGTTCGAAGAAGAGTGTCGACAATGGCGAGAAAAATTTTTCAATGAATCAAGATTCAACGTCGACGGATTTCCATCATCGTCATTACCTTATTCGCGACCACGAATGTTAGTTGATTTTCCTGATTTTCCAGAATTCGGCAGTCTCGATTGGCCAACATTTCGTGGCTCAGCGCTTGGCTCGAGTTCAACGTCGAATGGAGTCAATCAACGATCATACATTGAGGAGGATAATGATGGAAGAAAAAAATACAAAATTCAATTCGACGTCGGTAAGCTTGAAGAAAGAAACGAAAGAGTATAGTCGATGATCACATTTTGTAGGTGAATTTCGACCAGAGGAATTGAATGTTAGAGTCGAAGGACGTATGTTAGTTGTCAAAGGTGATCGACAAATACGGGTTGGTAATGCAACGGAATCAAAACAATTCAATCGCGAATTGACAATACCAGAATTTGTTGATGCCCAAAATTTACAATCATATCTAACTGACAATGGTCAATTGTTCTTGGAAGCACCTGTACTTCTTGATCGGGTTTATAACAACTCCAATGCGGTACCAATAACAACATCGTCATCTTCGAGTCGTCTTGCTGATTCAACGTTTTCGGGTGGCCGAAACAACACTACATCGAGTACTGGCTTCAGTGTCATGCCATCAAGCACTGGCTTCAGTGTCATGCCATCAAATACGGGCTTTGGTAACAATCAATCGAGCACATATTCCTCAACATCATCGTCATCGTCATTTCGACAAGAAGGTTCGGGAGCACGTGATATAGGTAGTTTTTATCGAAATAGTCCTTTACGCGATCAATATTCGTCGACAAGTTCAGCGTCGACTCTGGTCGGTGGAAATAACAACTATGCAACAAGTATCTCTCGGCCAGACTACACAGCTACTGATCGAAATAGCGACAGAAAGAATATTACTCATACGTTTGATTTACATCAATTCGCACCAGAAGATATTGCCATTCAAGTAAATGATACTGTGTTAAAAGTAACTGCAATTAAAGAAGAACGTGATGGCAATAGTTCGTCACACCGAGAATTTCGACGTGAAATTGGTAAGAATGACTTCATTACTTAAGCTTATTGCATAAGAATTTCTCTTCAATAGGTTTACCTGATGGAGCTGACCCGAAGAATTTAACCAATACATTAAGTGCTGACGGTATTCTTACCGTACAAATACCTGTACGCGATCATCGTCCTCCACTAACACCAACTTACCAAACACAAACATTCAACACATCGAATACTATAACTTCTAATAACGCTTATGATGGCAGAGATCAACAACTTAAACTGACATTTGACTTAAGTGGTTACAGACCGGATGACGTTACCGTTAAAGTAAATGATCATGTACTAAAAGGTATGAATCTGACCTTGGTTAGCTTTTATTCTAATTGAATTACCTTTCTTTCGAACTAGTCCAAGCTTCTCATGTGGATAATACACCTGGTAATCAAATTAGTCGTGAATATAAGCGTGAATATGTCTTACCGGATTGGGTCGATGCTGATCATCTACGGGCCAAGATGAGCGAGGATGCAACTCTTACTGTTGAAGTGCCCATTCCACAAGATCGAGTATCTGCGCTTAATCGACAAATTAAAATAACACATTAACAGAAAAGATTTTAACTGATTAACTATATAAGTGCTTGTCTCTTTCTTCTTCTTCTTCTTCTTCTTCTTCTTCTTCTCTTTTGCTCTCTTTTCTCTCTTTGACTCCTAGTCATCTCACTCTTCGTCTTTATCTATCGATCAGCTGCATTTATATTTGGCTGATTCGGAACCTATTCATAAATTAGACAAGATTGTGCTATATAGAGTTTATCTTTTCACTTATTTTCTTTTGGTTTGTAATTGATTCTTTCCGAAATATCATCGTAGTGCCGTACATCGAACAGTGTAACTTCGCCACATATATATATATACATAGAACGTTTTGAATTGAATTCCTTTTTTTCAATGTATTTTGCTGTGTTAAGGAAAGCAAAGCAACGTTCATTGCTCTTGATTACAACTGTATTGTACTGTACACTTCTGCAGATTCTTTCTTTCCTTTTTTTTTCTATCTAAGTGATTTGTCTTCTCACGTGTAGAGAACTATATTTTATGCAGAGGATGGTTTATTTGCACTATTTGATCCGTTATTTTGTTGAACGATGCGTGCTTTCTTTTCCGATACAATAAATTGCCCATTTATTCTTAAAAAAAACATACATGTGTAGCTTTCTTCTTCAATGTTTAACGTCTTTTTTTTATTACAAAACATCGAGTAATCACATATTTCATCTGACAAATACTATTTTTCTTTGAAATCCAACACAATGACACAACGGAATATCACTGAGTTTACATGTAAGTTTGAAGACGTTCTTTTGAACTGAGTAGAACATATAATGAGGTGATTCCAACGCCGTATAAACTACCTCGTAAAGCACCTTTCAAGCCTGCTGTAGATCGATATAATAAACCAGTTATACCTCCACTTGCAACTGTATTCACTTCATCATCAATACCACGTATCAGACTGATACCAGTACCAGTTAAACTATAGATCAATGCTATTGAACCCATGGCAGAAGCTGTTGTAGCACCTTGACGAGCAACGTAATTAATAATTGTTGAGGTTCGTACAGATCCGGTTAAATCTCGTGTTTCACGTACGCCGCGATACAATCCCGATAGACTACCAACTATGCTACCTGAAAGAAAGACTTTTCATACCATTGACTTCCATTTATATCTCTTACCAGCAATAACAGATCCACCGATAGTAAAAAACATCAATTCAAGTCGACCACGCTTTTCTTTTTGTCCTTCTGGTACAATAAATTGTGAGCCACTCTAAAATTTCCTCATGAAAAGTTCTTCCTGAACGTAGTCTTCTCTCTTTTATTCTACCGTATTCAAGAATTTCGGATCGAAGTTCAAATAAGGTGATAATGCACTACTGCCGCGTGTAGTATGAACTAAGAAAACAAAGCGGAAGTCTTTTGTATAAACTAGGAATAATTAATTCTCTACCAGGTATATCTTCCACTGAATCACTCATGTTATAATTTCCAAATAAACTGAAACCACGTTTATTTGATTCATTCGAATCCATTCTAAATGACAAATCAGCAAGTAAATCTGTTTTTCCTTCGAAAAATAAATATCTACAATTGACATAAGACATACAATTAATAGTTTTTTAAAAACCAACATCATTATTCGCGTTGGCAAAAAATACATCGCGATCGTATAAAAAACGATAGTCGTCTGAGTTGTTTATTCGAACAAAATTCTATCGTCGCTTGAATTAACTATTTTATATAGAAACAGTATCTAATTACGTGGAAGGTCGATAAAAAAGCAAAGACATCGAACATGAATAAACGAATAATTAACGGAGCAAAATATAGAATGAGAGATCTTTATCACACGCAAATGCCTGCTAATTGCTAAATTCCGGATTCTCGCCTGAGTACTCATTTTCTAGACGATATTGCAACGCAAGAAATGATGGTCGATGTTCCGGTTGAGCATCCCAACATTCGTGCATTATTGCATAGAGTGATGCGGGACAGTTTGGTGGTTGAGGCAATCGATAACCGTGTTCAACTTGCCGAAGTACTTCAGCATTGGTCATACCCGGATATGGTGTACGGCCATATGTAACTAATTCGGTCAATAAAATTCCATATGACCATACCTAAGTGCATATGTATTACAAAAAAAACATAGAAGAATGAAGATGGCGGAATTGATATTTACATCGCTCTTGATGGTAAATCGATTGTAAAGTGCTGCTTCGGGCGCAGTCCATTTAATAGGGAATTTTGTGCCTTCTTTTGCTTCGTACATACCTCCGGTATATTCCTGCAATTAAACATAGAATTGTTATGTATATTTCAATGGGAAAATTCATCAGTTAGTCATAACATTAAGTTCCTGTCTAATGTCTGACCATTAACATACTTTAATGATTCTTGCTAGACCGAAATCAGCTATTTTCACTGTATTATTCTCACCGACGAGCACGTTTCGAGCAGCAAGATCTAGAATTTGAGAAAGGAATTTGAAAAATTTCTCTCAGCCCAAACTATACCTCGATGAATGTAGTTTTGTTGTTCTAGATACGCCATTCCGCGTGCGATTTGTGTGGCGATATAGATTAATACTGATATTTTCAACTGTCGTCCATGTGGACCTGTGAAACATGAATTCAAAACACAGAACTCATCAGTCTAATAGAGTTTTACTTTGTAGATATTCCAACAGACTTCCGTTTCGCATTAATTCGGTTACTATATAGATCGGTTCTTTCAAAGTACATACAGCGTACAGTTGAATTAAATTTGGATGTTTAAGTTGTTTCATTATTTGAGCTTCGGCAAGAAAATCTGTTGGGTTCATCGAACCTGGTTTTAAGGTTTTGATTGCGACGGGCATTCGATTATTCCATAGACCTTCCCAAACGTCACCAAATTGTCCATTACCAAGGCGGCGAATCGTTTTCAAATCATTACGATCTATTTCCCATTTATCAACGAGATTATGTGATAAACCATCTGGTTCAGGTTTGACGATCTATAATGAGAAACATTGGTTTGATTCTGATGCACGGAAAGTTTAGCTTACATGTACACAAGGCTTTCTTAGATTAACACATAGGCCGTCTGGAATTTGGGAATAGTGTGCAACAAGATCAGATAATGATTTGAACGTTATGCGACGTGCGATGTATAACTGTCGATCTCCTCCTTGTATAATTCGATAGTGTTTGATCGAATCATAATCTCGCACTTAAAAATAAAGAAAAACAAGTATTGCTATAGAATACAAGCTATGGAAGTTTACCTGACAGTGAAAAATCCGTGCGTCTCGTTTCACTGTCGCGAATCTGAATAGAAGATTTAAAAAAAAGAGTAAACGGAGTATTTGATCAATTTCATCACGTACAAGAAAACTTCCATGGCTATTAACATCAGACATCAGTTGTTTTTCCGCATCAATACGACGTATGGATTTGAAATACCATCTAAAAGCAAGCGAATATCTGAGCTTTCAGAAAGAAAGAAAGAAAGAAAGACAGCATACGGTTCTGATTCTAAACTATCTCGTTTAGCAACATGATTTGATGGTATCCAACCTTCCTGTCCATGTTCATTTCTCGCCATCCACCAACTTGCATCTTTTCGATAAAGTATTTCGAGTAAATCACTTTTTCGTATAGTTAAATCATCCGTTGTTCGTGCGTCGTAATCAAATATTGTAACATATTGAAAACGACCACTGTCATTAGTTGATCGAGAAATGACTGCTGAAGTTGTAGATGACGATGCACTTGAAACACCAGAGGAGGATGGCGTCCGGATGGCGAGGTGATTCGAATTTGATTTATGACGTGTCGATGTGATTGGTGTCGAAAGAGGTGAACCGGGTGGTGACACAGTAGGTTGTTGAATAACGATTGGCAATAGAACAGAGGAGTTTGCTGAAGGTGAACGTAGATTACGGTTGTGCATGATATTAGATCCCGGAGTTTGTTGAATTTTGGTCGACGGTGTTGCACGATCAGAATAAACACAATTTCCCATGTTTTTCTAAAATTGAACAAAATTTGTATTTTGATTCATGAACAAACTCCAGTTCTACGTATGTTTAAAACAAAGAAAAGAAATGAATTCTTACATCTTGCTGTTCTTTTCGACCTGTCGCTTCCTGCAACCGCTGTTCAGCTTTACGAGCGAAATCTCTTACATTCCGTTGTGCTTGCTCAACGATTGAACGTGCATCCACACGTTCAGATAAGTAATTCTTCGTTGATCGAATACCGCCTTGTAACAATTGATGTACACGTGATTTATAAGGTTCTGCCATTGGATAATATTTGCATTCGCAAAGATATGTATGTATATATATGTACAGTCTATATGTCTTCTAATGTGCACATACACCAGAGTTAAGTCTCTATACGTTCAGTTTGCAATGTCACACTTTCGATTTCTTTCTTTTTCGTTTTTAATAAATGTGTGTATACACAAAACGAAAAAAGTCAGCGGGTCGGCGATACAAGCATAGAAATAAAAGAACACGAAAAAGGAAGAAAGAAAGAAAAAGAGTAGTATATCGCCTTATTTTTTTGTAGCAGCTGCTTCTTCTTCTTCTGTAGTTACACTTCTGTCCTAGCCAACGAAATTTTTATGCTTTCAAATACTCTCCTCTACCTGCATTTTCAATAATTATTCATCATTCTAGCGTGAACAACTTTACAACGGTTTGTCAAAAAAATTACTCATGATGATGTTTTCCTCATGATTTTATGACTAATCGATTCATTGTCCGTGTAGGCGTTCGATGACGTCACCAAAGGCGATGAAGGGCAGACGAGATCTCATTTCGTTTGATCTTTAGAATCATTAACAGAAGATAATAAAAAACGAAGAAGCCGGTGCGATTGATTTACCTCGTTATTTTTGTTTTTCTTTCATTTGTTAATTCATCGATTTCATCATTGATAAGTTCAGATGACCAAACGATCTAAAATTGATAATTGAACAGAGTATAAACTTGATTGAATCTTTTTTTTCCTTGCTCGTCTATCACAAATACTCAAAAGAAAAAGAGAAAGAGAACATTACGAGGATGGTTACATGTTCTATATTCTTCCTTCCTCCTTTCGAGTCAAGCAAATGCTCATATTGCGTGTATGCTCTTTATATAACGAGATTTCATTTATTATTTGACATTGAATGTGTACAATTCCCATTGAATTTCTCTCAGTAGATATCAATCAAGAAAAAAATCTCCAAGGAAGATCAATGCGCACACACAACGAGAGAAAGCATTTGATAGTTGATACACGACACTGATTCTTGTTTAAACCGAGCAGACAAGTAAAATGACAAACCTTTCGTCTTCTTTTGTTGAATGTATTATAATAAAGAATGAAAAATGAGTCCAAATTAAAAATGATAATCTATATTGTCCCGACCGGCAAACCTTGACCTTCATCGAATATCTAATCCAGGATTTTGTTCTTCTTCCTTGTATTCAAAACGGATGTTATGTGATGTCGATAGATATAGCAAACATACTTACAGGAATAATAAACAAAACTGGAGTATACATTGAAAAAAAAACTCGACGACAAGGAAGGACGGAGAAAGAAAAACGATTTCGGCCTCGAAAGATCAGCTGAACTGTTGTTTTATTAAGACAAAGAAGAAGAAGACGACATGATGGCAAATGTTCAAGGAAAATTCGTTTCGTTTTATTGGTAGTAAGTTATACGAGTATCGAAATTCTAATAAGATAAAATCAAGCTATCAGATGTCACTGTTTGTCATGGTTGAAAACTTCGATGACAAATTCGACTTAATGCATTCCAAGCTTGTTCGCTATTCGACATATTCATATATGGTTTAAATCCTAGATCAGCGTACATGTTGATCGCTCTCCAACTCGTCGTTTGAGAATCCAAAAAACATTTGTTCGAGTATTCACTAATCTTTTTTAATACGGTTGTTACTAACGGTTTGGCTAACTTCTTCCCTTGAAATTCAGGTATAATCGAAACCCAATAGAGACTACCTTGTTGTTCGCCGTCGAGTTCACCAAACCAAGCCCATGCTGTTCCGATGTACTTGCCTTCTGGACTCACCAAAAAGTGAAGCCGTTCGGGGTAAAGATGCCGATTTTCATTTTTCAAAAATTCGTTTATGAAACGGTCGTAACCTTCTTGAACTGTATGAAATTCTCCGGCAGCCGTAGCTATCTCAGCCCACTTTTGTTCGTCATTGGAATTCTCTTCGTAGAACTTTATTGAATATCCCGATGGCAGCGGGTAGGATGGAATAGAATCCATATTATCTCTAAACATCTTGATTTTGTAATAGTCAATATCATTGTTCGATCGATGAAGGTAATTATCAGCCATGAGACAATAAAAATGGTCTTCGTGTCAAGTAAACCAATGATAAATATTTACTTGCGTTCTCCATCGTCACTGTTTTATCTCTGCTGAGACACACGGTAAACACGATACGTTTACGATGGATATTGCATCAGTCAAGCTTCGGTTGACTCTGAGAAGCACAACAAGCGTTGCTATTTTTCTTTACCATTTCTAACAAAACAAAAGCATTGATAGGATCTGTATGTCGATGAGGGTACGTTTGATTTAATTTGAACTCGATGACAATTAGTGGACGCTCTGGGAAATTTACTCGTGAGTAAGAAGAATTATGATCGAGCTGAAAGCTTCTCTTTGTAAGGTCTACAAAATGAAAACGAGAATTAATCGCAACAAATCATTCTTTTAGACGTTATTCATGAAAAATTATGAACTATTTCCTTCTCTTAGCGGTAATTTTAATTGATACCAGCGAAGCAATCTTCTTATCTAGTAGAGATGTTGTCCAACCAAACGAATATTTTCTATATCTTTCCAATTTCTCATCGTGATCAATTTCAAACGAATATTTTGAAACCTTACTAATCCAAACTCGGCATATGAGCTTTAGCAATGTGCATTTGGTGAATACTGCGTTCAACTTCAATTTTGGTCTGTATTCTGTATGACAGAGAAACTCGTTTACTCCTCTCATCGATGGTTTTATTATTTATCATATACGAGTGATACCGTTCAACAAGCTAAATGCTAATCGTTTCACTCTTTATCACACCCATGAGATCGTATCAATTGTTTTCTCCAATCAACTTTTGATTTACTCACGACAGAAAACACATTAAACTGACGACCAAATCGTTGTTCATTGTTCTGGGATCATATACTGTGACAAATCAAAATATCTTACTACACATAACATTTATATATATATATCGTTCAAACACATCATACTCTCCATTCCGATTCAATGTCATCATTCACTCACCTCGAACGATTTCACTATTTTTCTTCAGCTGATGTTCTTTGTTTATTCATCAATTTGAATCATCGCATCCAACAACTCATTTGTAAACGAGGTTTCTTTCATCGTCTCAATTTGTCATCAGCATCTTTATATCAATTTGATACACTTCTTGCACTTGTTATCAACATCGAAGTATCACCTCTTCAGCTTTCTCGTTTTCCTCATTTACCACATTTGACAACATTACGATTGTGTTGTGTGCGCCAGCGGAAAGATGCTTATAAGTTTATTCTTCGTCATTCACACTAACTTGTGTATCTCACAGTCGAAACAAACATCGTATTTGCGCCTATAAGTACACAGAGAGTGACATACGTGAAAAAAGTTCATACTATGGCTTTTCTTTCTAATTTCAGTAGGGTTTTGCAGGATCTATCATACAGCCGATAGAACGTCTCGAAACATTCGTCGAGGGTATTCTGCAACGACTGAATACACTTCGCTCGCTGAATTTAGGCCAGAACTTCGAAGTGGGTCTCCCACTATGGGATGTCAAGCCAATCGAATATCGTCTCAGTTATCTTCGACTTTCTTTGCAACGAATACAACAATTTTCAAACCACGGGGTTTGCAATGATTTATCTGAAGAACTTTCATTGTGTAAAAGTACCCATCTGCATTCATTCAGTTTAATTCAGACAGTGTTCACTCGGAACATAATTGAATGATCAAATACCAAATAGCCTACAAGTCCGAATGTGATTTCTGTGCTTCGAAAAACGAAGTTGATTTTGTTTATCACTAAGGATGATTTGTCTTTCATGAATAAATCAGTCGTGTTCACTGATGATCAGCAAGCTGATGTTCAATTCATTTTCGTTACGAAGAGTAAATAGACCTATAGGAGGCAAACAAAGGTATAGGTAAACATTCTCCCAAAGTTTGCCCTCATGAATAAAAACATCACCATTCGATGCTGAATTAAATTCTGAGTCAAATGGTATAGTTTTCGGAGACGGGGCTCATTTAGTAAAAAAGTTTTTAGCTAACACATCATTTGTTCACGCTAGCTTCACATCGATAAACTAACCTAGAAAATAAGACGTCATTCAATAATCTAGACAAGTCTCGACGCATATAGAACATACACGATTTCATATGATAATACAACAAGGTTACCCATTATTAAATTTTCGGTTTCTTGTTAATAAATGCAGCAAGTGTTTGATTGGTTTTCATTGTACACATTCTCACACTCGTCGTCCACGTTGCCGTTGCAGTTGCCGCAGCATTTGTTGGCGAAGCCAGACGCGCTGTAGAGCACCACAGGGAAGATGGTACCATTAAAAGAAACAAGAAAATAAAAAATGGGTGGTCCTAAAGAGAAGACGGTGCAGGATGTGTGTGGCACTTAACTCAGGTTAAACAGTCCTGTCCAAAACCTGTCATCGAATTTACCAGGTTTCTTTGGGAACCGATAGTCGGATACGATTCCCGGTTCCCTGAGCAGGATTCCAGGAGCCAGTGTTCTGGACAGAACGAAATGAAGCGACGCTGATTTTTGCATTCAATGCTGTTGGCTTACTCGTTCGGTTATGTAGAGCATTATCTAAAAGAAAATTAAAAAACTATATCCTTTTATTTTCACCGTTCGAAAAAATGAAATGAAAACGATTACACTTTGGATTTATTTGTTTACATATGAACCGAGAGAGAAGGTAGCTAGGTAGATAATTGAATGTATATGCGTGTGCCTAGATTTATTTCAAAAGAACGAGCGAACATTCAAAATCAGCATGAATCATGTTTCTTTCTTTCTTTTGAAGACGAACTTCACTAGTACAAACTAACTAAGGCAACTTTTTGTCAGTCCTGGATTTAACAAAGAACATTTTGTTACTGATTAATCGATTGGCCAATTGTAAAAGTGATATACTTAGTCAGCCCTTTGGTTTGATTCTCTTCCGAACAGCGTACTATGAAATCATTGATCTTTCTCCTAGTTTCATTTTCCTTTGTTTCTACGCGATCAATTAGCAAACGAGAGAATATTCCAGTAACGTTACTTTTATCGAAGAAATAGACTGATGTAAAACAATAGAGTACATCTAGATTCTCTCAACAGCAGGCAAATATTTAAATGTTTATTCGAAAAGTAAGGAAATTGAACTAGGCCAAATCAGTGGTTTGGCCACATCGATTAAAGTTCAAAATCAATTATCGATTTTTCATCGGGGATCACGAGAGTGGAATCAATAGTAGGTTTTTACTTGAATTGAAATGATTGTTTGGTTTCTATCGTCGAATAGTTCGTTTCCGGATGGTGTTCATTTTGATCGGCGTCGATTTGGGCCTATTCCGGAAAATACGATTCTTGATGTCGATACGCGGACAGGTGAAGTGAAAAGCCAATGGGGCAATAACACGTAAGTATCCTTTTTCTCTTGGGGGAGATAAATGATTAATTTGTGAAGATTTTATATGCCACATGGGCTGACAATTGATAGTCAGGAAAATGTTTGGTTGACGGATGTTGCAATGCATCAAGTGACCGATTCTTTCGATGAATGTTTCATATTTCAAGATTTTCTTTGAAGGTATTCAAATATTCGAAAGAAAGAACGTTAGTGCTAAGCCTGGGCGAACGATTTGTCCCTGGTAGTGATTCGACTCATTTTTGTAAGCCGACCGATGTTGCTGTATCAAGCGATGGTGAAGATATTTACGTTGCTGATGGATATTGTAATTCACGAATAGTGAAATTTGATTCAAATGGAAAAAAAGTCCGGCAATATCAGATTCCTGCTGAAGAAAAGCAACTTGTTATTCCACATAGCCTTGTTCTCATAGAATCCCTTCAACTTCTCTGTGTAGCTGATCGAGAAAATCGACGGTAAGCACGATTCTGTCTTTGACTTATCAGCAACACATTCTATTTTCAGAATAGTTTGTTTCAATATCAAATCGGCTGAAGGAAAAGTAAAAACCATCATTGAACATCCTTCGCTGAATACAATTTATGCATTAACATACAACCCACTCAAAAGTACGTGGATTCCACAGTTGATTTCCTCTTATTCTCTTTCTATAGATCATCTCTATGCTATAAGTGGCACAGGTGTCCGAACAGACGCAGTTGGTTACACATTTAGTGCAGATTCGAAATCATTTGGAAGACTGTTGAGCATTTGGAAGGCAAACGAGGTTCGTTTCTCTATGCAAAATATCTCATTCAATGTTATGTGATGGAATTTTAGAAATTTGGTGAACCCCATGATTTGGCGATGAGTAATAATGGACAGTTTTTATTTGTTGGTGAAATTCGTCCAAATCGTGTTATATATTTCGATAAATTTTTATAATAATTCGTATTTAATTGTTCATTTCTGCAATTCTGTTAATAAACCAAAGAATCGTCATTCTTCTCGTTTTTTATCTAGTGAAAAGATGTAAAGAAAGTCTTGCAAGTTCAAGTCAGCTGGTAGAGCATCGATTGAGTCGATTTTATCGTTCAAAATACCAAGAGTCCGGAAAGCTTCTTGGATTTCATCTAAAATTCAAGCAGATTATATCGATTCCTGTTCTATTCTACATACTCAATGTCATTCTTTCACCGTCGGACATCTAAAACAATAAGCAATGATTAAGTTTATCAATGACAGAAGCTGACATTTACAAGCGTTTGTATAAGTGAATGAATATCAATTTTAGAAGTTTTGGGTGACTTGTGTTGATCAAAAACAGATTTTAGAATATCATCAATCGATAGTTGATGATGGTTTTGAGCGAAATGGTTGTAATATATTTGAGTAGTTTCATTGAAATCGACTCTTATTTGATGAGGATCGGCAATTTTCTTCTTAAAACACTGTTCATCATACAATTCTTGCACTTGCCGTTCCGACAGATAATTGCCAAGCGCTCGAGCAAAGTCGACTACCAAAGGTAATGGTATAACTTGTTCTATGTGTAAATTACTTGGATCTTGTAATTGAATATAGTAAAACAACGGTTGATATGATGTCAGCGACTCGAAATTTTGATTTTCCATGCGTTTGTTCATCAAAATCGAGTCCAATTTCCATATAAACATACACTTATCTTGTTCACCACAAGTAATAAGAAGATTACGGTTGGAGATGATATCCAATGATCGTATTCCATCAGGATGGGCTAATATCATGTCGTACTCATTGGGATGACCCATTCCAGGTAACTTCATCACGCCAACTGCTGTCGAAGTTCGAAAAGCTAGATACGATGTAGTGGGTGTATCTTCACAGTCAAACGTGCAAATTTTAATCTATGAAATTGGTTTGTACAAAACTGCAATTAAATATTTATTTGATTTACTTGTTGTAACGGAATACGAAGAGTCTGTAAAGTGTGACGACATTTATTCGAATCCAGGTCAAAAAATTTGATTTGTCCAGTATTAACGGAGCATATTAAATAGTCAGTTTTTCCATCAATTGAATATGTTGTCATTGAAATGATGTACGACGGATGTTCGATTAGGTTTACACATGCTTGTATCTCGAAGGGATGCTCTCGTTGTTGATCAATACAGTATTCAGTTAGATTGCCGTGATTGTCGGACGACAGTAGTCGTTGTTTTTTCGTATACCGATCTTCTGCGAATAGAATTGCCGTAATCTTTCCAGAATGATTCGTGCAATGACCATGATTGTAATAAATGAAGGGTGTTTGCTCATCTCGGATGTATAGTGCAATGCCCTTGAAATTCAGGAAGCGTTGATTTAAAGAGTAAAGAAGTAGCAAACTTGCTTTGTCAAGACTAACAGCGGCGAGAAAGAGAGCGTTCGGAGAAAACTGAAGATGAATGATCGAGGATTGTGAATTGTGTAATGGATGGTTACTTATTGGATTGCACGTCGCAGCTGATTATAAATCAAAAGTAGTATTGGCTGAGATCAAGTTTCAAAACGATGCTTTGCTTATTAGCTTACCATCGCACAACCAAATTGATCCATTATCTAAACCAATGGCTAAAAACGAACAGTCTTTGGCTAGTGCCAGTTTTGATATTCCTACATTCGTCGACGACGAAAAGTCTTTCGTTAAGAACAGGGATCTTCCTAAAAGACGATAAACCTTCGAAAACTTTCAGTAGTTGTTATTACCTGCACCGTGCCAGACATACAGGCAGCCTGCTGAAGTTCCTATATAAACTATAGGTAATACTGAATTGACGCTAATATCTGTTATTGGACTTGTAGGAACTCTTCGCACCAGTTTAACTAGAAATTTCTTCACTATTTAACAATCGTTCTTTGTCAAAGATATTTCCTACTTAAGGAAAAATTCTTTTGCGTAACCACAATTGCCTTAGAATAGTAACATGCGTATATTTACGAATCAAACTGATCGTTTGCATACATACATTGTCTGATTGACAGATGACTTCATCGAATTCGAAAGATTTATTGGTATGGTCAAAGTTATCAGACCAACCTTTCTCATTGGATTTCTCCTCTTCATTATGACGAACTTCGTTGATGGCGATACTGATAATAGCACCAATGTTTAATGATGGATATTGTTTAATGAAATTGAGGTTATAATCATAGACAACAACTTGCGATTGAACTGTTCCGAGAATAATATGTTCATTAAGCCATTTCACACTTGAGATGTCACGTTGTAGATCGTGCAAACGTTTCACTTTAGTTCTATCTGCTATATAGACCTGACCATCGATTAACGTAGTGGATGAGCTCATGGCGTCCTTTGTTTGCTGTCGTTGCATGTATTCTATTTCGAAGAAAATCGCTTTTCCTAAATCAGACATGGCGGAAAATGCTCGTAAGATTCGTGTCTATTACCGGTTGTAGTAATGATTACCGCTTCATGTTTACCAGGAATCAAATAACAGATTAGGATTGGGTTGATTCTTTGATTGAACTTTCGTTGAATATGACGATGGATTTCGACTTGGATACGGTCAGTATCTTTTCCTAAACCTAAACTTCAGAATGTTGTTCTTTTAGCTAAATAACTTCTATTAAAATAGATCGCACCGTAGAAGATCACGGAATCTTTGCCGATGCTGCAAAACATTGATCGATCTTCGATCATATGAAACCGTGATTGACGTTCACAATTCAGCGGAATAGTTGATAAAACAAATGGACTTGCGTCGGTATTTAGCCAACGCCAGAGAATAATTCTTTGATCAGGTATTTCAGTCAAAATACTGATCAATTTTCCATCGCGCGATATTCCTACTTGAATTACGCCTGTCTCATGTATGTGACTTAAATATTTGGCAGGTTTCAATGAATAAGTGTTCCAGATAATTAGAAATGTTTCTGGTAATGACTCGGCAGTTACTAACCACTGTTTGTCATAGGAAACAGCAGCAGTTACGATCATAGATGTATGTCCTTGTAGGAGACTCTGACCTTTACCGCTACCTGTTTCTATTACACCTACATTTCCCGCAGTGTAGAAATATCGTGTTTTGTCATTAACAGATAGATTAAGTAGCGGTACATTCGGATTCATACCAATAAGCCAACGAAGAGAGAGCGAGGAAGGATTCTCGTTGACAGTCGATTGAATGGAAATGTTTCTCGAAGAATCATTGTCGGTTCGTTGAATATTTTTCTCGCTTGGAGACAGCATCCGTTTCAAGAATACCCGTGAAATCAAGAAAGCAGGAGATGAGCAAAGGCGCTAAATTAAATTCTAGCTGGGCAGAAACAGATGGCGTTTATGTCTGTTAATATATACCGTTAAGATTTGAATAAATTTATTTTGAAAAAACCGGAGATATTCATATGTTACTTCGTACTTGCAAGTAGACAATTTTTCGAGTGCGAAGCAATCACTTGACAACAGTAGAGGTTTCATCGAAACGGCAGAGATCACGATGAAGAACTGTTCTGACGAAAAATACTGTTCTTCTTCTTCCTTCCGTCCGTTAAAAATTCCGTGTTATTCTTCCTTTTTTTCTTCCTTGTTCTTAATTCTTTATAATGCTGCCTATGATTACCAACTATCACGTTATTCCTGTTTGGTTAGTTGCACTTTCTTTTTTAGCTCGCCATTAATCATACTTTGATTTCTCCTGAATATGGTGAGAAAAATCAATCGGATTCAACATGACACACTATTTGTTTCTAGGGATTGCTCGATATATTACGAAAATTCCGTTCGACACCGCAAGAAGAGCTTCGCATTTTACTTCTCGGTCTCGATAACGCTGGCAAAGTAAGAACTACAGAGTTATGTACAAATCAAAGCTGCAATCATGATTTATTGTAGACAACATTACTAAAAGTACTTGCGTCGGAAGACATTTCGCACATTACACCTACACAAGGTTTTAATATCAAAAGTGTGCAGTCTAGTGGCTTCAAACTCAACGTTTGGGACATCGGTAAGTCTTTATCGATTCAGAAAACTTTTGTTGTATTCATCACTTTGTTCTCTAGGCGGTCAACGCAAAATAAGACCTTATTGGCGTCATTATTTTGATAATACCGATGTTCTAGTAAGTTTCCGCTTTCATAATTTCGTGTATACTATTTGACTGTCTTGTAGATATACGTTATTGATAGTTCTGATCGCAAACGTTTCGATGAGACCAATCAGGTATGTGCTTGAAACAAATTCTTTACTTTTCGCTGTTGAATAGATTCTCATCTAGGAACTAGCGGAGCTATTAGAAGAAGAAAAATTAAACAATGTTCCTCTGTTAGTATTTGCGAACAAACAAGATTTATTGAATGCAGCGAAAGCATCGGATATAACTGATGGTCTTTCGTTACACGCCATACGTGATCGAGCTTGGCAAATTCAGGGCTGTTCAGCATATACAAAAGAGGGTGTGAAAGTAAGTATAGATGATTGGGAGATGAATAAAATAACAAATTCTTCGTTTGTAGGAAGGTCTCGAATGGATTTCAAAAGTAGTTGCCAATAAGAAAAATAAGAAATAATTCTTCGTTACTATTTATTTATATGTTTCAATGCATTGTTTGTGTGTGCGTGAGAAGTACTTTCAATACTTGTTTTATTTAATATCAAACAAAATACATCCGACTAGAATATCAACGCACGTTTTCGAAAAATCAAAAGCAATTTATTCTTCCTTTAAGCAACTGGAAATATGCGTGTATTTTATTATTTTTTTGTGAAAAATTCTTGTTCAGAAACCCAGTGGACGGCATAAATAGCATGTTGGTATATAAATCAAATCTCTTGTTGTCGTTTCTTATGTGTTTCGTTATTGTTCATGTCATACTAACTTTTATACGAGAAATCAGAAAATAAAGATCATTTATTTTATGTTGACACTTTCCTCACAACATTCTTAAGCAGTGCACACGTACCGATGGAAGAATATTGCTTACGGTATTAGTCATACAAACACATACAGATAATAGAATGAATTTGAAGAGTATTGAAAGAGGTCAGGACGTATATTTACGATGAAATTTTAAAAGAATCTCTCATATATAGGCGAGTCATTTTCTATTAGTGAGAATATGCTTCTTTCCGCTGACTGTAATTGCTAGTATGGATCCCACAGGGATGATATTATTCATTTCTTTGCTTTCTTCCAAACGAATGATGTAGATTACTACATTGAGTTCATAGGTTCTTATTACAGTATTCAATACTTTGAATTACATCTTGTAGACTCGGATGGTTAGGAGGAAGAGTTTTCTGTTTGATAACCAAGGCAGATTCAAAGAATGAAAGCGCTTTTGCATACTCCTTCATATTGTTATAAACAGTCGCGATGTTATTGTACAATGTCGCCAATCCAGGATGATTGGATGGAAGCGTTTGCTCCTTAATCTTCCACGTTTGCAGATAAAATGCAAGTGCATTTGAATATTCTTCCATATTGTCACAGAGTAAACCGATATTATTGTAAAGAATTCCTGGATGAGAATAATCGGGGGAAAGTTGTTTTTGGTAGATTTCTAATGCTTTCTCGTAATACGAACGTGCTTTTGACCATTCATTCGTGTTACTATAGACTATACCCATATTGTTGTAGACGTCTGCCAACGATTGCGAATCTTTTGCAAGATTCTGTTGATCGATTTCCAGAACCTTTCTATAGAAAACTAATGCTTTTTCGTTACCACCTTTGTGACTTTTAATGTGTCCGAGTTAGTAGTAAATATTTCCCTGATCGTTAATACTTGGCGTTTGTTGTAGTGCTGCTGAGTAAATTTGTTCAGCTTTATCAAACTGACCTAGTTTCAAAAATAATTCTCCCATTCAGTACCAATCTTTCGCCTTCGGCGAGGTTTCTTCTCGAATCTTGTTCGTTAAAGTGTTTAACTGTTGATCAGTATCACTACTAGTCAATGCTAATTGCACTTCATAAACTCGTTTTTTGTCAGATAGTTTATTTATGTCGGCAATGCGAAATTTTGTATGCATGGAAAAAAGAACTTCTTGTTCGACGTTAAAATAACTAATTTGATAGATTCCTGCAGAAGTTGTGGACGATGTTGATGTGTTTGTAGTCATGTTGAATAGAATTCCAACAGTATCAACTCTTGCTGCAGAATATTTCGCATGACCTAGGGAAATGTCTTCGATTCTACTTGTGGATAGGAAGCTATTTGTGTTCTCTCGAGTTTATCGAAATCTTGTAGAGACAAACCTTGTCCCCGAAAGATAGTAAAACTTTGGTTTTCTTTACCGAATTGCTGTGAATGAAGTTTTGCAATTTCATCACGTAAGTCACGAATAAGAAAGTCTATATTCATAATAATGTCATACTCTAAAGTACGCAATGTACGATTAAGCATTTGCTAGGTGAAACATTCTCGAGTGTACACCAAATCGATGTTTCCGGACGGTAATAACGCTCGAATTCATTGATGATTTGCAATTCTTCGACATTGTTGCTGTACTTTAATTCGAAGAGAATTTTGTTTGAAAATGTGTGTATACATGAATGATGGATCTAACTGATCTAGATCTATAGTTGTTTTTGAAACGAAACTAACAGCAATGGAATCTTGGTTGCATTGCTTCGTACTTTTCTTGAGAGATTCGACAATCTATTCGATTTCAGTCTAAACACTTTTGATTTTACATTTTTTGGCTACTTAGATTTCAATGTGCTCATCACTTTATGTTCGAAAAAGAATAACAGGCGATCAACATGAAACATGGCTATTTCAATGCTCTATTGTTGTCGCAACTCGATTTATTTTGCTTTTGTTTATATTCGACGACTTATGTTAACAGAGACAAAAAAGATAGTCACTTGAATACATCTGCGACGAAAATAATTAGAAGAAAAGAGTGACAATTTTCATAGAGCCCTGAACTACACATTTATTGTATGTATAGTACATAAACAAGAAAATATAATCATCAAACAAAGAAGTTGGGCAAGCACATGAAGAGTGAAATACATGAGTAACACTACACAAACGCTTGACGACTACTAGTTACTCTTGTTGTAGACTTTTTCCAATCAGATGATGATTATTCATACTTGTTTTGCGATTTGAAACAGGAAATTTGTCTAAAATAAGACAAAGCATACAATTTTAGGATGCCAACGAAAATAAATAAATATGAGTACTTCTACCAACTCAAAAGGAAATGAATTGCTCATATGGCCAACATGACATATAGGAAACCAGTGATAATTCCAGTAACAAGAAAAAAGTATTTTACATAATCAGCTTGATCTAAAGTAGAAAAGACGTTTTTCCAAGATAAAAATTCTATTTCTATCAGTATACGAACAAGCATTGACGCCTGATACTAAAGTTGACTTGATTGAATAATATATGTTCTGATCGCAGCAACACAGAATATTTGCGTTCCCATTTGTTCTAACGTTGGAGTCCAACTGAAACTAACGGAATAAGTTGTCGAACTCACAGAGACAATACTTGATGATTTCAGCATTTCAATTGGTGAAACAGTATTGAAATCAGTGATGTCTGTTCTTGCACAACCGATTTGAGCAGTTATCGTAATTGCAAATGGCACACCGACTTTCATGCCAACACATGATTGATCGACGTATGGACCACTGGTTGTTGGTGTGAAAATTAATGAACAATTAGGCAGTAGTTGAGAGCCAGTGATAGCTTGGCACATACCATCAGCTATATTTAGGATGTGAACGATATGTCCTAATATCTTATTAATTTTTATTCATCGACACTACCCAAACGAGTCTGACGATATTGAATATAATCATTATCAGCATCAGTAACCAGTAGATTAATAAACGATGTTATCGACCAACTAACTGTAACTAATTGGAATTTTGAAATGTTAGACAAAATCGAGCATTTTCTTCAATGGAAACATAGGACAAGTTTTGTCCCAATGATAGGTGTTGTGTTATCGAATGATTTGTACATATCACATTCATCGTTATGCAATCACAATATTTACCACTATTGGTACATCCAGATGCTGAAATTCAAAGACCAACTCAACAGATGTGCCTGTCTACGAGCAAGGAACTCACTGCATTGTAGCTTTGTAGTATTAGAGCCAATTAAGTTTTGATTAGCCACGGTCGAACTATCACAGTATTCATAGTTGCGTGCCCACGAATAGCTTTGTACAATGGATATATTCACTGTTGTCGAGTTACCTTTGATACAGATGGCCAATAGAAAGCACCGTCTCGAAAATGGGCGCTCCAATCGATTTCTATACATAGGAAAGCAATAGTAATTGTCAACCAAGTCCACTTCATACTCAGTCTTCTTATTTTCCCTTCTATATGAAGATGAAATTATTTTGCATTGATAAACATAAGTCGTAGAAATGCATGTCACAAAATTCAGAGTCTCTGTTGAAAAACATTCTGATCATCATCTAGGTCATTCGATTAGATACGTGTACGATTTCATGGTCATCTCAATACTTTTTTGTACTATGACTCAAAGCAACAACTGAATACACCCTCTACTTGTTAAATGTGAAGAACGAAGGAAAAAGAAAAGAAGTGCAATAAGTATACTTTCAAAGTAGAATATTCTATTCCGCCATTTGCAAGCTTACAAAACACACGTAGAATGTCAGACGAGAAGAAATCGACACCATCACATGCTGAAAACAGTTCCAAAGAACAATTTGGCATAACTGGAGTCACAACCGGTTCCACTGGTGAGCATCTAGCAACTACCGGAGCTAGTGCACTGGGCACGAGCGGTGGTAGTGGTGATATGGGAAATGAAAAATCAAAAATTGATAAAGCAACAGCTGGCCCAGGAGCAACAGCAACAACAGGTGCATCCTCACCTACGGTCGCTACAGATCAAGGAACACGTTAGACAATCTGATCAACACAATTTTTCAGATTTTCGATCGTATTTTTTTAATCAAGTAGAGGTTCAATGATTGCCATGGAAACTGATCGTTCGGTGTTCTTTTTTTTTATTACAAACTATTGTATTCTAATTCAGCAGTTAGTGACTTGTGTGAATAAAAATATTCGTTTAGTTTAACGTAAGATGCGTTTATTCGATAGTACCAAACACTCTATGTTTACAATGATATTTATATACATAATACAGCAAACATATATATATACAAAGTACGCGAAGTTGTTGTTGTTTTTATTGTTTCAAATCAAAACAAGTGTTCAATTAATCATTGGGCAAGCACCATCAGTCCACTAGAGAAAGGAGAACAACAGAAATTTGGTGAGCGGCTATTGAAAGTAGCAAATTTTTTATCTTACAGTTAATAGATGACGATGTTCGGCAAGTGCTAATGCGGACTGATAATCTTTTTGAAGACTATCATTCAATTGAATGACACGATCATTGGTTTCAGCTAAACGAGGATCGTTGCAGATATGATAGAGATCTAGAACGAGAGAAACACATGACATTTTCTTCCGGATTTGAATTGCCTTCGTACCGCGAAGTAAACTCATCGTATTCAATTGAGCGGTATAATCAGGAATTGCTTGATTTATTGTTGTAGCTGATTGAAGCATATTTGCACTTTCCTAAAACAAACGACCAATCAATCATTTTCTTAATGTTCGCAACTCAGTGGAGCAACTCACTTGATAGCTATGCATTCGGAAGAACATATGACCAAGGACAATAAAAGTATTTGCTAGAATTTTGTTCAAATCTTCGTTACTAGCAAGATTAGCAGAACGTCGGAATAGTTCTCTATTCAAATACAAATAAACACATATGCTTGCTTGTCAAATCGTCCAGTATCCTACTTTGCTTCATGCACACGAGTTTGTGTTAAGTTTTGTAAACCATTTAATAGATTACCAATAGAGTGAAGTATTGCTGATCTAATAGTAATACAGAGTTGAAGATACACTCGTGGCTTTCATCTATACAAAAGATTGACTCACTGAGTTGTGTTCAGATCGATATTGATTTGTTGTAAGATCGGAATTAAGTTCGACATTTTTGACGTGCGCAAATAAACAATGATCAGATTAGCGAGAACAGAGAAACGGAACTCTTTATCGCCAGGAAACTAAAGTTTGGAAGTGAAAAATACGGATCATATCAGTCTTCATCTAAAAGAAAGACCTACGCGTGAACGAAGAGCAGTAGCAAACTAAAATGCAAAAGAATGAATTAACATCGTTTATCAAAAACTTCTTTACCTGTGCTTCAGCTGCCTCATTAAAATTCATTGATGTTGCATAAAAACCCTACACAAACATTTCAAAGATCGTCTTTTCTCTGCGTTTCATACCACAGAACTTACTAATAAAGCATGAATGGTTAGCGATCGTTGCATCGATATATTGCTATTCAATGGGTTTGATACCGTATGAAGTCGACACAATGTGTTAATCTAATCAGTCAAATCATGCCGCAAAGATATGCAATAGAAGTTGAACTTACTTCTTTGATAGCTGTGGATTTATTTCCGTATATGAGATGACTTTGTATACGACATTCGTAGAAGAGCATCTCTACTGCCAGTAAAAATGGACTGTGGTCCATGCTTTTGATTTGCTCAATCTGTGCCTGCGCTTTATCAGCATATTTGAGAGCCTTTTCTAATCGACCTGACAGCATTGAATGGAAAACTGTTAACTAAAATTGATAGAAGATGAGGTAGATCGGTTGAAATCCGTTTTGAAATCTACATACTAAATAAACAAGAACATTTAGATGATCACGTGATAACCAAGTGAATTGTTCCAACGGATTTGTAACGATATAAGCTTCTAGAGAACAAAGAATGAATGAAATGATGGATCATTGAATTGTTAAACGACAAGTAAATTACCTTCTTCTGGTCGACTGGCAAGATTTTGAATACTTTGTTGAAGTTGTATCAGTGAATTCTTTGAAGATTTAATCTAAATACGTGGATATAGCATATCGATTTTCATCTTTGCTTCATTCAGACATACTTGACCAAGTCCAAAACAAGAACATGAAATATGTAACACCAGATAGAAGATTCTCAGTGTTTCAATATGTGTAAAATTGCCTTGCAATGAATTGATTCGATCTAAGCACGGTTTCAATAGATTTTGTGCATCCATATAATCTTTGACTAACAAGCGTAACTGAAAACAAACAAATCACGTTAATCCTCAGTTCTTTGCTGACGAAAATCGACCTACCATAACTTTTGTCAATTGAAAAAGAATTTGACAAAATAGCGCATTGATTCTTGCAGTGAATTCAATGCCTCGATCAACATAATAAAGTGCAGTATTGTAATCTTCTTGCGAGTGATAAAGATTGATGATCTGAAAGGTAGTTCGACAATGCCAATAGGGTTGCTGAGTCGACAGATCATAAGCTTGTTGAAGTAATGTGATTGCTGGAGCAAGTTGATTTTGATTTGTATAGATCTTTGCCAACAAACAAAGACTTTCGAGTTTAATATCGTCCGGCATTTGCGCTAAATGACACTGAAACGAACGAGCAACAGTTATGTGTTTATTTAGTGAGAAAAGCATCAACCAACTGCTTTATCGAGATGCATGGATGCCATGTCGACGTTTGTTGTATGTTGAGTATACAATCTTCCCAGAAAAAGATGGATTTTCGCTTCGATCAACGGCGGTAATCGGATCGTTAAAATTGCTTGTAAACATTGAATAGCTAGACGATAATTCGGCGGTGTGCTCGTTCGAAAATATTCTGCGGAGCCAAGTAAAGCTAAATAAACCGGATCGGCCATCTAAAACAAATTGTAATATCAGATCTAACTAAATGCAGAAATAAATAAGATATCTTTTCATTCAATAAACATAAGGAAAACATGTGAATGATGATGGAGAAGAAGAAGAAGCGGGGCAGTTTGTTTCAGTTGGTTTTGCATACACAGAAAATTGAAAAAATCAAAAATAAATTGTTATTACACATCAGAATGAAAAACACGAGAGAGAAGAGAGACTAGTCACAACAAACAATCGGTATTCATGCACCGTTCTTCTTTGTTTTCTGTCTTGTTCTTGAAACACGAAAAAATAGGAATTTGGTTCCGCTAATATGTAAAATGAAACACAGGGATTGATTAAAGAACGAGAGATTGCCTACATTGCACAAAAGATAGAAAAAGAAAACATAAAACACCGTAAGTAGGATGAAGAATTAGTTTCTTTGATTCAATAGGGTATTGAATTCTGTTGATATTGAATATAATCATAAAGACGAGTTCTTAGACTATGTGCACATCGATTGATTACTTCGTGCATATAACGACCAGCATCTGCTTCGCTCGAATCGGGCTTCAGACGAGCATTCAATTGTTCTAATGTATGACCACGGAAACACGGTAAACCTGTATCGAGCATCAAGGCGACTAGGGTAATAAAATGATGACGATACGGTCTGAAAAGAAAGATTGTTTTTTTTGGAATAGAGGTTTATTCTGATTGAAGTTAATTTTCTCTTACCTTAGAGCTAAATAACCTTTGATACATAATTCTTTAAACCATTGAAAGGCAGGTGCTGTTAAATCACCCATGATGAGAATCATTTCAGCAGTTAGTTTGATATCTGGTTCGAACCGCATATTGCCACCAGGTGATGATTCAAACATAAATCCAAAATCTAAGAAAAACGAAAAAAAAAACAATGAATTTCTATTGAAAAAATGCAACTAACCAATATGAACGATATGTCCGTCATCATCAACCCTTAAATACAAATATGCAGATTTAAACTACATCCAAAGATTCATATGCACATACATTATATTGCCATTATGACGATCTTTGATCTGAAGCATAAAGAGTGCTATGGAATAAGCAGCCATACTCATCACGAAATTTCGACGTGCCTAATGTAGAAGTAAAAAAGATTTCGTTGATCAATCTTGTGAATTTAACATACTGTTTGAAATTTGATTGAGTCGTCTTTTCCATAGACATGTCGAAAATATTCGAATAAGCCCACTTCTGTATTTCTACCAATATCTTCTCGAGAACGAGAATTCGGTACGCATTCAATGACACCGCACTACCAGGAAAAGAATTATATTTTCAAAATTATCTTATGTCAAACGACTTACACCGGGACTTGTAGCAATAACACGGTAGGTGTAGAGATACAATTCTAAACCTTCTTGTTCGAATATATTTTGAAAAAGACGCATCAATTGCAATGCCAATATATCCTATTCGAATTGAACAAATGGGTAGAGAGAAGTCCTTCCGATAATGGAGGAAAACGTACCTGTCGAACATCATCTCCAACCTTAAAGATTGCCATTTGAGAATATTGATTTGTTAAGTCTTGCATAAGCTCATAATCAGGATCAGCACAACGCTCAACCTGTTCGATACCAACAGTTTGGACACGGAATGTAGCGCGATACGGTGCTTTCGCCGCACTATTAGTCCATAGCATTTTGCAAGGAAATATCTCTACTTTGAAAGTTTCAATTACCTTTGCATTGGTGCACCACTTTCTGGTAGTAATGAAATAACAATTGCTTCAGGATTTGATGGAAGATAAACTCCCGCTGGCACTTCACTACCAAGTGCTCGCAATTCTTGAAGGCAAGCTAAATAGAATATTCGATATCAGTATGGATGAGACTATTGTTTGATGGTTTAATCGTTTTCTTACCTTCTTTACGTGCATTTCCTTTCGGATAGATTTTGATTGTATCAGACACTTTTGTTAATCGATCAGAAAAGGCGAAAACACGTTCATAGAAACTCCTAGCATCATGTGTGAAATCAATTTCAATCTGGCGAGCAATAGGTTCTAATTTGGCTTGCATTTCACTATCAGGTGTATCTTCGTTTTTGAATGTATTCGTTCGAATATTCCATATCAATTGGTGAGCTAACAGATTCGATTTTTTCGACAAAGCCAATATCAATCGACGGACAAAACCCATCTAAAACAGCACACAGCATAGAATAAACAAAAGAGTCATGATTTTCCTCGCATACTTCATCGTATCGAACAGCTTGTACTAATTGGGGAATGTAGAGAATCAATGCCTCGGATTTCGTTGTATATAAGATTCGGGAAGAGAATTGAATCGTGTATGAGTTCGCTACTTGATTGAGTCGGGCACTAGCGAAATAGGACAGAGCAGCAACAGGATTGATTGGAGCCCAAGTTAGAATATGCGAAGTCTACGTAAAAAAAGAGACTATGAATGCAAGCGTTTCTCATTCAGTGTTGCTCTTTACTTCGCATTGCCGGTCATTATCAGAAGTGAGTGTAAAGATGCTGAGTGCTTCTGGTATATGACGAACTTGCAATGGATATGATTTAACAAGACGCTGGATCTCAAGACGAAGAGATTCTTTTGGAATACTAAACATTATATTGAGAATGTGACATTAAGCGATTCATGGAAGTCGATACGTACGTATAGTAAAGACTAATGGCTAAATCCGGTGAAATAAACCACGCTAAACGCCCATATTCTTGCCAAGCTTTATTCGATATTCCATTCATATCGTATAATTTCCAGTTGGTATACGTTGATTGTGTATCTTGATCGAATTGAAGTTCAGGTCGTCCTAACGGGTTGTGAAACGTTTCTAAACGTTCGATTTCATATGCCTAAAAATACTCAACATTATTTGATTCTATTTCATCACGATCGAGTTTACCAATAAAGTTAAAAGAAGATTTCTTTTTTTCAGCAGATCTCGCGATAGGATTCGTGCATCATTACTTCGCTCAGTATTTTTGGCCGATGTTGCTAGAAATGAATCAATTATTTTGCATTAACAGCACATCCATTCCTATCGTACCAGACTTTCGACTTATAGTTGATTGTGCACTGACTCCGGGTGCCACTGCAGCATTTCCAGCTAGCGTATTCATCCATCCAGTTGATGCTGTTCCTTTGCCTGTTCCATACAGGGAAGCTACATCACTGGCTTCGTTATTCAAACCATTTTGTATTGAACTACTGGCATCGACTAAAGAGAGAAAAACCAGTCAATGATCGATATGAACGAAAATTATGGAAAACAAAACATAACATACTTGTCATCGGTGAATCATTGCAGAATTTCTTTTCACCATGAACCAATGAAAAGAATCGAATCAATGTTCGAATATCGCTTCGTAATTCATTATGTGCTTGAGTTGGACAATGATGACGAACACTAGAATAAAGGAAATAATTTCGCTTGAACAATTTCATCCGTCTCATACGTGAAATAATCAAATGCAGTATGATAAATCTTCTCTCGAAGTAGATGTTTGCTAACACCATTCGCTAAATAATCACTTTGGACCAGATACAAAGCAAGATACAAAAATCGAAATCGAAGACCAACACCGCCCACATGTTTCGTCATTTGTGCTTTCGGATTTTCTAATATTAACGACAACGACTTGTGCAAGAGATCAACGAGCATTTCCATTTCAATATCGGCCTTATGCATACAAAGATAAACACGTTCTTCAATGAACTAAATGACCGGAAGATATGAGGATTTTAAATAGAAAAGCATATAATAGATGAGTTACTTTCAGAAATATTCTATGTGGATTAATCGATGGTGGTTTCGGCTTTAACTCTTCTTTTTCCGATGGTGCTAATGGTGATGGTTCTGCTTTGTCAATGGAGTACAAGCCATGTCGATCACTGATGATCTTCTCCCAAGCTTTATAGATTTCTTCGACAATCTTAAACGTACATAAAGTTTCTATAAAAAGTGTTTAACTAATGTTTATTTACCAATAGTTCCAGTTCAGGTCGACCTGTAATGGCCCAACACCAACAATCAACTGCGCCTTCCATGACGGATGTTGTAAACATTTTTATTGGTAACCATACTATTGCATGTACCATATCCCGGTCAAGTGCATTTTCTTAAAAGAAATTTTCTACTATTTGAAGAGCTGATTGCGTGGAGAATACCTTTTTGTGTACTAAGTCCGTTAGAAATACTGCCGGCAGCGGTGAAATGTAATTCGCAGTCGTTTTCTTCTAGAAAAAGAAAAGACGAGTGATATGCAATTTCTTTCATTAACCCGGCATTCTACTAACCTGAATCCTCCGCATTGTGAACTAACATAGCGGTGAGTTTAAATAAACCATTGCGAAAGTCACTGTCAACTAAAACAAGCAGAAATATAGAATTGCATTGTCTGAAATATGATCACAGTTTCTCACAGATTGCAATTCGTTGTTCGAAATCTAATTCCGTGCCCTTGTCATTAAACGGTGCGACAACTGACATTCGCCGACGACGCTGTTGCGATAGTTTATATCTATCTAATGAGTTCACTCGTTTATGAATAGCAGTTTCCATTTGTTCTTTAATCTGAGCTACTGCTGAACGATAATCATTTCGATCAAGTCCTTCAACCTAATATGAAAATATAACCTATAGGAAATGTTCCTTTTCTCAAACAATACTACTTACGAAACCAACAGCACCGTTGATTTCACCGACTGACACCATATAATCGGCAAACTCAGCCCGATAGAATAATTTATTTCCTCCTGCAGTTGCCTAAGATTTATCATCAGTAAAAATATATTCAAGAAGCTAAAGAAAAAATAGCTTACATTTGCATCGGCTGCTTTGGAATAGGTACTCAAATACTCCCACATCACCTAGTGGATCAATTATAATTATCGAATAAGTCAGTTTCGGACATTTTGTTTATCACTTACATGTAAACCTTTGTGCTGTCGAGCCGCATCACAGGTCTTCTTGCCCTTGCTTATTTTCACCATATATTGCTAGATAAGAATCGATATTTTTCGATTGATGGTCATTCTAATTATCATTCTTACTTGAATACATGATTTCAGTAATGTTGGCGATATCATTAGTGCTTGTTCAACAAATGTGCGACCAAAATCCACAAATGCATTGAAAAGTTCCTATTAAGGACAAAAATCATTATTCCATGTTGGAATTGACGGATCATACGAACCAATCGTTTCTCATGTGTATCAACAAATTGAATCGTATAGTTAGTATCTGGTACACGATGATGCGCAGTTACTTTGTGTAGATTATCTTCGTTCAGTGAACAAGATAGAATGTTAATGATATTCATTAATGTCTCAATCACGATTGAACTGCAGAATAGGTGTGGGAAACTAAACAAGAAGCGTAGAGAGAATGAGCTGTCGATTCCGAAGAAGACGACTTACGCATTTTTAGATAATAATGAATGGAGATAGATTTTAGCTTCATCCCGTACTTCCGCACGAACGTGGGTTCGTTTGACCATAAAGAACTGGCATTGTGTTTCGAGATTTTTGTTTCGTTCGGGGCTTTTTGGCTACCAAAAACAACAACAAATGGATATGAATAGAACACATTTACAAGAAGTATAGCTGTTGCTCACCATTTTTTTCATTTCTTCACCATAGATTTCGAAACTCTTTCTGCCGACAGCGGTCATCAACGTCCACAAGCCTATCAAAACATGTTCGGTTAAAATTGTTCATCTACATCCACACTTTCTTACCATATTTATCTTTTAGTAAACCTGGATCTTCGAGATAGGAAAATATGCACTGAAATGCTGTAGGTACTAATGAATGTCGAACTCTACGATAAACGCATGAAGAAAAATAGTTTTCTATCTAATGTTCAAACATACCTATATGTTTCGAGATAGTAAACTGATAAGGTATAGGCACTTTGCTCAAATCCAAATCGATCAATAAATGGTTTTGCTGATGGATAAGCGGAGAAGATGGCGTTTAATTTCGATTTTAATTCATTGTTATCGTCCTAGAAATGCATTACTCAAAGATTTACTTGGTAATTCGGTATTTTATTTACTTTGGTTATCAATTCAGCTTTTAGTGGCATTGCCGATTTCAATGGTACGTATGGACCAGTTTGTGCTACTAACGTCGGCGATTTTGTTGCAATTAGTCGAACACAATCGTGCCATTCCGACGGCCACAAACCACGTTCAGAATCAGCAAAACCGAATAGAACACAATAGAACCAAAAGTGTTGAAACAACCGAAAAACACGTTCTGTCGGTTCAACTATCACTGGTATACGACGCATGACAATCGCAATGACCGGTATTAACACACCAAGACTACCAGCCGTATTCGATGCCTAATATCAATGCGAACAAAAGTTAGTGCAGAGTGATAATTGTGACTTTACTTTAAGAGCATTCTTCGTTGATTTTTCACTGGCATCTTTCGCTTTCAGACCAAGTTGAACAAACAATTCAAGTATACTGGTCAGTAGATTCATTAGTTCTGATAAACCTTGAATATTAGCAGCAACATTAGCTAGGGCATTGATTACAGCATTTGATGCTTGTCTAAATGAAGATTATTGTTTCAAGACAAGTCCTTCACTAATGTCACTATGCAACATACTTGTATCTGGTAGTACGTCGACCATTGGCTGTCACCGTATTCGAATTATCGTAGACATGATAAGTCGAATCGATAATAATGTCAGTGAAAAGCCCAATAATTTCTTCGTAAGTTGTTTGTGGCTAAAAGAGAATGAATCATTGCATATTTCAATTCTAGATGTGAAACATTTGGATTTAAACTAAATATAATGCAAAATGTAACGAATAGAAAGATGTTAGCGACTTCTAGCAGTACCCTATTCGTCGAGCAAGGTAGCTGATCGATGGTTTTCTCGAGATTTTTTCTGTGTTCTCTTTTTGGAAGAATTTTCCAATCAAAGACGTATTCCACGGGTGTTTGAGTTAATTTTATCCATGGTATTTTGAGTTTATTGACAAAAAACGGAAGATGCTGAAAGAATTTGGTTAAAAGGAAATTTATGAAAGAAGAATAGATTTGTTTAGAGAAAAACTTAGATGAATCATTCTAAATAATAGCGATTTTCTTCGTCTGAAATCATCGAGAAAACTACTTACGAGGCTTGAGATCAGCATACAGCCAATTTGGTTGATGATAAGAATATCCAGAGGCGATGGTGGATCACCAAGTCGTTGTTGGAATCGAGCTAGAATAGCTTGTTGAGTATGTTGAACATCCTTCAACGTTACAGCCATATGACTCAAAGCAAGTATCGTATTATGAGACACCAATGACGTTTGTCTAAGAAATTAAAGAAGGTCAATCTTTCAATTTGTTGTAATAAAGTAAACATGTCTTCGAGTCAAAGATTCATGTCTATTCTCATAGCTGAAATGGACTAGATAGGGAGCAAGCAGTGTATCATACATCGATCTACAATAAGCGTGTCTCAAATAGGTGCCAAAAACACTGTTCAATGCCGAGTGTACTATGAACTATTGTTACCATTAACAAGTTATACAGCAAGCAAAAAAGAATGACAAATGTGAGTTGAAGTGAAATAACAATCAAGATATTGAATATCACATCGAGAAGAATATGTCGACTGATTCGATTCGACATATTTTTCTCACTTACAATAAACTTTCGTATTTTTCTTTGCTAATGCCGTATCGAATAGATGAACGGCGTTTGAGCGTAGCAGCATCGAGTAGCACAATATTAAACATCCAATTCGAACTGAAAACGTTCATTCATACAGAAAAAAGTTGTATATAACAAAAAGCGTGCAGAGGTTCTACAATTGTTCACTTCCACCAATTCACAAGTACTTACTTATCATTGACATGACCGGAAGCTAGTCTTGCCGAAAGTTGTACAAGTAAAGCTTCCACACATTTCGGATCTGAGTCCAAACAAATAAACAATGATCTAGTGAAAGAGAACATCGTTCACCTCTTCTACAAACTACATAATCGTACTCAACCGACCTGCACAGTCCTTCAATGGCAGCATCACGTAGTTTTTCAAAGATTTGAAATGCTCGATACTCTTTGGAAGTTTTTGCTTGTTCGTTAAGAAAGAAGGCACGTTCTTGACTATCAATCTTCATACTTGTATATCGATATAATTTATAGAGTAATGGCGATGGTTCCGTAAGGAAATCGCATAGTGCTCGAATCACATACGTTGCTAATGATTTATGTTTTTCCGCCAATCGACTTAGTACCTGAAGGAAAAAAGTAAAAGATCATAGTACAAATTTGCTTATTTTACTGCACTTACTTCTAACGATGTGACTAGTAATGGTATTTGCGCTGCCAAAAGTTTAATACTCAACGATTCCTGACTGAATTTTTCCGCGCACTTGGTGCATAACTTTTCCGCTTCTAAACAATCGAAGAACCATTTGAGACTTGATAAAACTATCGATGAGGAAGTGATTGAAATATTTAACAAAGTTCTTTTTGAACATGAACCAAAAACCCGCCGTGAATGATACATAGATGTAGTCGAACGGAAAAAAAACAAAAACATCACTTTTTCTTTTCTTGAAAGCAATTGAAAACAAAGAGGAAGCATCTGAGCGAACAATACTTTGAGCGCATACGTACTGAAGAATCCTTTATCTTGTTTCGGATAATCTAAGTGTAGTTAGGAATAGGAAAATATGTGATTTGATACTAATGTGCAAAAAGAAACCGTTCAGGACATCGAGTGGAAACGAAGATATCGCTTTCATGTCGACTACAGTGCGTTTACCTATTTCATCATCACAGGATAAACAAAGTAATTCCAAGGCAGCTGCATCAGCATCCACACGTGTTCGATAACGATGAGGAATCTTTTCGTACTCATCATTGTCTAGATCGAGTAATTTCGACGCTATTAACTGTTGAACAAATAGATAGGTCGATTTGCGAATTGCAGTTAAATGTTCTGTGATAAGAAGATAAGATGTAATCAAGTCAAGCCCTGTCGAAATCAATTTACCATTAGTTCTTCCGAGAAGTTCGAGATTATCCCGAAATAATTTGATTATGCATAAAATCAATAAATCACCAAAGTACGCGTAGGGAAAATGGCGTGTTGGAGATTTCGACTAAAGAATTCACACAAAGGTCAACATATACGTCTGAGTCCACACTCACACTTGGCATCGAGATGTTCGTTCGACAGATTGAATCATATTCTACCACAGCGACCTTATCTAGATATTTTACCACACGATTGTCGATTAACCTCAACGTCTAAAAGTGACGGGGTAGGTGAATAATCAATAGTTCAAGAACACACGACTTACTTCATGTAAATGTTCTAGAATTGGCACAGTGACACAAACACGAAATCGAGTCGATGTTATGTTTGATAAATGAGATATCCGACGACGATAGGTGGAACCAGAAACGGAAAAGAATAAGTTACTCATTGGAATATCATCATCGAACATGGGTAGATCAGTAGTATCTACTGACCTGAAACAAAAAAAAAGCGAGCTTTCACTTGGTTAGTTGCTTAACAAAACAAAAGATTGAAATCGAGTGAACGAAAAATCAATCAGATCATTGGAAAATACATTCAATCTGTAATTCTCTGGCAGAATAGATAATCACTTCTGATTTCTACTCATTAAACTGGATTAATACAGGCGAAAAGAGCAAGGTGACACGAGCAGGTTGTTTTTTCAATTATGAAAATCATGGAGCAGTTAAGTTCTCTCACTTGTTCTCATATTCAAAATTCTATTGAAGAAAAAAGATGGTTTCAGTTTATGATATCAACAATTTCCTATTGTTAAAGCTCATTGGACACTCTCGCTAGGTTTATCAGGAAGATCGATTATCCTTTCGTGATAGCCAATATGAGTTCTGTTTTGATATGTCATGATCGGTAAGGAAAAACGAAACCTCTTGGGTACAAATGATGAATATATGTCTGTAGAGTACAAAATCAAAGCAATCTTTCTCTCAGCTACTTACGAAAGAGATCGATACGTCGATGTAAGATGATTATATACTGTTGAATAATCCTGTTGTTCACCATTCGAAAGAATTTGATTAGTATTTGAATGTGATAACTGTTGCAGATTTTCATTGGTAGCTGAGAGAACGTTTTTCGTCAACACTTTTGGAATTATTGGACGAAATACAATGGTAGGTGTCTTGATTGTTGAACTATCGCTTGGTATTTGTTGTTCAATGTAAATAGAATGCGTAGAAGGAATGAAGCTGATTGGATATAATTGAGACACTAAGCTCTGATCGTTTATGGAGATCCTATGCCAATAGAAGAAGAAATGTATTTAGTAGTTTTAGGAACAGATATATTCGATCAATAGGAAAGAGCAGAAAAAGGAAATAAGAATCATGTTTATTGAATAGAATAGTTCGAAAAGCTTACCTTCCGATCGCTCGTAAAGCTCCAAATAGGAATGGTACTTCAAATCGATAAATCGCTTGATATCTCTCTACAAGTAAAAACACAGTAAAGTTGACAAGCTATGTTGTCTTTCATGCCAATCAACTTACCTTTCGAATGATCATGTGCTGCTTTGCGTATACCTTCAATGATCTGTCGTATTGTATCAGCAACCAGAAACATGATCTAGCAGAGATTAATAATAAACTTTAAAGAATTCGTTCGGAAAGATTCGTTACTCTATCTCTGGTTTTAGAATCATCCGATGTAGCTGCTAATTCAGTTAACGATGTATGAAGACAAAAACTGAACACTTCAGCTGGCGGCAAAGCTATACAGAAGAGAAGAACCACTACGTAAAACGAATTGTTATGCTAAATAAGATGCTTTACCGTGCTTATAATTAAATGATGCTACTTCATAGTATTTAGCCACAGGTATTTTGTGATACAATCCAGTTAGAACTTTGACAATATCTTCTCGAATCTAAAGTAAAGAGAGAGATAATTTAGATTTCGAACTACTATCTTTCAGTTCTCACTTTGCATTTGTCTGAAAGCTCAACAGCTAGATAAGCTAATGAAAGGACTACATTCTCTAGTCGTTGATCAATGTATAACTTGTGAGTCGAGTGTGTTCGATCGCGAACTTGTTTTATTAAAGAATTCAGTAGATGTGATGCACGCTAAATAGAACAAGGAATGTGTTCAAAATTTAGAAACATCAAATTTCTCTATTAAAATACTTTATTATACTCCAGCAATTGATCGGGATCACTTGCTTTGGAAATCGATCGAATAAATGATAGAAGTATATTAAGATGATTCGCTTCCAGTGGCATTACTAATTATAAGTGTTTGAAAATAGGAGTATTGAATAAATGCATCCTATTGATCATCTTTATTCATTCTTTATTTATTGTTTCCTTATTTCTCTTTTTCATTCTGTCCTGCTCGTCATTGAGCTTCATTCTCTGCGAATCATATTATTTGCTTTATTTTGTCATTCGAGTCGCTATCATCGACTCGTGACATCTACACGCACATATTAACATAATTGGTATTAAGGAGCAACTGTTATCGTCATGATTAATGAAACCATCTTGTAAACGTCAGTTTATCTTGTTAATGATTTTAACGTAATTGCTAATTGTTTGTTGATAAATGAATTGATATCTTTTTTTGTTTCGAAAAATCTGAACAAAAATCGATTCGTTAGATGACAAAAGAGACGATGACGATTGTAATTCAATCATCTATTCATTGATGTTCTCCTGTGGTGTTGTCGTTTGATAAGTTTTCCTTTCACTTAAATTGCACAACATGACCTCTTCATATTGAGAAATGAGCGAAGAAAAACATCTTCGAGCCCTTGTCGTGCCTTCCTGTTGATAGCAATTTCTGTAAGTATGTCGCCACGGAAAGTTCGTTCTATAATCTGCAATGAATAAATTACTTTTGTGGCTCCGTCGATGAACGCGTAGTTTTTTTCACACAAACTTATTTCGTGATTAAAACCAATTAGATGCTATGATGAAAAATGAATGGTCGAGTTTTTTTTGCTCAATTGACGTTCTATGATGAGCGGGGCACGGAATAAACAATGATTTTTCTGCTTTTAGTAGTAATTTTCTTGTTTGTGTGTGATTGCTGGGTTTATTTTATATAAGATGAATCAAAAACTCATTTGTACCATACAGACTCCATAATTAGCTATGCTTTCCCAGGAGAAACTCAGCAACACAACTGATGGTAAGTGTCATTTGCTTTAGCCAAACATGATATCTTTGGCGCTGTTATATGTCTTCTTTCTTGTGACGAAAGATGGACTTGTTCACTCGTATTTTTGTCACAGAACTATAAATCGCATATGCCCTTTAGATTCGACATTAATCTTATATGTATCTATTCGGCTGAATTACCGAGAACTACCGACAACAACATACGACATTTGCTAATTCTATTCCAAAATTGTTCATGTTATAGGCAGAAAACACGACAATGATGATGACATCAAGCACGCACATCAGTGCCAATAGAAGAAAGAGTCTTCGTCTTCTTCTCCCTATTCTGTTTCCCTATTGTGTATGTTTGTTTGTGCAGATGAAATGTTGTCACGATTACTTAGGACTACAAATAGAAAACGAACGACCGTACATTGTTCAATAAAAGATAAGGAAAAAAGGTCGATGACTGGAATGACAATAGAGATTGCAACTTCGAAGATGTGTGTATTACGTTTCGAACCTGTTCGTCAGCGCTGAATAGGAGTAACGTTTTGTTTAGAAAGAAAGACTGGAAGAACAAAGAGTCTGGTTGCGGAAACTGTGGATGGTACGGAGAAAGGAAAGTATATAATAATAATAATAATAGTAGTCAAAGAAAGAGGGAGGGAACGAGAGAAGGAGGGATAGAGAGCAAAGCAAAAAACGAGAAGCTGTCTTTCTCTCTCTCTCTGTTTTTTCCTTCTGTCTGTAGTAGAAGAATTCTATGCATAGATACACATAAACATCATGAGTCTATCAAGTTTCATAGATTGTGTATAGAACGATCTTCTGCTTAAATATATGTAACAAACCTAATCTATAAAGTATTTTTGTGTTATATCCTGGCATGACCTTTCGAAATATCATTTCCGAGATAGTTTTGGTCTATTTTTTTATGCTTTTTCTTCTTCTTGCACATATGCTTTTTTTCCAGAAAACAGAAAATATGCTGTATCTTTGTAAGATCAAAGTGAAATCTACTGTATCGATCTTTGTCTAATGTTATTTATTATTTCCAATAGAAGCACAGACATTTCTCAATACTCTAATGTCATTAATGCGATCATCTGCACAGCCTATGACCATTACTACGCGACCTTCTCTATATCAACCACGAACTCATTCAAGCAGTAGTCGAAATGCTACAACACTATCATTAACTACATTAATAATTCAAACAATCATAGAGCCAAGTGATATATACGATCCAAGTATCACCAAACCGTTTGCTGTTGTTTGTTTATTCGTTGGATCCGTCGGCAATTCATTATCATTCATCGTTTTTACACAGAAACAATTACGGCGCTATTCCACCTTTCGTTATCTCGCTTACTTAGCCATCATCGACCTCATTGTATTGTATTTAGGTTTGGGAAATATCATCTTACGTGATTATTTTCTATTTGACATCCGAGTACAAAGTTTATTTTTGTGTAAATTTCATACATTTTTAACATATGTTTCAACACAATTATCGTCATGGATATTGACTATTGTATCAATCGATCGGGCTATAGCCTGCACGGTGATACGTTTGAATAGACGTATTTGTCGGGCGAGATCGGCTGATCGAATCTTCTTAGCGATGTGCATCGTAGTCTCATTGATTAACAGTCATATTTTGCTTTTTATGGGCTCCCAACGCTCCCAACCGTCTCTTTCAATGAATAATCAAACGACATTCAACGAACATGTCATCGTTTGTACCCACAATACATCGAGTACATATTTTAAATTTTTCGAGAAACCTTATAACATTATCGATCTTCTCTCTTATGTACTCATTCCATTTATTATCATGACAGTTTGTGCAAGTATAATCGCGTATCGTCTCTTTTTTTCATTTGGTCATACCACCATACACATTGCGATCAAAGGCAAAACGCGGAAGGGGACACGACGTGCTAAGCAAATCTCGTATATGTTATTAATATTAAACCTCGTCTTTGTTATTCTTTTAACACCGGTAGTTCTGGGTCAAATTTTTCAAGAACTCAACCAAGAGCATCGATACCGTCTGTATAATTCCATTACATTATTAATGTCCTATTCAAATCATGCGCTGAACTTTGTTTTGTATGGAATTGCGTCCCCACAATTTCGTTTGACTCTGAGACAACTGTTGGGCTTTGGTACGAACGATTTGAGTCCAAGACGTTTGCACACATTTGGTTATTATACTTCAACAGGTTTATGAAAAAAAAGAGTGTTTTTTATTATGTAACAAAGAAAAAGAAAATAAATTCGTTTTATTTCATGATAAAACATGAATTTTTTTCTCTAAAATCACAGGTGGCTGAAGAAAATCTTGACAGATCGCATTCAACGCTTCTAACGCTATCTGAGCGTGTAAGCGCACGATATCATCTTTATCATTTTTATACAATTGATTAATTAGCTGGTAGAATGATGGCAGTTCACTTCCGAGTACTGTTAACCATGTCGATTGTTCAAGTGATTGGCAAAGTAGTTCGCAAACAAGAATCGACGCACGTCGAACCTCGTCTGATTCAAAGATCGATAAATAATTTCTCAACGCGTGCAAAATCTAACAATAGACAACTTTTATCGTAATAAATTCCAACTAAGATCTTTACTTCAGTTAAGTCTTTCGACAATGAATACTTCAATACGGTACACAATTGACCAAGATTCGATAGCGCACTGGCACGAGTCATCTCGTCCTCGGACGGCTTCGATGCATTCAAGAATGTGTTGACCAATAACGAGGAATATTTCGTCGACATATCACCTAAAAAATTCCGAGAATAGATCGTATTTTTTGAATTTGAACCCGCGTGTTGTATTTGCAGATCTCTATTAGAATCATTACACTTTCATGTTAACAGTTAATTAGAAACTATATCTATCGTGAGGAATCTAACGAAGTTCAGTATGAAACTTTGCCATTTGAAAGTATCATAATCTCGTAAAAAAGAAGAGTTCTCGAGTTCCTTTCTATCCGATGACATATAAAAAACACAAGAAAAGCCTCGAAAGGGGAACGTCTCAGAACTTAATTAATGTAATGATTTTCTTGCATCTATATCTACCTAAAAGGCGGCATGTTTTCACAAGAATTTCACCGACTTTTAATCGATCCTCTAGTTTTCTCGTCGGATTTATGTATTCATTACAAAGCCGAGGAAGAATTTCATCCGTGTATTGATTTGCTAATGCATGAAGAACGTTAATTGCTGCTAGATATTCATAAGAATCTTCGGCATGCAAATGTTCTTGAAAACATTTCAACAATTGCATATCATTTTCTCGAATCTTCATCAATGTTTCGTGATCAGATCGTTCGATCAAACGTCGAAATAAGATCAAGCCGTGTGCACGAATCGGAATACTTGGATCTTTGAGACAAGCATAGGCATTGTCGAATGTTTCAGCACGTAGATCGCGCTCCTCGTTGACTTCTTCGATTAAAATATTTGAAGTTGTCGTACTGCTTTCTTTGACGGCACCAAATGTGACAAACGCAGTCGATAACTCGTGTGCTAGTTGACGAAGTTCAGGATTGGAATGTTTTCCTTCGATAAGCTTCAATGCCGGATGAAACGAAGCGAGAATTTGTTTATTTTCGGATGATAACTAACAGTAACAAAGAGAATATGAGCAAACCCGCTTGAAAGTCACTTACTTGATCATAATGGGTGATCAATAATGACGCAATAGTGAATACAAGTTGTAATGCTTCATTGTCGGCTGGTAGATCTTCGTCGTCTTCATCAGTCGTCTTTGTTAAAAGTGTGCCAGAAGATTTGCTTTGGTAAGTCTTGCTTATTTTCTCGAGAATTATCTAGAAAAAAGAAAACAATGCAAACTTATCATCCAAGCTTGAGACTTGCATTCAATATCAGTTATTTGTGTGCCTTAAGTAACTAAAAGATACTTAGTCAATTTGTCAATTATGAGTAGTTCTTCAACTTCGAGTACTAACGCCTGGAAATTCATCGCAGGCAAACAAACTTCTATCTGTTTCGTGTAGAATTTCTCAAAAGTTATTAGAACAAACAGATTCAGATTACATCTAGCGAATCTCATTCCGAACTCGAATTCCTTAGATAAACCTTGTTGGATATAGGAGATGTTGGATACCTGAATGACGCGAATCGTATCATCGACATTTTTAATGAATATATCAATGTGTTCAGTTAGATATTCCAGAAGAGATTTTAACATTTCCATGATTTTCAATTGTTTGATATTTCGTTGAGTCTCACTCTCAGACCACAGTAAGTCGTCGTTGGAAATCTTCTCGGTGACTAGTAATTGTAAGAAATGAAGAAAGATTTTAACGACCAATCTTTCGTTATTTTCGATTGCAAATAAAAGTTTGGTTAATAACTGGCAGATGAGTTGCAGATTGTTATCAGTGGAATCGTTTTCGACAATCAAGCTAAAAGTGGATTCCTGGCCGGGCACATATTTGAAAGAAAAAACTTGTTGATGGAATAGAATGCGTTGAAAACATTCAAAACATTGTTCGTTTTCCATCGATGAAAAGATAGTTACTAAAATTTGAAAGAATCTCGTTTTCAATGCAGATAAAGATTGTTCCAGAGCGAAATAGATATTGATTAATTCTGATAGATGAGCCTCCGAGAGATAATGTCGAAGCTGTTCATTAGGAATAGGACTTGTCAAATTGTATAGATCATGAATGAATACTTCCAATTGTTCTTCTGTACAGATATGCTTCATTGACTGATCTCGACATGAGATTAACAACTGAAATAAACTTGGAAAGATTTCATCTTTCATTAATTTCGGGAATCTTCGATACAGTTGATTGATTGCTAAAGAAATGATGATTGTATAACGTTCTTCATGAAAGAGTTCTAGTAGTTGAGTTTTCATTCGTTTGATATATTCTTCTGGTTTGAATTGTTTAGGACAGGTAGAAAGGATTTGTGCCATCGAGACATACAGACGATCATTGGCTGATGACGAGTCGAGAATGGTCTGAAATATTTGACGAACACCTTGATTGTTTGGATGAATCAATATCGATGTTAGTATTTCTCCACAACGTGTCTTGAGCCACAGAGGACTGTTGGCTGTTGTAGACAACAGGCGATTCAGGAGCATAATTTGTTGAATGAATAGATTAGAAAAGTTCGTCTGGAGATACTCGAAACCGTCCGAGGAGAATTCTATGTTTGCATATTTCAAGTTTGGCGAATACAGTAATTGTAAATGACTAAGAATTAATTCTAATAAATTATATGAACATAATCGATGGGTAATGAATGACTTGACATTTGTCGTTTGAATCCATTTCATTAGATGAGTTAATGTTTCTCGCAGATAAAACATTCGATCATGATGCGTCAGGTCTGTTCGAAGTTTTAAGAAATGAACTGATGAACTTGGATTCTTGAGATAGTTTTCAATCGAGACGTAGATACCCTCATCAAAGTGAAGGATTACACCAAGGAAAATAGCAAACGACAATGAACGAGAAAGAGTCGATTCGTCCTGAATGCTAAATAACGGTATGGGCGATGAAAGATGAGCTTGCTCACAAATCAGCAGCTGCTCGAGAAGATGTAAATGAACTTGTAAATAGCGGTAATATGCAGGATGGTCATTATTCAGTGATAGAGTTGAATTCAGGGATGTACTGGTTTCGAGAAAACGCTCACAAGCATTGGAAAAGATTAGATTTATGGTTAGAATTTGTTCGTGTTCTTCATCTTGTGGTGAGACTAAAGAGAAACAAAACGTGATCAACTTCAGGGACAGAAAAATCGCCTATTTTGTACTTTTAACAGTGGATATTGGTTTCATTAAATCATCTAACAGCGATAGGAGATGTCTGTGATCAACAGGCATGGTCAAGTTGTGAAATGACTGACAAATATAAAGTAGACAGATGGTTATATTGCATGGATTTTCAAAAGACTCCACTCAGAATCGATCAACGATGATTTATTATCGAAAAACAGTGACATCTACTCTGATAAGTTCGTTTGCTTTCAACAAAGGCACAAAACTGAGCGGAATTTTTATTGAATCGAACAAAAGACGACGAATTCAGTCTACGCGAAGACAAAACTGATGATGAGATATTATATACAACAAAACCACACAGGTATTTTGGGTAAAGAGAAAAATAAAAATCACCGTTGAGAATTCACAAGAAAGGAGAAGCAATAAACAAGCACCATTGGAATAGAATAGATTTTCCTAAGTACCATTTGTATTTGGATTGTCATTCTCACGATAGGATGAATGTCCTTGGTTTTTCTGATATTGCGTCCACTAAAATCCATGGATCAAAGAATGACGATCAACATCGTTTTGCTATTCACTTACCATATGGTTAGGATCGACTGCTGGATGTTGTAAATGTATTTCCTTTTTACAGAAACTATTCAATAGCGCAATACCTACGAAAGCCGAAGTGATTGAAATGTTTTCAAACATAAGCGCTTACCTCGATCTTCGTTTCGCGTATATTTTGTGATCCATTCGCTTAATAATATATTGTAGTACCTTGGCGTTTCGAAATATTTCAGGTATTTTCGTGTTTGATTGGTGGGGAAAATGCGTTCGAATGATCCACGTCGGGCAAATTCATCTTCCGTTTCGATCAGAATTCTTAAATCATCGGGCGTTAAGACATCGAGAATGTTCTTTCGAACTTGCTAGAAGAGAGATACACAAAACAGCAATCGAATAAAATGAACAACGATCGTGATTTACTTCGTCATTATAGCGTTGACTGAAATATTGGTGTTTAACTTTTTCGTCGGTTGACAAACCTTGTGGGAGTACTCGACGGTCAAATATTAAACTCTTAGGTAGTTTCGCTTTTCTACACAATAGAAGAGTTTTGTTTAGATACTCTAAAATCTAGTCGTTTATTTACCTCCGCACTGGACCATCGGATATAATATCTCTTCGATCCGGTATCATGAATCCACTCAAATTCAGTAGATCACAGATCATCGCACCTTTCACGCTGATATCCAATGGCGAATTGGAATGTAAACTAATGAAAAAGATTTAAACGCAGCTGTAGTCTAATATGCGTATCTTGGCGTTTACCTCGGAGAAATGTTCACCTCGACAATGTATGGTTTACAATTTTCATCAAGAATAACATCAAAACCGAACAATTCATGAACACTAAATTTTCGACGAACATTCGCCTTGGTCAAAACATTAACAAAAGCATCAGCACTAAAACGTCAGATGAATCATTAAATAACCTTGACAAAGTACTTGCCATCGTTTCTCTGAATTCTACTATTTAATATTTATTTCGCAAGATTTTATCATCAAGGCTAGAGTACTCCTCTTACACAATCTTAACAAAGAATGACCTTCATGCAATCAGTACGAACGACTATCTCGTCTAACAATCTTTAATTTTGCACCAATTACATTTTGAATTCTACGAACCTGATTATGGTTTTTATAACCAAGTCTTTAATTTTTTCAATAACATCCGCTACATCAACGTCACGTTTTTTCAAATATGCCCATAGCGCTTTCAGACTCCTAGAAAGAGAAAAGAAGTCGAATAAAAGACTTCACTGTTAATCTCATAGACTACTAACCATTTATGTCCAGTACACGCAGCAGAGTCATTATTTGTTCGATATTCACTATTGTATCGATTCACTGAATAATTAGTCAAGTGCATAAACCGATCGCTCAATGACTTCACTGACGAAGAATATCTGGAACGAAAGTCATTATGTGGTTTCTTCCATCAATTAGAGAACAACGTACTTTCTTGATGCAAATCGGGCCAAACCATCATCAAATAAATAGATACGCAATGGATCATGCGATGGAACATAAACGTACAATCTCATATCAAATTTATGTCCATTAATCAGATACGGATTTGCAATATATCTTTGCACAACAACCGGACGTTTTTTCGGTACTTGATCCATCTTGCTAATCACCTAATCGAATGAGAGAACCTTCCTTCCATGAGATCGAGGGGACAATTCAAAAGACTAACTCGAATGCCTTGTCCTCGTGCACTTGCTGGCTGAAATAACAGCAATCGAATGAGATGTAACTTATTCAATCAAATACGAACCGGTTTGATAATCCACTTCGATTCTTTACTATCTGCTGTCTCTTCGAAAACACGTTTAAACAAGAGAAAATCAGCTGGTAAAACAAATGTTTGAGGAACGAAATCGAATTCTCGTCGTGAATGAACTGCTTGCATGTGTGATAGATTTCTCCATAGTCGATCTTTTCGTCCAATTTGAAATGAACCCGGAAAATGATTGATCTACGAAGAAAATAATTAAACGACAATCATTTATTCTTTTTTGTACCTTTTGGTATTCGCGAATAGCTTTGAAACAAGGTGGTTTCATATGACGTGACCATGTACCAAGCCAATCGACACCCTCTGTGAAGGAAAAGAATTTGTTCTCATAACACTGTCCGTAGCATAAGCTTACCCTCACCTAAACAAATAAACAGATATGTCTACGTTTAAATGATATGATTCAATCGAGTCTTACTGCTGATTAATCGAAAACCAGAACGAAGAACTGTACTTTTGACGATATTCGGTGTGATTGCACTCATTTTCCACTTCATCATCTTCTGCAATGGAGCTGGTAGTGGCTCGACTAGACGGAAATTTGATAGATGAAACGATGAAAGCGCATTGACGTTTTCTTACTTCGTTGAGTTTCCGTGCAGAATCGAATGATTGGCGGAACATTTTCAAATAAACTTCGAATAAGGCCGGATTTGATTTCAGTATTACCTACTCGTCGCGCTGGAGAAGAGAGTAAAGATTTTCATGAGGTTTTCTCTGTTCGAGTCAATGTGTAATTACTTTTATCGGAAAGCAGCTGAATTGGATCAAGTGTGACTGTGCTTTCGCCGTCAACTATTGAAAGGTGAAGAGGAATTGTTTGAGATGATCCAAGAACAAGCGAAAGAATGTCTTACCATCACTTTCAGAGCTACGAAGGGATTCTTCTTCGATTTCAGCTTCGTATTCTTCATCTTCCATTTCGAATGGATCTTTATCAGTCATTCTAGGAGAAAATAAGAAATATACACACGTGTTCACTCTCGTTTCGATCTTAAACTTCAACGAAAACTTAATCTATATAGCGGACCTTTAAAAAAACCTTATTCAAGTCTTACGTTTGTTGTTGTTGTTGTTGCAACAAAGTAACATTTTCTTCTTCGACCATCTCCTCGCAAGCCTCATCATTATCTCCTATTGAATCTTTATCGGCGAGATCTTCCTGAGTAGCTGTCGAATTGAACGTCGTCATTGAGGAGGAAATGATAGTTTTCTCCGTCGATCGATTGACAATCGACGGTATTGATCGATTAAATGGCTCTTTAGAAACTGTTTTAGTTTTGATTGGTCTCGTTGGGAGAATACTAGTCCGACTAATAACACGATGTTGTTCGATCGCACGCGTACGAATCAAATATTCGAGTTTGAGATTTAGTTGATAGCATAATTGCTGAGGTGTTAATTGTTTCTTTTCTCCATCGGTTTCCTTCGGTAACAACGTTGATAGGCGAGTTTTTCCGATGATCGACTTTTGTTGATTACATTTGAAGTTTTCAACAAATGTCAATGTTTGTTCAAATGTTGCCGCTATTGCCGGTAATTTTCTGTCGGAATCAGTTAATTCTTGACGACGTTGTAACAACTTTGGATAGTTATCATCATCATTCAAGATAGAGACTGGAACGACATACTGAAGCGCGTAAGATCCGGTGGGATGCATAGATTTAACTGCGAGTGTGTTTCGACAGGCAAGGATCAAGTGAAAAACTCTTCTTCTTCTTCTTCTTACGCGTTTGCACTGTCTCTATGTGTCTGGTAATAAATTCCAGTGTTTGAGTTCTTCTTTTCTTCTCTTCTTCGTCTTCGACATCAGAAAAGAAAGAGAACGAGTAGAAGAATCGATTCGATTTCAGAGCACTGTCGTAAGCAACAAGGGTCGTGCTGATTGTTTTCTTTATACAAAATGATAGAAACGGAAGGGAGAACGAGAAAAAACGATGAAATTCTTTAATTTTTCATTGCTCATACACACTTCTGAAGCTCTTTAACTACTTTTCTTTCTTTACTTTATCCAATGATGTTGATCGATAGTTTGCAACGATGGTGACAAAAGTCAACGTTTTCTTTTCCTTCTTTCGATTAGGTTTTAATAAATAAATTAAACTATTCTTTGCGGTGTAAAATCATACCTTTTCTTCACCGTTTTACTCAAGGATTACTTCTTAAAAATAACGAGAAAATTAGTCCGAATAGTCAACAGATAGACATCGCATTCAACGTAGGTATTCAAACATAGTTGACAAGTAAATTTTATGTATGTAGACGTTCGAATGTCTTCTATTTTCTCTCATGTCGTTAAGCAAATATCCGAATGTCTCTTCTGCGTGTATTTAAGAAATTGGAAAAGAGAACGAAAACAGAATGAAATTTTCAAAATTTCGACATTATTTCAATAAGAACAGAATAAAATGCTACTAAGCATAGACGAAAAGATTGTCAAAACAAAAACAAATCATCACAAATTATATATTTTGAGTTGTTCTACTTCTTTTCACTATATTAAACGCATCTTCTCCACACAGGATCTACGATCGATCGAATAGAAAAATGGACGATAGATAATTTCTCGAATACGTCTGTGAATATTTCAATTAGATTTATTTTTAAGTACATGTTGACGTCATAAACATTTGATGTCAATGTAGACTTTCATTTTCATATGAACGTGACAAGTCGCATATTGAACAGTCAAGTATCATCATGGATCAAAAAGAATTTCAATTCCGTCTGGTAATTAGAGAGCAGCTCTGTATCTTCTTTACTGTGATCTCTGAACTCTTTATGAGCGATTCACTTACTCGTAGTTAGATGTGGTTGATGCACTAGCAGCTCTTCGTTTCGATCTAATATTGACTTTTTCTCGTCTTCTGCGTGATTCATTGCTCGACATGTCACCATTCGGAATACCTGTATGTGATAGTCTTGTTGTCATTGTCGATGAGAAGTTTGTTCCATTTGACTTTTGTTGATTGTTGTCAGTTCTAAGCGATTCTTTCACGGCAGAACTAGATGTGGTATATGAGAGGAGACTTTTTTGCGTCAGAGGACCTGCTGGTGGTAATTGGTGGGATTGAGAAGTACGATTAGGATTATCGGCAATTGTTGCTACACGAATCACATTATTGGTTGATATAGGATCGGATTTTGTTGGTTGAGAAGTCATCAATGAACGTATATTCGATACCGATGGCATGGGTGGTTTGGTTTCAAGTGGTTGTACGAAATCACGACGGATCATTACCTGAAATATACTATTATTTTACTTTCATGAGACAGAATCACTTCTACTCTGGTAATGTTTGCTCGCTGTTGTTCAATGTTAGTTGTGGGCGGTGGTGCTGGTTTAGACATCAGTAAGGCAGATGGAATAGACATAGGAAAATGAGGCATACGATGTGCATTTGATGTTTCTTCAGTCTTTTGTGTAACATTCACTGTTGTTGCCGTCGATAATGTACTCAAAAGTGGTGGTTTTGGAATCTTTAATAGAGAAATGTCTGATGATTATAGATAGTTTTAGAATTTCAATAAAGTAAGACCTGTAAAGACGACGAACGTTCCATAAGATTGGTTTCTGGTTTCGATACCATAATATTCTCTGATGCTCTTCGTGCAGTACTCGGTACAATGAATGGATTGTCAGATGTTTGTGGTGGACGTTCAACAACAACTACATTTATAACTGTCGATCCTTCTGACATTTGCTGCTGCTGCTGCTGGTGTTGTTGTGGATTGACAGCCTCGTTGACAGATGAGATCGTTGTCTGCGACGATGATGCTGTCGGTTGTCTCGTGTAGGATAGTTTAGCGGCTGGAATATTTCGATAGTTTTTCTGGAAATTTGCTAATAAAGCTTTCTTCCAATTTTGATTATTGTTATTAGCAGTCGATGAAATTTCCATTAGCGAAACTGGTGGAGCGCTAGGTAACTGTTCCGTAGAAGACAATAGGTGACCATTTGATAGTAGTTCGTTGTTTGCACCATTAGTACGAGCAGGTTGATCATTTGTGGATATATTTCCAGGATTTTGTACGCCACCCTATGTTTCAATAAAATATTAAATATGCTTTAGATGAAATGACAAGGATATATCGTTTACCGAAGTATCCATTAATGAGATGACAATGTCTGTGGCGGAAGAAACTTTTTGCTTCAAAGTATCACTGGCGATTGTCTTGTTAAAGTGGAAAATACCGAATAAAAACAAAATCTTTACGTTGAGTTACTTACATTAACCTCAGGGGTTTTTGATGATCCATTTAAACGTTCATTAGCACCATTATATCGCACGATATGCGTCGATATTGCCGACTGTGCCCACGGACGACTTTCCTGCTGTGGTAGAGATGAAATCATTGTTGTGCCTGTAGGATCTGGTGGTTTTCCATTTGAAAAAAGAAGTGGACTCTGTATGCGGGGGTAGAAAGGTTGCCTTCCTTTAGATACCAATGCTCCGACTGTTGTCGGCAACGCTTCATTTGCTGGAGCGGTAATGTCCGTTGTTGTTGTTGTTGTCGTCGTCGTCGTCGTTGAAGAAGAAGTTGGGCTGGTGGGTCTTAGACTATTTGTGGTTGTTGTCTGTTGATTAGTAATAACTCTCGGACGGAAGAAAGGATTCGCATAGAAAGGATTCTGAACTCTTTGACCGGCACTGAAAACTGTTGTATGTCTGAATGCAAATTGAGAGGAAAGCTTAATTTCACTCAAGAAAACATTTCCTACCCTGAAGCAGTAGGTGCTGTTGCGTCAGTATCTAAAAGAAATATTAAAAAAATAAACATCAACTGAAAACAAAGTCACTGATAATCACTGTGCAGTGGGTGAGATGCTGTTTGCTGTCGTGAAGGACGATTGTTGTTGTTCGATTGCGATAACGTGTCATGATGTTGATTTATGAACAGATCTGTTTTAGTTCGCGTGTAGGTTCCATCGAGTTGCTGTTGCTGATGACTGGTGGAGCCTTGCAATGGATAGAGAATCACACGTTTTGGTGGTTCACGTGGAACGAAAACAAGGCCATTTCTGTTCATCCTCCTTGCTTAGACGAAGCAGACAGTTTAAAAGCACTGAAATACAGCAAACATCATCATTCATTGCCGAATTGCCAGTTTTAAAGGCTATTAAAATGGTAAAGAAAAGATCTGTAAGAAAAAAAGAGAAAAAAAAAGGAGGAAGAAAGAAAAAATTCTTCTTTTGCACATGTTCTGATCATCGTTATTAATAATGTTGTCAAGACACCCGTGTCAATCAAAGATCAATCAACGTTCAAATATTCGCTTCACAAAATTTTGATTGTGGTACGTAAAAAAATCATCCACTGGAAAGCAGACCATTTTTTTCATGTAGTTTTCTTTAATGAATCTCTCTTTCAAATGGTCTTTGATAAACTGGCGTGAATGAAGAAAACTGTGAAGTGGCGCCACCCTACCTTTGTTTGCCTTTTCAACTTCAAAATGCTCTTAACACACTAAAAGCATCGCTGAAGAAATGCTATGATTCTTTTGTATATTTGATTATGTCGAGAGCTCTGTAGGATTCATGGATCCGTAAATCATCAAGAAGGGAATTGGCGCACAAAATAAACAGAAATACATCAGGAAATTGTTCAACAATGTATAAAAACCCAAACGATATAATAGAAGCAAATGTAATCAGTTCATGCGATCCTACTAAAAAGAGATTTCAAAGAGCGTTGATAATTATTATTATTATGTCGCATTATTCCATGTAAAATATCGTGCCAAGTAGTCATTTGCTTACATCATAGCATTGCATCTTACCTAATAGCACCATCTGCATTAAGTTCTTTTTGTTTCGTTCTATTTTCACCTATTGATATGAATTCATCGCGAAGTATCATCACTATCATTTTTCACTCGTTTTCATATCAACATGCCAGACCATCGTTCGTATCAAGATCCGTTCTACGGGTGGACTACACCGAAGGCAATATCTCTTTGTGTTCAAACACTGAAAGAATGTAGTGCACTACCATTTGAAGTCATCCAGAAGATGATAGCTTGTAAATAAATTTTCTTTGCCTTAATAATTGAAATGAAGAGTGGCGTTCTAGTGAGTGAAGCACAAATATTGAATGACCAAACATCGACGTCCATGCTAGACATTTTATGGAAAATTGCTAAGAAATATTCGATTTCTGTTGATCAAGTTATGCTTATCTTCAATGGCTTTGTGCACGTTCTTCGACTGGCACTGAAACCACCTGCAGCATTTCTGAAACCGGATGTAAATTAAAGTCAATTCTATTCTTTACATATCTGAAGTATTGATCTTTCTAGATATTTAAAGATGATCTACGTGATTTAAAGTATATCGGTTTACTTGATCATCAAAATCACCTTTTCTCTCTCTCTCTTTTCAAATTAGATTTTCCGAACAGATAATTGGAGAATTTTACAACATTCTCTTCGGCGCAAAGTATGCTGCCCTAAACTTCAATACATGATAGGACTATCTTTATCTTGCTAGACGTGATCAATTGTATCTTGCAATTCAAGAACGTGACCGTCCGCGTCTTCCATCACTTCAGACATTTGATTGGAATCTTGATGTTACGTTAACAACAGCGTATACACGTTTTAATTTGATAACTTGCCGTTTCTTATCTATGATTTATTTCTAGATCTTTATCACGATGCATTGAACCATTACTTCTTTTTCAATTTCGTACAAGTGATAACCGAAATTTAACATTCGAAGTAAACTACCCAAATAGCGAATGTTTTCTTCGATAGTAACAGTTCCTCGTTTAGGTTTCGATTAAGAAATTCAATGAACTGCGTTATAAAACCGCCTTGCTTCTGAAAGAAATGGAAGAAGTCGATGGGAAACAAGCGTTGAAGCTACTTGAAACGTAGAAAACCTCTTGCAGTATTATTCTTCTATTTATTTGTCACTCGAATCATTACATTCCAATCATTTCCTCTTTTCATATGATTGCTATGTTCATTTTTCCTTTTTCTTTGTGTTTCTGGTGGGAAAACAAGGACAAGAGAGAGAGAGAGAGAATGAGATGGAAATCAGTTGATACAATCGTTGATTAAACTTTAGAGCGTGCAGTTCTATTCCCTAATGTCCTAGTGCTTGATGACTTTTTTTTCGATTTTTCTTCATATTCACATATATTCTCTCTCAGTCTGATTTATGTTCAAATAAACTTTAATCCGCTCGTTGATAAACTCATCCCGATCCCTAATCGAAGAAAAATGATAGTAGGATAAAAACCACTGGAGGAATTTGTCGTCAAAGATGAACTTAATAGATGTAATGCAAACTCTAATGGAAGTGAGAGAGAGAAGGAGAAAAAAAATGGTTGTTTAACACAATCTCGTTCTACCCTCTGGCATTGTTGTTGTAACTTGATCAACGGATGAAGGAGGAAGAACATGCACGAAACACATTAGCAATCAATTTTCGAGATGTTGCCTGTCTTAACTCTGTTACTCTCGGCAGGCAACGTTCTATTCTACTTACTCTTCATGCACAGACTTCTTTTGCGAATGCTGTATGTCAACAGACAAAAAAATGACACTCTTTCTATACACTGTTCACCTGAAAATCTTTAATAAAGCGGTGGCACACGCCTTTACATTCACAGAAACGTAATGTCAACAACACGCTCTTATCTTAATGACAAATGAGATAACTAGGAGAACAAGCATGACTAGTGGACATTTTGGAAAAGTTCTCGACGACGCTGTTGAGCGTAAATGTTGAGCATGGAAATTCTTATACACAGATGATGTGAAACAATGTTTGGGTGTATCGTTTTCCAGATAGACTTTCGTTCGATGGAGAATAGATTGATAACATATTCGAAGAACATCGGAATCATAGTTTAAACATGAATGTAGAATTAAAAGCGATTTACAGTTGTCTGAATCGTGTTGATTATCGAATGATTGATGATAACGATGACGATAGAAACATGTGAATACATAGTTTTGACAGAGATAATCATCGATCGATCGTACAATGGTTACGGCGCGATCATCGTATTTCGAAGATAATGAACACGACGGTTTGATTTGAAAAAATAACATTAGACAAATCGAACATAATCGTAGGAGATTATGATTTATGTTACTATTGAGAATAGAATACGTAGGTAGGAAAGTAAATAGATTTATACATTTAAAAGCCATCATTTGAAATAGATGATCTCCTAGAAGAAGAAAAAGTAAAATCATTTATGCTAATTCATCGTTACATTTGAATGACAAAGTGAACTTTCGTTAGACTCACTTCTATTTAGTTAAGTAAAAAGTGTTTTAATCATCTCTTCTCTTGTATATGTAAGTATTCAAGACTATACTCTCTATGCTTACGACACTCAGAGACACATGGAAGGCGGTGCAAGTGCAAGATTTCACTCTCCTACTATACTTACGTTTTTTTCTGTTTTCTATATAATTTGACAGGTGATGTAGGCATATGAGAATCGGACAATGCATTTGTTCTTTTTCCTTTCATATAGATGGATGGATGTATATGTATCTTATCATCAGTCGGTTATTGTTCTCTTATCTACTAGACGTTCAAATTTTGATCAGTAGGCGTCAAAAATTCGAACTATGATGAATGGTTCATGTATAGACGGACAATGATATGCTGTTGAACTATGCAAAAGAGATATAATAATAGTAAGAGAGAGGGAAAGAGAGAAAAAAAAAAGAACTGAAAATTTCGTTGTCTTTACGTCACGTTGATGTGCTCCTATTACTCTCTAGAGTAAGAAAGAGAGAAGAAGAAAGAGCAGGAGGAGAAGAAGAAGAAAAAAAGAAGTATTGCGTATGAGCGAAGACCGGAAGACATTCACACATAGAAAACAGAAAAAAGAGAAAAAAAAAGAATATTGTTGAGCTCACACATCTCTTGCTCTGTTTCTTGTCGTACAGTAGTAATGGACAAGGCTCGAGTTGATGAATGAATTAACGCTTTTTTTCTCTCCTGTGAGCGAAAGAGTTCGTTGTCGTCGTTTCTAATTTCCTGTTTCCGCTCAAGCAAGCTCGTTGATTCTTTTTTAAATAAATATCTATATTTCAATATTAGAATAAAAAAGAATCTGGCTAAACATCATTACATAGATGTTCGAGATAATCAAGTACAAATCAGCTTCAACAAGTTTCTTATTCAATCGGCAATTGAATTCAAATAAGATTAAGATAATGCTCGAAGTCATCGACTGAGCTTGCATGGCTGTCAGAATTAATCCGACATTTGTCTTTTATCAGAGCATTTGACAGTTAGAAAATTACTCTGTGCCAATCGAGAACAAGTAAATCACATGCTTTCGTTGATTGAGTTTTATTTTTTTTTATACAGTTATCATTCGAATAGAAACTTTCTCATTCTTCCATTCTAAGAAACACTTTTGGTTTAGCGAAGATCTTTATCGCTTCATCGAGTTCAACAATCTTCTTTTCGAGCTCTTCTTTCGTTCGGCGTAGTGTTAGCGAATCATTTCGAATTGGTAAATGACTTAACTTGGTCACAAGTTCTGCACGACCTAGAATAAACAAATCGGAAGGACATACGACAATGAATAATTTCATTCGTTCTTACTTAATTCCAGTTGTCGTAATGTTGCTAACCGTCTATCATTATCAATTTTAACGTGACCAGGCGGACAGTCAGGATCAGGAGCATTTGCACGTTCTTCATAGATTTCTTGAGCACGTCTGTCTTTAATTTTTTCAATACTACGTATAAAAAATGATGAATTATATAATCTCGATCAATGCAAACTTACTAATCAGGCGTACGCCCTTTTTGATATTTATGATAAGCTTCTAAATCTCGATTGTACTTTTCTCGAACTTTTTCAACAACTTCTTCACTCTGTGTTTTACGAACTTTTGGCACACTGCCCGCCCAGTGGGAGTTGATTTTAACAAAATCAGCTTGATCCCGATCATCTCTTCGCGCTGAAGACTGTGAAGCGCAAACAGAAGAAAAAGAAAACTTTCTTCAATATCGAAACAACTGGCTTCACTCTCACCAAATCAATTGATGAAGCCACGGAACCGCGACGAGAACCAGACACTGATTGAGATCGAAGATATTGTGGTCCTGTATTCTCATGAGCATGAAGGAAATTACCACGAGCAGATTGCGGACGAGACAATGATCGTTGCGTATCCTATGAAATACAAATCATAGTTGACCGATTGGACGAAAGTCAACTGAAACTATCGTCTGATGAATTGAGTAAATATCACGTGATTCACTGCATTTGACAAATGAAGGCAAAAGGATATTTTTTACTGCCGACTGTTTTCGTGATATGGAATGTGCATTTTGATTTAAGAGAAATATGCAAATGAGCCTATAGCAAACTGCTTAATAAGCAATAGCTTGATGTCTGGCATTTAACAAAGCACAAGAAAGATATTTTCGTGTGAGTCGCAATAATTATTTCGGTCAGCTGATGTTTTCTTTCACTCATTTTATTACCTCATCCAATTTTTGTTTGACTTTCGATTGCACATGATCATATTGTCTAGATTTCCAAAGTGCCTTGACAGGTATGGACTGATTTTGCTCTTTTACTGCTTGTCGCTGTCGAGATTCGCGCATAACATGACGAATCTTTCGAACATTATCACTAACATGATTTCGCGGCGGCTCTATGGAAGAAATTCATATGCTTCGCTACAAGAAACAATTCAAAATTATTCATGCTTATACTTGCTGCAGTTCCTTGTGTTGATAGAAGACCTGTGCCCTGTACTTCAAACAGAAATGGCACGCCGGTACCGTTCGTTGCTCGCCTATGAATCGCCCTTGCATCAGAACCATGCACTCGTGCAACATTCTGCGAACTGTATGATGCACTACAAGACAAGAGTAATTATTAGCAAACATTAATTCGCATATTCGAGAATATTTATACCTTTTGGCACGTGTATCATATTCATAGCCTTGCTCGGCTGGAATAGGTCCGGATAGAAGGGATGGCCCTGGAACGAGAGTAAAAGTAAGTTTATCCGTCAAATTTTACGACATGCAGACCTTCGGGATTTTGGATTACCGTATCGATTTTTCGAAATCGGTCACGATTATTGGGTGTAAATGATCTCTTAAACTCATCTGGCCATGATGATGTTTGCTGAGACAACATTTTCTTCAGCACGAGAGGATCTCTATTTCAACTCCGAAATTCTCTCTTATTTCTATCTAGGGTAACAACCATCATGGTTACTATTACTATGGATTCTAATTCTTGATTCAATATCATCAATTCCGAATTGCAGAAAAAGCAGAATTTAGCTAAATTTAGTGAGAAACGTTAGAATTTATTTTATCGTTAAATTCCTCTTGTTTACATAATCATTAATTTTCAGATAGATGTCAGTAGATCATTCTCGCAGCTAACTGCTCAAATATTGATCAATAAAAATTCACAGAACATTTTTACTCCATAACCATATTACCAACCATCGATCAGTAAAGCGACACGAAAACTAGAACGAAAAAAAAGGGGGTATGTCAATTTATTTCAAGGAACTCGTTTTTACTAGCACGATGAATTGATTGTGTTAATTTCGTTATAAATCTCGTCAAATTGTTTTTTCTTTTCACCATGGACTTACTGTCAAAGACGAATCGATTATTTCATACAGATGCCTGTCTAAACCATATAGAAGTCTATTAATTAGCCAAATAGATGGCCGATTAGCAACGATGACTCAACCAAGATGACTGAAATTAACTGCACTTGTTTTCCCTCGACTTCGGTTGGTTGTAAACGACAAGATTTGAAAAATAGCATTCATTCATTCGAATGTGGTTTCAACAGGTTTGATTCGATTTTTTTACCGTTGATGATCTTATCATTTCTAATAGATTTATGTCAAATATTGATCGTGACATTATCTCCGGCTGCATGTCATACGCATAGAAAAGAATATTGTCATTTTAGTGATAGCTTTTGTAATCCCAACAAGACCATCGAATGTCATAAAATGTTGTGGAGAGAGATAATGCGCGTTCGCTTCTAGTTATTATTTCCTCATTCTTTGAAATAGCAAGTAGAGATGATCAGTCGGATGAGTAATGTACATTCACCATTCACGCAAAAAGAAGACAATGTCGAATCTTCTTTCTGCGCAGAGATAAAAGCGAACGACGACGTCATTTGTTTTTCTTTCACTTTTCAATAAATCATTCATGATTAAACAAGAAGAAATCTATTAATATAAAAACAATACTGATGGTACGCCGAGAGAAGCTAAGAACAAAATAGTACAAAGCAAAAAAAAACAATTTCTAGCTTTATTTTTGTTTTTTGCTCTTTTTTTCTTCCTTTCCTTTCATCTAATGTCGTCCATTTTTACGAGTTATTTAGGAGAATATTCCTGCGTTTTTCCCGCTTTGTAGTTCCATCGATATACAATAGATGTTTGAATGTGTATAGTGAATGCGTTGATTTCAATGAAAAGAATGTCGATGTCAGCAGAAAATATTGAGAGTATGTTGCTTTATAACAGCGAAAGCAGTTTTGCTTATCTTTACTCCTCAACTTTCTTTCGTTAGATTGAGTGTTTCTTTTTGTCCAACGTAATACACTTCACCTTTTTTTCTATTCACTGGAAGACACGACAGAAAAACGTGCTTTACCATCCGACCATGTCTTCCTATCGTGCATAAGTTGTTTTGTAATTGACAAAAACACACTAAGGCTTTGTTTGTCGTACACAAATATCAGAGCGAAGACAGTTAAAAATAATGCTTGTTGTTTTTCTATGTCGAGATATTGTCAAACGAACATATTTATGTATGTATGGTTATAATAGATCTAATCATTTCTGTTTTCTTTGCCGTTCTAGATTAATGTTAACTAAATATGAATGATATCGAACCAACACATAGACAAATTTCTACTAGTGGAAATACATTGCACGAAGACAATCAAAAAAGGTAATTTGAGATCTATTTGTATGTGATTCGATACAGAAATTTGTCAACATGTGTATTCTTATTTAACCAATGCGTCGAGGTCGCGTATAGACAAGAACAAACGAGTTCTGGAACATGCAAATTTGTCCCTTAGGATTTTTCGACAACATTTGATTAAGCGATAAGAAAACATTTTTTTGAAAATCCGAATATTGTTCAGAATACGACGCTTAATTTCAAAGCAAAAGCAAAGGTCAATCACAAATAAATCTGCAATAACATTTCATGTGTCATAGTCGAACGAATAAATCGAGTGTTTCCACTTTCCGATATACCAGAACAAATTTGATTTTTATTGGAATGATAATTAACGAAATTACGAGCGTTTCATAAACATTCGTAGATGAAATAGTGCATCGATCTTTAAAAATTTGATCTCCATCGATGTAGTGCCGACACTCGTCTAATCGTTTTTGTCCTTTGATTCTCTTCTCTCGTCTTTTTTTTTTCAATATTGTCTGTCTACACAAACGGAAAGGAAACAATCCCTATAGACATTGAGCTTGTAAGTTGAAGGAAAAGAAAGAACAAAGTGAGTTTTATTCTCGCCAAATTGTTCGAAATAATAACTAAGAGGTGTAATGAGTATCAGCTGAGCATTTTGCCTCTTCGACATTCGTTTCACACCTATGCTTAATGAAATAAACACACTGAAGGCGTTTGCGATGTATAGCGAAAGGAAACGAAGAACGATTGAATACAATTAATAGGTTTTTTTTGTACAAATAACAACTAATAAGCGTAGAATATAGGAAGAAAGAGCGCCTTAGTATGTATGAGAAAAAAATGGGTCGGTTTTGGTGTGCAAAAAGAAAACGGTATTATTAATGAAAAAGAAAACAACCAAAACAAAGCATAAAATTATCTGTTTTCCTCTTTAGACAATTACAACATCAACGAATTAGTCCTAATCCAGATGTTCAAGCAAATCTAGCCACTGGAAATTATAATCCATTAGCATGTCATGATACTCAACAACCATTTTCGTCGACAAATAAAAGCAATTCTGTGGCAACTAACCCGATGCATTCTCCAGGTACAAAGTCAGGCTCCGTAGCAGCTAAACCTGGTGCCGGAAATTCCAATTCCCTACCTGGTCATCAATCGGGTCGATTAAAAATGCCAACTTACAATCTTCACGAACAACAAGGATTAAATCTCTCCGATAACGTATATCAGTCTAGCTTTTCGTTGCTTTCGACTATAAAGAATATTCGTTTCTTCTAGTTGCATACGACTGGTGCCAGTGGTGATCATGATACCAATACATTTTCATCGTCATCATTATCACGCAAAAAGAATCTTTCCACATCGGATCTTGATCCAACAGAGCGCAAGAAGCAAGCAGCATTGGCGAAAGTTGAAGCGAAATTGGAAAAAGCGCAACGTCTACATGAACAAGCTCGGCAGGGTGTAGAGCAAGAAGTCGCGGATTTTCTTCGTGCAACAACGATGCCGAATACGAATGCAGAAGGAACTGCTGCTCGTACAGTAAATGCATCATTCGACAAACGTATTCGTACTTTACAAGATACGAAAAAAGAATTAGAAAAGAAAATTTCCAACTATCAATCGGACATTTCACGTATTCAAGCCGGAGATATTCCATATAATTACACATCATCAAAAGACATCTTTAGTAATATTAAAAGTACAGCAGCTAAAGTTGCTGGAGGAAGTCTCAAATATCGCTCTTCACAAAGTTCCGATCAACCGACGGCAACAGCAAGTTCAACACCCAACACACCGGATCATATCGTTTCATCCCACTATCCCGACTCAGAGAATTATCAACAACATCCAAATCCATTTACTACAATAACAACACCAACACCGACAGCCACACCAACCGGTGGACCTATGAATAACAATCAGAATATATTAACATCGAATCTATATAGTGGTACACATGATCCCGTACATTCATCATTATCAAGTTCTGCATCCAATGAAATTGGAAATTCGCAATTTTACATTGATTCGAACCGTAAGTAACCTTTGAGAATCCTCTAAATCTCATTCGCGATTCCAGGAAAGATAAGAATGCATGTAATATAATAGTAAACATGCAAAATCCATAGAGCATGCTCTACTTAAACATATCAAATTCTACATACTCTTACTGAATCATATCTGAAAGCTTAATTTCTTTTATGTCTTGTTTAGACGAATATGTCTACGATAATGACAAATCAAATCGAAAACATGAAGGAAACGTTCCAGGTATGTACGATCTAAAGCTATTCTTCGAAAGACATTTATCAGAAAGTAAATGAGGGCTAAGAAATAATATAAATGACACCTTAGGACGTTCTTCTAATCCACTTCGTTTCACTGCAAGTATTTGTAAGTACATTCTTGTTAACGACATAATGCTCAGATATCAACACAAGCCCTCTAAAACATAACTTTTACATGAATACTTTGAAAATTGCATCTATTTCTAGTTGACGGGTTAGTCATTCACGATAGTGAAAAATCTCCATCATTCAAACGACGATACACGTAAGGAAAACTTCAAGCGGTTTTTCGCAATGTTGATTGTTCTATAATTCATAGCGATGAGTCAAATCAGGAGTTCAATGATCAAAAATCCGATCATTCCAATGATGAACGACATACCAGTGGCATAACCAAACGAAATACATCCGTAAAGCTACGATTTTCATCTCAAGCAGTCAATCATGTTCAGTTTTGTTTTCAGAATACCAGCAACGAATATCAACAATTGAATATCAAACTCGAATCAATGCAAAAAACTCTTGAGCGTTACGAAACGAAGTTTAATGATATGCAAAAACAAATCGATTCCTTAGCATTGAGCATCGATACTCAACATGATCAGAACGGTCGGCTGAACATCGAACTAACTGATCTAACAGATTTACATCAAATCGAGATGTCATCAGTGAAAACTGATTTGAAAAACCTAGAAGAACGATTACTCTATAAGTTTAATGATTATTGGAATGAATTGCTGGAAAAGTTAGATAAACTTGATACTAGGGTAAGTTTTCGGATTCGTTCGATGTTAGACATAACAGTTATCCATTGCTGATCGAAAGATAAATATATTTATTCCCCGAAAGGAAATCATCAACGACCTACACCTGTCATATCACTAAGCGGCATGATGTTGATATCGATTTCGGATTCTTTGCACATCCGTATGTCATTTGTTTATTTGGACTTCTATGAATAGACTGATATTTGATGTAAGGAAAGTAATAGCGACAGAATGTGTAAGATCTCCTCAGCAGGATAGCGATTGACTACGACTTCGTGTAAACGATTTCCAATGCAATCTACGATCAATTTAACTTTATTTAGACGGCAAAAGTTGAACAAACTCAAACACATTCCCTCGAAACAGAAGAAAATACGCATCGAATTATTAGTAAACTTGTCAATATTCTCTTGACTGTTTTCGCAATTATCCTTCTTATTCTATCTACAATCAAAAATCTTGTACAATCACGGTAAGCCAACACATCTATTCGCTTAATTTTCATATTTTTGTTCTGTCTGTTTGCAGAATTCATGCCATGACTATTTTGATACTTGCTGTTGCATGGATAACATTTCGTTATTTACCTCCGAATTACTTTCAAACACCATTTTTAAAAAGTATTGTTGAACATCTTCATTCCTAGCTCTATGCTCCTATGTTCTCTTCAGATTTACTCAATGGATTCAAACGAACAGCACGAAATTCTACTTCCGAGTGATAATATAGTTTCTATTTCCTTTTCATTGCAATTTCTGTAATCGAGCCTTGTCTCTCGTTCTTTTATTCTTGGATTTTTTTTTCAAGTATCCCTACATATGTGAAGATGCCAGCTGGTCCGGCTCTTGTTGGTTATACTCTACAGTAGTTCTAGCAGTGTACTTGGTCCTTCTAATCACCAGACATCCATCAACAGCATAAAAATCATTGTTCACCATATATTTTAATTGTATGTGTCATGTCTTCTTTTCTGTCTCTCTCTCTCTTGATTGTACATTGTTTTCGAAGATCTAGTCGTTCATTTGTTTTTCATCTCTGTTTTTTGTTGCATTGCAATCATTACACATTTATTCGTTGAAAGTTTTGTCATATTGTGCTCAAACTGCTTGCAAGAATATTTGTGTACATATACGAAAGCATAATTCAGTATTATATTCTCTCTCTTTTCTTTTTGCGGCGTCTATTATTATCGAGTTGTAATATAACAGCACACAAGCTATGATTTTAAATTCGTTTTTTTTGTCGTCCTTAAAAGCTAATCAACACTATGTCGCTAATAGTCGGTGTTCACAGTAGATTCTAGTCTTATATCTATTGGCTGTTTATACGTAATCAGAATAATAACAACAACATGCATCCATATATCACAGACTCTCAGATTCAGATGAGAAACGAGAAAAGGAAGAAAGAAACGCGAAAAATAGTGGTAGGAGACAACTGACGGACTGTTGACTATTACCAATACAGAAAGAAAAAAGAGAAAGAGAGAGAGAGAGAAAAAAAGAAATATAGTTCTGTTCAGATAGAACGATGGTTATTGTTGTTTGTTATCGGCGAGATTGTTTTTTGATATTATTACTATAATAAACCATATCAAGTAAATCACCTCGACTGGATGTGACAATTAAGATACGATCGTTTCGTTAGTTTTTCTCTTCTATTTATTTTTCGTGTTCTGTAACAACAAAACGTGAACGTATACAAATGATACTGTCGTTTCTTTCTCTCGCCTTTTTTTGATTTTTATGAAAAGAGAAGAAGGTTATAGATGTACAAATGATTGTATGGAAGAATGAAAAAAGAACGAGAAACGTTGATCAACGTATATAAGATTGCATTTGCAACATATGACTTTAATTGTGGTTCTATTATAGTATATGCTTGGGCTTTTCTAGATCATAACAATTGGTTGAAATTTGACAATACCACGTCTGCATATTTCAACAATGGTGTCGAGTCTACTTGCTCGTTGCATTATGTAAGGATATTCTACCTGGGTACACGATTAGTATGTTTCGTTTTTTTTCTTCATAATAGTGTAACGATTGGTACACTTTATCCTGGCTATCGATCCTACAAATCACTGATTAATTCCGACTTACGTGAAGTGGTATGAGTTACATAGACAAAGAAAGATCCGTGCGTTCAAGTGCTTAACTACCGATGTGCTTTGCAACATTTTAGGTGAACTGTCTTCGATATTGGATTGTATTTTCTATATTTCTTGCGTGTGAAACAGTAACGGACATTCTTCTTTCATGGTAATAGAAAAATAATGATAACTAAGATACAGATATCAAACTGTCTATTTAGGTTTCCATTTTATTACTGGATTAAAATCTTTATTGTACTTTGGATGATTTCACCAGCTGGTTCAACAGTTTTATACAAGCGTTTTGTTCAGCCAGTACTCAAAGAGCGTGAACAAGTCTGTCGATCATCTCGGAGTGAAGACATATTTGAAAACGATTGAATATTCTAGGACATCGATCAATTACTCGAACAAACCAAACAGAAAGGTTACTCAACATTACTCGATCTAACAAATAAAGGTTTTCGCTATGCATCGAATGTCGTTTTGAATACTGCTGTATATGTACGGCTAGTTTCGATTGATTGACGAGAGAAATATCAATGTCTTCTTTATTGATCACAGGGACAAGCATATCTTGGCGAACATTTGAAACGTTCATTGAGTACCAGTGATATTGGTAATGAACCAGGCAAAGGTCTTTCCAATGTGCCCGACACATTATACGAAGAAGACGAAGGTTGATATTGAAAATGAGAAATTACATTGAAATTGTTCTTTTTCTTCTAGAAGTAGATCCTACATTTACTAAACGTTTGAAAGAAGATCGAAAATATCTATCCAAAGGTAGTAATATAGCTGCTCGACGAACACGATCTCGTAAGTTTACCCTCAGATAATTATATTCTCAACAAATAGCTAGATTACTACAATAAATTTTTATCACGTTCAGAAGATAATATCAAACGAATGATGTTAATAGGCATAGATGACTAGTCAGTTCATATCGATAACCATAACGTATCTTTTCTTTTGATGGAGACTACCTTCGACTATCTCACGGTAAAATTACAACAATATTTACATATGATCAACTGGCGAGACCAAATCGAAACATTTACCACGGTTTATTATTTACTTTCATATGATATCAGCTGTGAATGATCACTATCTTCTCGAAAGATTGTATTCTGCTGATAGTTTTTTGAAGAGAAAATTTTGTTATTCAATAACAAAAAAGCGAATCATTCAATTTTACCTTACATCGATTGTAAAAAAATACATTTAATCTTCGCTCCCCTGAGGTTTTACACACTGCAGAGAAGAGCACATGTTTTCATCAAGGCTGATGCACTAGGAGTTATCATCAGCCCAATAAGACAAATAACATCATTGATCTATTGTAACCATATGCAATGAAATCATGACGACAGGGAATATCGACCATTGATTTTTGATACAAATATTGTTTTCCAAAATCTAGTAGAGAGTTCGGCGCGTTCGTCTGTAGTTGACGACATGCATCGAGGAAAAACAGTCGGTGTTGTCACAAGTTCCAGCATATGCATGTCAAATACAGTTATCTCCATTTCTGATGAGTTTTGCTGTTTCTCTTGACAATTCGAGAAATGGTCAGTGTAAATGAAGATTTACATGTTGTTTTTCTTGTCTCTTTCTAGAACAAGGAGAGAAGCCAGATCCAGTCGTGGAAGACCCGTTAGGTGAAATGGAAATGGCAAAAGTTATGGCTCGTAAAATGCCTGTGCGTGGAGGAAATAAGGTCACTTGTACAGCAGTCTCCTCATCATATGTCGTAAGTAATTTATCATTCTTTATGACCTCTATAAGTTGTACTCTTTATTATATTCTGCAGAAAAACAGGTAACACAAGTTTTAGAATGCAACCGGTTTTTCTCCTTGCCTACTCATCTTGTGTTAGTTTTTTTCTCATCTCTCTTTTAGCACCTAGCATGTTGAACGAACATTTTAAATAAATGTTTTAATGAACTTTTCTTCGGATGTTTAGAGTAAACCTGTTGCAAAGTCCACAAAGCGAAAAATAACGAAAAAATCGACAAGTCAATCTGCAGCACCAGTTAAACCTACAAACACGAGCTCAAATGATACGGATGACGATGTCGATAATCCCAATGGACAAATCCAAAACAGAACTTAAACTTTTCGTTTTTTTTGTACATTTTATTTATCTTTTTATGCATTTCTGTTCTTTTCTAAATCACAAACGTCCTTAATATTACATAAATTCGGCAAACGGCGATGTGTACATTTTTCTATCTCAAGAGAATAAAATGCCAATTTTCTTTCTTCGTATTTCTTTGTTCAATTTAACGAAGAATATCGCACGCGTTTACATTTATAAATACTGGTGCTGGTTGGTTTCTTTTGTGATTGTCTAAAAGATATTTTTTTGTATAAAGTTGTTTTTGTCCTTTTGTTTTATGGAAATGATGATTGGTTTCTTTTTACTATAAACAAGCTGAAACAGGCATGAGTTCACAAGAAACTCCATCCATTACTAAAAACTCGATGCTAAATAGTGTTGGCAGTACTTGAGTTCGTCAAAGCTATCTTCCTGACTACTAACGACAGCTGTCGTAAATGTGTCTGCGAATGATAAAACGAGTATAATGTGGATCTATGAACTCCATTTTAACTCTCATCGACTAAACTCCTCTTCAGTACCATGTTGCTCTTCTTATTTCTCATTGTAAATAGAGTATATGTAAAAATAAACTAACTCATAGATAATTAATTGCATCGTATTCAAAAACCAAAAAAGTGGTTGTTTTATCTTGTTTATTTTGTAGATTTTTTATTAACTAATCCTGAAAATTCTCCAATATCCAGATGCAATGACTCAACAACTTCAAGCTGGTGATTATGTTAACATTGACTTAGAATTAGAAATTGTGCAGTCTCTTCAACACGGTCATGGTGGTTGGACAGATAATATGTTTGAATGTCTCGGCACAACTGGGATTGTTCAGAGTCTTGATGAAGATTACGATGTTGTAGTTGTTTACCCGAGTGGGAATCGTTGGACATTGAATCCAGCTTTGTTGACTCGAATTGATTTAACTTCCGAACAAAAACTTGCTTTACAACGACAACAAACGACAACAATTCAAGCACGAGCAGCAGCTTCTGCTGTCGTGTCTCATCAGGGTTTGAAAGTCAATGATATGGTTCAGATATGCAGCGATTTAGAAAAAATAAAAAACTTCCAGCGCGGACATGGCGAATGGGCAGAAGCAATGGTGCCGGTAAGTGTTACAAAAGTAGCTTTCAATGTCTTTTTTTTTGTCAATAATTCCATTCTAGGCGTTGGGAAAAGTTGGTCGAGTTGTTCATTTGTATACTGATGGAGATATCAAAGTTCAAGTTGCTGGCGGCTCGTGGATATTCAATCCTTTAGCTGTGGCAAAAGTTAGTCAGACACACTGCACAGAAGGTGGCAACGAAGGTAATTTGAAGTCATCACTCTCATCTGTTGAAAAAATGAACAGCCTGGAGAATTTATTCGAAGTGTGCTGCTTTAGATTAACCTATCTGTTTTGAATAAAAGAAATATTTTCCATGAATTATTTATTTCCTTCTAGAACGACTTAATGCTATGTTGAAGAAGTTGTTTGACGCACAAATTACTGGTGATATCCATGAAGAACTTGTCAAAGCTTCAGCTAACGGTAAAACCGAACTCGATAAATCTTCATCAATTGATTTCATCTACTTTAGGCGATGCAAAACGAGTTGAAGACCTATTGAAACGACCGAACGTTGACGTATGATGATTTGAACTAGAAACATTTCTTTTAAATGCATAGAGTATATTTTGTTTAGGTTAATGGCATTTTTGCTGGTCATACGGCTTTGCAAGCAGCGGCTCAGAATGGTCATATCGAAATCGTTCGTTTACTTATCGAACAAGATGTCAATACAGAAATCGAAGTAAACAGAACGAACGCGGTGTATGCTTTCTAACTCTTTTATGCTATAATTTACGTCTTAGGATAAAGATGGAGATCGCGCAGTTCATCATGCCGCATTTGGCAATGAAACAGTTGTGTTAGAACTGCTCAGCAAAGCAGGAGCTGATCTAAATGCAAGAAATAAACGACGACAAACAGCATTACACATCGGTATTGTTTTTCTAATCCTATTCGAAATGAAAGTTCTCATTGACTTTAATACTACTAAACTAAACATTTCCTTTTCCCCTCAAATGAATATATTCATGAGAATATGAGAAGAATACGTAATAATACATACATTTCACATCAATCCCTGCTGTTCGTTCTCTTGCAGGTGTGTGCAAAGCCCATTTGGATGTATGTAAAGTTCTGCTAGCAAACGGTGCTCATCCTGGCATACAAGATTCTGATGGCGATACACCGTTACATGATGCCGTATCCAAACGGCGCGATGATCTAATTGAACTCTTGCTTGAACATAATGCAGATGCTGCAACATGCAATAACAATGGCTTTAATTCAATTCATCATGCTGCTTTACGTGGCAATTTCTCGTGAGTCATTAGATCTTATCTTTGTTTTCTTCTTTGCTTTCAATTCTTTGCAAATAAGCGGTCAATCAGCAGGAAAACAGATATCACACATCTGGACAACAGTCGTCTTCTTTTTCTTCTTTCCTAATTATCATAAACATGTCGATTGACCGATTGAAAATATCGCTGTAAAAGGAGCTGATTATCTTTCCATATGTTTTCATTTTATTCAAAAAGAATCACTGAGACTTTCATTGTTTTGACAAACGGCTACATTGAAAAAACGGCTTGAGACGTTTGTCTTGTTCTTTTCTTTTCGCTCCCATTGTATTTTTGCCGATTTCGTGACGACATCAATGTTAATGATGATGATGATGATAGTGAAAGCCCTCGGCATACTTCTATTACATTCCATAAGATATCTTTTCGATATGGTCTGTCTTAGAAGTACGGTTTGGAAACTTTCGACGTTCATACTTACATATCGACGAGATAGCTTTGAACAAATGTATGTGCATATACAGATATATATAAGTATAAGAATGTCAGAATATGTATAATATATACTTTGGTAAATGAGAATAAGAAGAAATATCAACGAGTATGAGAGTAGAATCGTACATTACTCTTGTATATATACTACTGAGGATTCCTTTTTGTGCGTGTATATATATATATATGCACACTCTATTCTTGTACGTATGTATATGTAAAAGCGAATAGAAGAATCAAGATAGTAATAGTGGCGGGGCCAAATTTGGCCAACGCATGAAGAAAAAAAATAAGAACGATGCGTAAGCGTTCGCACTTCTTCTGATTGATATGTGTATATATATATATGTGTGTGTATGTATATACAGAAGCAGGAAGTATTTTCGGCTGAGAAAGAAGGAGAGAGAGAGATAAAAAAAGACAACAGCAATGAAATGATGCTTTCTTTCCTTTTCGGTGATCGATAAGGACGAGAAGAAGATATCAAGAAAACAAAAGCGAGGAGAATAGAAGTGCGAGCCGGAGAGAGATAATGATGAACAAATGATGATAACTGAACGAGAATAGAAGCATATACATTATTCTAGGAATATCGTTTCCAAAATGAGCATAGATATTTCTAGAATAACATTACTGCTTCGTTCATAATAGACATATCTGATGCCGTTTCTAGCTTGACCGACACGAGAAAGAAAAAGGCAATCCCCTTGGTGAGAGACAACAATCAGATCATCCATCTCCTCATTCTTCTTTTTATCTCATGTTCTGCCAGCTGGTTAACATCGCGCAAGCTGATCGTCATACCTCATCAATGTTGGCAGCATGCGACCTTTCCCACGTATATATATATACATATAAATTCATATAAATAAATCTCGCTGTATATAAATAAAGACGTACTAATTCATTTTTGATCAATTTTCATTCATCATAGAACGATCTTCTCGTACGCTCTAAAATCTAAACTAACAAAAAAAAAGAGAGAACGATGGAATATGAAAATAAGCTAACACTGACTTTTGAGTGTTCGTTCTGAAATTTATACTAACGTATGAAGTGTGAATGTATGCTCACACGCACATAGATTCACAATAGCATTTTTTGGCTCTTGCTCTCTCTCTCTCTCTTCTGTTTCTTCCTTTTTGCTGATTGAACGGGTATGTGCGTCAGAACGAGTAAAAAAACGATGACTTATTGCCTTCTTTTTTAGTTTTTTCCCCTCTCTGTTTCTCATGCAGCATGTAACGAACTTAGTCTCATCCTACTGCTCCTTCTGCATCCTCTTTTTTCCTCCATCAACAGCGTCAATTCTTTTTCATTCAGACATTTCTGCTCAAGTATCTTCTCTAGGCATGTGTTGGTCATCGACAAGACAAAAAAGAAACGTTTTCTCAATCATGAAAATAAAAATAAATAATTCTTCTCCTCTCAGAAAGCCTCTCTTGGAAATCATAGATAACAAAATCGAGTTTTTCCTTCTCTTGATATCCTCCAGCGAAGTGCTGTGTCTTACTATCTGATGAATGACTTGTTTTGTCTTCGACAAATTGTTGTTGTTGTTGTTATTCTTATTACCCTTCATGGTTATATCCCGGAGTATCAAGAATGTACAGAAGAGAAACGAAGACAAATTCTTTGCAATATGGATCGATAATTACTTAGAAAAATATACAAAAATATAAATAAATAAATAAATCGACATTGAATGCTAATATGTGTGTTAATTCGTTGATGTTGTTGTTTGTTTCAGTGCTATCGAACTGATTCTATCGAAAATTCAAAATCGTCAATGGCTTGTCGATGAAAAGAAAGATGATGGATTTACAGCTTTGCATTTAGCTGCACTTAATGATCATTGTCTTGTTGCGGAATTACTTTTGACTAAAGGAAATGCATCCATTAATGTACAAAACACAAGTTTACAAACTCCACTTCATCTTGCTGTCGGTCGACAACATATTCAGATAGTTAATGTACGAAAAAGAAAACTTCATCGAATGTTTCCATTTCAAGTCTCTACTCTTGTTCGTTCTTTTTTCGTTTCTCTTAGTTATTATGTAGTAAAAATGCCAATGTTAATCTCGTTGACAAAGATGGTGATACGTGCTTGCATGAAGCATTAAGACATCACACATTATCGCAATTGAAGCAATTACAAGATGTGGGCGATAGTGGCAAAGTTAGTTTGGATTTGGAAAAAGCATGATGAGTATTTATTTGTTGTTTTAGACAATGAACATATTCACGAATACAAACGGTTATGATAAACGGCCAAGTGTAGTCATTGCGTGTACATTAGTCAGCTCCGGTGCCGATTTATCGATGAGAAACAAGAAGAATCAAACACCATTCGATCTTTGCCCTGATCCACACCTTTGTCGACTTTTAACACAAAAGAATATGTAAATTCGATTGAAGGATTTCTTTCTCAATTTCAATCGGTTGTCTTCTTTCGTTTTAGAGAATACAAACAAGAACACAGTAAAAATCAGCCATTCTCTGATAATAGTAATTCAATTGAATGTCTTGTTTGTTCGGATAACAAACGAGACACGTTATTTCAACCATGTTCACATATTGTGACATGTCATTCGTGTGCAAGTCGAGTAAAAAAATGTCTTTTATGCAAAGAGAATGTTCAAACGAGAATTAAAGTAAAAGAATGCTCTTCGATTTGATTGTTTCTTTCTTCAACGAATATTTTCATCTAGATCGAACAATGTAAAAATTGCTCGGAACGTAAAGCATCGGTGATGTTCAAACCATGTGGACATTTAATCGCTTGCGAAGGTAAAGATTTAGGTATGCATATTATTTGTTAGATTTTCGAATATTCATACAATAGAGTGTGCTGCAATGATGCAAGTGTGTCTTGCATGTCGAATACCGATCGAATCAATTGTCCCGTTCAAAGATTTATGCTCAGAAAATAATGAGAATCTTCTTTCGAAATCAGAATCGTTGAACACAACAGCAATACCTTCGAATAATGTGACTGATGCTGTTGCATTAGCACGGCTACAGCAGCAATTGCAAGAAATTCGCGAGCAAGTGCATTGTCCAATATGTATGGACCGTTTGAAGAACATGGTCTTTTTATGTGGCCATGGTATTTGTCAGAATTGTGGCGATCGTGTACAAGAATGTCCGATATGTCGAAAGCAAATCGAGAAATCGATCATTTTATATACATGAAATGAATGAGATCTGCTTGTCTATCTTTCTCTATGTATGTGTGTGTGTCATATTTTTATTAGTTTGGTGTTTATTTTGTTATACATCGTTGAGTAAGAAGAAAAGGAATCTCTGTATGTTTTGTGTGTCAATAATAATAATATTTGAAGAAAATATTTCACAAATCAATCGGTTAGATGGTCGGGTTTCGAATTCATCAAATAATCACGTATCCGCAAGACATGAGGATTGTTTTTTAACTTTTCACTCTAAGCAAGGAACAAAAGTTAGGCTATGTACGCTTTGAACGATAGATGCTGTACCTCATTCGTTTCTGGTTGATGCGACTGAGTAGAATTCGGATTAAATTCATCTATACTAATACTGGATAAATCGTCCAAGATGATTTGGTCGAATAACTGTTCTGTTATGCCATCGGGATCACCTGATGGCAGTAACGGTAAATGATTAGACATATACAGTTCATCGGTCGGATGGTGATGTACAGTCGAAGTTGGCGGTTGTTGTTGTTGTTGTTGCAGAATTGGCGGCGGGGAAAATTGTGCATGCATTGCTTCAGAATATGGAACTTGTGTTAGTTGTTGTTGTTGTTGCTGTTGTTGCTGCTGCTGCTGCTGCTGCTGTTGCTGTTGCTGTTGCTGCTGCTGTTGCTGCTGGACCGGTGATGGAGGGAATTGCGTCTGTATCGAATAAGGATACTGGCCTAGCATTGGATGTTGTTGCTGTTGTGGAGGTATTGATTGTGGAAACTGTGTGGGAGGTTGCATTGAGAAGTGTTGATATGAAGGATTCATAACTGGAAAGGTGGGATGCTGATAATTGGCTTGGGGTGGAAACTGTATTGGCATTGGTTGTTGTGTCTGATAGGGTGCTTGCATAGGAAGTGGAGTTTGGTGTCCTGCATTCATTGCCAGTGGAAAATTCTCACCAGCAAGTTTGCGTACAACCTGCTCGGCAATTTCAGGACGAGACATCAACTGTGCTATGATCGCTTCTGTGGTAATATTCACATATGTATCTTGTTGTGGAGTTGGTCGATTCGACGCAGATAAGATACTCTGTGACAATGTGATAGTACGACTTGAATTCTCGCCACCAGCCACGGAATTATGATCACGAATACTACACGTATCGTGACTCTATGAAAACAAAATCCTAACTTATACTGTGTTCAAAGCAAAAAAGAAATACTACTCATACATTCTCAGCATCGTACATATTCGATAGCGTGGGCGACCAGGTTTCATACGAATCTACAAGATCGAAAGAAGATGAATAGTTATGCATTTATAATTGATTTACTTGGACTGAGTATCGAATTGGATTGCGAATATTGACCGTTTAGTTCTGAAATGTCGTCATCAGTGTTTCCATCATTTGCACTGAAGTATTTTACATGCGAATAAGCAATACAAATATTGATTAGACTTACTTTTCCACCAGATCGGTCACTGGTTTGTATTTTTCGTCATCTTTGACCAATTTTTGCAATCGTTTATCTGCATTTCAAATATTCATATTCAATTATTTTGCTTTTTCATCAATGCTTACCATAGTATTTCGTGAATTCATTAAATGATATGTAACTTCGACCGTTCGCTCGGTCATCAAAACTAGACAAGATACGTATTCGATTCGCATTTTCGGTTTCAGATGTTGTCACGAATCTACTAATATCATTGGCCAATGTACCAGAATCGAATGTTCGGTTTTGTAATTTTTTTGTACGATCTAAACAACAATAGACGTTTTTTCTTCCAAAAAATAGCGTACACATATAAGTAACGAACTAACCATTGTATATGTCGACACGAACAGCACAAGCAGCAAGTTTCACAGATCGACCCGCTGTTGCCGATGATGCAATAGCATTATAATCAATTCGGATCGTATTAAAACGAAGCGCAATAACGGGCGAGCCGGAAACCGAGGATTGAACGATTGCCTCAGCAGCTCGTTCACTATTACATATGCCAAGAAACAATCTAGAAGAAAATCAAATATACAAAATGGAAAGGATTCAAAATGCCAACCTACCCATCAGCATGGAACATGGCAAGAATTGGGTGTTTAGCCATGAATTCCACTTGATACACAAAATTGACCAGAAAATCCTAAAAGGATCAGTACGGCAAGCGATAAACAAAGAGAGCATGCGCATTCCAATCACATACCAAATAAATGTCTTCCAACGACTGAAAACTACTTCTCTGATCTAAACAACATTGAAATGTCGTAATGAGCATTCTTCAACGAGACATTACTTTTTGCTCGCAAAAGTTCCTGTTCGAGATAGGTATTCACACAAAGGTTAGGCAAAACTCCTGTTCGATGTATGAAATACCGTTGCATAAAATATTGAATCGTTTCAACGTTGACAGGTTTAACCTAAATCATCCGAGAATAACTCATCGAAGAATACTATGATTTGTTTCAACAAACCGCGGAGAAACGCTTAATATCTTCGATTATAATTCGTGTTAACAATTGTGGAATTTGATTATTATGAGCGCCAATACCGAATACTAATGATTCCAATGGAAATTGAAATGTCGGTGGTGTTTTACTATCGTTGATATTGAGCTAAAACATACTCAAATTCGAATAGTAATCGGAATGGTTTCGCAAGCGTTTTACTTGAAGTTTAATAGCAAATTTAAACGAATGAATTAATTGAGCAAAACGAACACGCGTATCAGATTTTGACGATTGTTCAATCGTTATACCAGTTAATTCCGCACAAAGAAACGTACGGTATGTACCAGTTGCGCTTGTTTGTACTTGACAAGTTTTCCATGATAGTGAACGCGGTTCTTCTAATTTGTAATAATCCGACGATGGACACAAGCTGGGTTCTAGACACAATTTCATTTCATTGAAAAACCATCATCTTCATCTCAAATCGATCATACCTATGTCGTATAGTTCGATTGTATCAGGATATAATTGCATGAAATCATTCAGCAAACAAATAATCATAACAGATATCTTTGCCGTATATTCTCCCGGACCTTTCCGTTCGTAGATTGTCACTGGATTCACACCCGAATGTGGTTGAGAAACGATCATAAATGAACTAGAAGGTAAGGCATACAAACATGATCCATTTCTTTGCTGAGAGTTGATTCCTAACCTACGAAATATCGCTTCAAATTCGCTATGTAACGGTTGAGACTGACGCAACTTCGGAGCCGACGTTGCTCTAACCATTAAAGATTTCAGATGTTCAGTCGTTCTAAACATTCAGATGAAAGATTTTCGATAGAACCCGTCAAGAACCTACCGATTTTGTAAATAAACCAGATTTTTCGGATTGTTGACTTCAGCATCACTTTGATAGAACAATCGACGTATTTCTTGAGCATGTTTGCGTCCGTTAAACTCACGTTCTCGTGTGGCAAAGTCCTACAAATATGAGCCGAATTCGATTATATATATTGACGGTTAGGATCTATTTACATAGGAATGTGAAGACATAGTCTCATCAGCCATTCTATATTGCATTTCCAATCGAATATCCAAGACTAATCGGGCAAATTTAGCTTCGTTCTATTCGAAATATCAATCGTGTTAATAGTAAGAAGAAAACAAGGGTAGTCGAAGCTACTTCTTTGATATAATTAATTAATCGATTGAGCATCAAACATTTCTCAATGGATGCATCGATTTCGGGTAGATTATCACGTTTATCCTGTAAGCTTCCAGCGAAATTGATCGGTTGTCTAGAGATGAGAAAAAGGCAGATTTATTCGTTTTACCGAACATGGAATCTACCCCGGTCGGTTTCGTTTGTCACCATCGTCAATAATATCCGCAAAATTGATATCACCAACTGATTTCCGAGTTAAAAATGACTGAATACCAATTGTTTTATCTGAATATTCATGTTTAGCCAGAAAATCGTAACAATCAAGAAGGCCAGTTAGTGTATTCTAAACAAATATCGTCAGATCTGCTATTTTCAACTGCAAATCGATGTAATATACCGATTGTGCCGACGCTATTGGTTGTTCTACAAGCAACAACGATATTCCCATGATATTCAAGGCGAAAAAGCACTATAAAATACATACGCGCTGGTGCTGATCGTTTCTTCTTGGTAACACTCGAACTCATAATGATGAAGGGCAATTATAGATCTAGAATATTACAATGCTACATTCGTTGCTCGAAATACATCTGAACAACTGTCGAGTGTTGACTTCTCGGAAACGTTTACTCTTCATCTCACTCTTCATTACTGGAAACAATTGACAGAAATTCTGCTGACATACTTACCTGAACTAATAAAAGAAATCTTTCTCTTGGTTAGTATTTCGATAGCATTCAAACGGTCGACCGGATTCTTTTTTATAATATGATGTGTAAATTTTCTCTTTATTCTCTCCCTGAAAGTTTCTTTCTTTTTTTCTGTTATATAACGACGAAGTGTGCAAGGCTGTATAGAGCAAATAAATACAATAAGAAAGAAAAATGTTTGAAAGAAGTATATTTGATGGAAGTACACGACACTTTTTCTCTTCTTTTAAATTCTGAAGAGAAAAAAAAAGAAACAGAATCAAAGCTCGTTTCAGCGATTCTAAAATAAATACGAAAAGAAAGCAGTCATTCTTTATAGTAACATTTCCAAGAAAAGTTAAATATGCAATGCTCTGGTGCAACACTTCAAAAGTTATGTTTTTCCCGGAATAACGTTGTATGACGCGTTTCTTCTGTCTTAGGTTCTACTCCGCGAAAAACAAAGTCTTCATTAATGTTTTTCTGTACCACTCGTCTAGGGAGGGTGAATGTAATCTGAAAGTAAACTTTCTATTAGTAGAATGATGTCAACCGCACTTTTAAACTTTGTCAGTTCTGTCAGACTGAGGACGTTACAAATATTTCAGCGAATTCTGTACGCATTGTACTTTAAAAAATCTCGAGTGTTTGAGATACTTTCGTCGACTTTTTCTCATAAATCTTTCGTGAACTGATATTTTGGTGAAAATACTCGATAAAAATTTCCGACAACTGATCTATTCTCTTTTTATCCAATTTTAATTCTAACAAGAGATTATCAACAGGAAAATGTAAACACTATTATGAAACAAAAGATACAATGATTTTGTATACATTAAATGCTAGGATAACGACTAATTATCATCCAGTGTAGTAGTTTTTGCTCTCCAACACCGATTTCTTTTGTTGTTTACACTTTTCATTCCATGTCTCGACTTGTTCAAGATCATTTCGCGCCAATATGCGATACGCAATTTTTCATATGCATATACACTTGGTGTTTGCGCTTTCTTTAGGGCAATATCGTACATGTTACTTCGAAGATATTCCTCATTCAATTGACTCGTATCATTGATCACGAGTATAGGTAAATTTTCATACAAAGGATCGAGTGTTGAATGCCAGACGATTGGAATCACATCGAGATATAATGCTTCCCATGTTCGATGGCAGTCGATACCACGTCCACGTGGCGAAAGCCAAAGTGGATATTGACGATTGCGTCGATAGATAGTCGGGAGACTTGAAACATTCACTCCATCTTCTTTGTCGAAACACATCACAAATGAACTTTGATTGCCTTGACAGATTTCTTTCCATAGTTTGATTCGACCGCCGGTTGGATCAGTTTGAGGCCGAAAATTGAGTAGAAGAATCTTATCGGATTCATTGATGTTCTTGTTGCTGAGAGTGGTGCTCAAAAGAACCGAACGCGTCACATCGACTGGTTGAATATAGTAAGATGGTTCATCAACGTTGTCTTCATTGACAGACGGGAGAAGCTGCTTGGGAGAATGTTGTTGAATATCTCGAATAGCGTCAGCCATTTCAAAACAATTTATACCTAAGAAAATAGTCGGTTAGATTTTTTGTTCGAGTGATGATTTTCCAGCTAGAACTTACCGACTGGTATGTGGGTAAATCGTTCATTACTGGATGCATCGATATCTCCGTTCTGAGCAAACCAATGAATAATTTTCGAATCGGAACGCGTAAGATATTGAATGGATTCGCCGGGAGTTTGTGTTCCTCCTTGTCCTGTCAACAAAACAAATCGATTCAACAGAATCGGATAGATTTCTGCGAAAAACGATGAAATTTGATCCGTTTTCACATAGATAATACTTCCTGTTGGAAGATTACTTATAATTGAAGCGTCCCTTTCCAATAAGTTTTCCATTTCTTCGTTGAAGACTGATTCAGGCCAACCGTATACCCAGTCAGCAAGATTTCGAAAGTTTTGTGGACAGATAAATTCTGGGTAATGGTGAATATAGTATGATGCGTCGTCGAAAATGACATGATCACCGGTAATTTCAGCTGAGTAGGGACACGTTGGAACGCTGCTCGTTTCTTCCAAATGTTCAGAACGAAAAAGTATAGTTGAACTTGAAATACATACCATAAAGATGAGTGTTACTAATCGACGACATTTACATCTATATCTATAAAACATTTCTGAAAAACGATGAAGAAAAATGAGTGTTATACATGTGAGCGAAAGTCTATCGATAAATCTTTGGGAATAGGAAATACCAACTGTGTTCTGTTGTAACTTTGATTTTCAACAGTAAACCTCGCACAGAAATGCACTCAAAAACATAATAGCTTGTGACGACAATTTACCTTCATGTTTTAAAACTCCGACTCAGGTGTCACACCTCATTTTTACGAGATAAAATCAATGTGGAAGAGAACATAACAAGTTTTCCAGCAGTTTTCATTTGGATCTTACATGTACCCGATATTTACATAGTGTACATGCCAATTACTACCCATTACTAGTAGTCGACTGGTCAAACTCGAACAAGTCACATTCCTGATCGTGACAATGCATTTAAACTCCAGCATTTTCTAACTATTCTTGTGCTACTGAATGAAGTTCAATCCCTTATGTATCGAAAAGCAGTATGTGACATTGTGCAAGTTCAGAAGAGTCAAGCAAATGTAAAATACTTCTGAACGGATAAGAAATATCATCTGCCAACGCATGCTCGCTTGCAAATAGCGAAGGCCTGAAACTATAATGCACGTCGACGACGGCACATCGTTGTCATGGTTTTTGCATTGACGATACAAGTGAAACAATTTCATTTGGACCGTGTAATAACGTTTGCCATCGATAGGTAGACCTTTCTCATATAAATAATAATATCTAATGGAAAATTGGAAACATGACTTTTTTTAATGTTGGTTTCTGTGAAGATCTTTTTCGCATGCTATTTGTCCCTACTTCGGTGCATTTTTTTGTACTTTGGTATTATCCTTCCTTCCTTTCTATCGAGAGAAGGGTATATAAACGTGTGTTCTGTATTAGAACGAGGCGATTGATGATAGGAAGAAATAAAGAAAGACATGCTGTCGTCGGGATACACATCTCTTCCATCAGAAATCGTCAGTTTCAATAATACTGTTTATTGAAATATTTCATGTTTTCGAGATAGGATCTTGTGTCCTGTATGCAACATACTTTTTCATCAGGATGAAATACTGGAAAACTGAAGGCATCGATTAACAACAACAATAAGTCGATTTGTATATCGAATTGTTTATGGCGATAAAGAACAAAATGCGTTCTGTTTTGAACAGATTCAATCAACATCAATTCTAACCAAGGGAAATGTTGTTTTCAGTTCTGCGTGACCTGTACCTTTTACTCCTTGAAAATGAAATAATGAGTTTACGACAATGACGAATCGCTGTCTGGACTCTAGCAATGAAAACAGCTAAAAAACCAACTATCACTTCGAACGAATATTATCTTATGTTTTTCTGTTTAGCGTCTAATTGTCTTGTACTGAAACACCAGAAAATTTATATATATATTCTGTACAAGGAGCTAGTGTTTCAGTGTGGTACTCAAAGGGTTTTTCGAAAGAAAAATGTGTGTTCAAACATAATAGAAATTGACGCATCACGTGATTACCAGTTGGAATATATCTTCAGTTGATACTTCTGTTAAACGTATTATTGTACTATCTCGTTCTTGGTCTATTTCTTTGAGAAATGCAAATACAGATTTATTAATTTGATGCAGAAGTCTTCTTCGATATAATCTCATGGCATAGTTTATTTTTAGTTTCATCTGCGGCCTGTTCTTTACCGAGACGGGAGAAATTATTATTCTGCAAGTCAACAAAAACATACGATGCAATTGCACCGGTAGTGCACAATTCAGTATCGTTCTTTTCTACTGAAAATGCATACACAGTTTACAGTTATAGTTTTCTCTTCTATACAGTAGGGAATCCAGTAGGAAAGTAGATGCATGTTCACAATCTTTCAACGCAAACTTCCCTATATCATTTGTTGGAGAAGTCTCAAGAACTTAAAATAATAGGAGATTTTCTGTTACGAGGTTTTCTATTTATTATTTTAAATATATAACAATGATATTTTGGTATAAAGTCTTATTCTACAATTTTCAACATGACGTAAATCATCCCATTCATATGTGAATCTGAAAAGGAGTTATGAACTGTCAGTTGAATCAATTCCAGAACGATAATTAAGAAGAAGAATTTAATCGCTACGATTATTGTTGTTTTATAGGAGGAACGAGCAAACGTTTGATAACATAAGTGATAATAGTATGCAGCGGAGTTCTATTTGCAAGTAAGCAATGTTGCTTATTTTGAAATGTTTATTCACGGATTATTGCCGGAGTCAGTACGACAAACTAACACTTCATTCTTTGTTTCTTTTTCTCTGAAAAAACTCTTTTTTTTAAATTATCTGCTAGATAGCAGATACTTTCGTCCTTTGACATCGAGTAAACAACGCGTTAACCTCCTTTCGTCTACCTTTTTATCGTACATCAAAGGTCAATAGTTGATAAGACATTCACTGATCCATTTGAAAACTATCCGCGAAAAAGAAGATGTTATATTTAACCCACTTCAATGATCACCGAAAGTTTATCAAGCATCAAACACTTAAATTTATTTGTTTTATATACAATTTCTAATGTATTATAGCAAACAACTGATTTCATCAGTATACAATCAGATAAAGTTTAGTAAGTTTTGTTTTTACGTTTTTGTTAGTGACGAACAGTAGAACGTGTACGATTTGGATTCATCTGGTCTGCTGTGAATTTGGGTAGAAGTTTGAATTTGAGAAATTTTTATTAGATACTTATTTAATATACTTGATAAACACAATTTCCGTTGTGTAATGACAGCATTGCTTGTCCTTGTCGGATCGTTCGATTCAGCAGGCGGAAACATTTCAGGTAATTTCTCCAGAAGAACCTGAATTAATTTGTTCGTCTCAAAACTTATTTGCTCGCGAAAATTAGATGTTATGTCACTCGATAAATTGACTAAAAATAAACAGTCTGTGATAAAGATCAATAACAAGTCAGTGTGATTTTATTACCGCTTTGATTGGAAGAAGTTGAATTCGACTGAAAAACGAGAAGAAATTTGTGTTGATTATTTGTTGAATCAGAAAACTGAGAAATTTACTTGCGAGAAGTCATCTTGATGTGATGATGCCGATAGGACCGGTGATGTAGGTGCTAAAAAGATGGCGCATAGATATTTTCGATGATTCTGTTTAGCAATTTTTACTTGTTCGTTGTGTTGATTGTTCGTTGTCGGTTGATCGCCTGAGCGCAAAGGAGATATCATTGAAAAGAGAAAACAAACGAATTTGATCTCACATTGTTGACCAAAGAACTGGTATCAATGGTTGGTATGTGTCTCTTGTTGGAGGGGCGACCGAACTCAGACGATACAATTCTTGATCTGAATATAGAATTCATAAGGTATAGCTGATTGACTTCATAGCACACGATCACATACCAAAATATGAACTAAAATCAGCAAATCGCCGATCTGGTATATTTGATAATATACGTGATCGTTTGGCTTTGTCTGAAATTGATTCACAGATCATTTGACACATATCATCCACAAACGCTTTTGAATGGAACGTTGCTTTGATCAGTTCGCCTAATTAGTATATAACAGAAAAATATTCAATGTGAAATCTTTCATTATGAATATCTACCATTGTGTACAAGATATCGAACAGAAGTTTGTTGTGTTAATAGACGATTAGTGAGTGTATTAAAACGTAGTAAGATATGTGGTTGTTCTCGAGTTCCACTCAATACTTGATCGATGGCGCTATCACAAATGCCTAGAAAGAGACTGAATATACATCATATGATCGATCTTCGTTTGCCTAGTTTTAATTCGCGGATAATTACTGGTCATAGTACATCATCGATAGCACGGGATGATCTACATATTGTTCTAGTTGAGTGATTACTTTTGCTAAGATATCCTGAAAAATAGAAATTAAATCGAGATTTCAAACTAAGAAAATTCTCACCTCATAAATGTCGTTCGATGTGACATTCATAATGTTCCTTTTCTCGTCTAAATTAGATGGCAACTATTCGATAATTACTGTGATTTCGTCTTGTACAAACCGTAGATCGCTTGGCATTGTTGGAAAATAAAGCTTTTGGTATGAGGTTGTGGTTCCACCCCTGTGATACGTGTGTGATAATCACAAACACCATCAGTGATGGTATGAGGTTGAATTAAGCGGTTAACCTAGAGTCGAGCGTCGAATTTTAGTTAAAAGTTTTGATGAATTCTCATACATGCTGGAATCTTTGTTCGATTTCATAGATGAGCAATTTAGCAACATATTCCGGGAAATATTGAGCATGCGAACAGATGCCAAACGGTCGTGAGAAAAATGTGAGATTTTCTGTCATATCTAACTTGCTGATCTAATTAAGAATAATTTCAAAGAATTATATATCTGAATAGACAATTGAACAACTTACGGTGACGTTTAATTGGAATCGTAATCGGCAAAGTTTGGAATTATAGAATGGACGAGAACTTCGGCCATCAGTTTTAGTTAATCTTATCGTTTGAAGTTCGGCATAGTAGAACGACTTGGAATTACCGCTTGCATCAAAGATTCGTTTTATTTTCCATTCAAGTGCTGTCTGAACTTCACCATCGTCATCAGTACGGCGATCGAATGAATAGATTGTTACACCTAACTTGCATCTAGATTAATAGTAATCAAGAAAAACATCCGGCTTACCGATAGATGAGAAATTGAAATGACGACGAATGGTATCTACATCTAATAGGCAAAGTATACGTGTTGTCACTTTAGCAACATAATCGTCGTTGACTTTTTCGTATTTAGTGCTTGCAACACATTCGGGCGTGGATGGTTCGGCAACAATAACAAACAAACTATGTATCAATAAGAAAATCAATGTCGATGTTACATCTGTTACTATCTTACTGTTGTAGAAGTTCTTTTATTTGATTTAGTTGCTCAGACGATATACATTCCCGACAAATATCACCAGAATCCAGCAATTGAGAACACAGTTGCGTGACGCTTTGTTGTAAACTCAATAGTGTGTGTGATTGTCTAATTTTATTTTCCTTTATGTAAAATAATCGCTGTTGGTACAGTAGATTTCTATACGCTCGAACTTCACTATATAAATCCTCTGCTGTCTACAAACATTCAATGTATACCCGTCGGAAGTTTCGAGAAGTTTCCTTTCGATCGTACTGTATAAGGTATCGTTGTACTTGTCATGCGAATTTTGAGCTGTTCGTACAAGTTCGTCAAATGCTGAGTAAATTCTGCAGGATTCTTCAATGTATTCGCATTGGATATCTTCAGTATGATTATCTATGTGTTTCAGATTTTACCTTTGTATACTCTGCGATCAATCGATTGAACATCAAACATTTCTCAATCGAATTGATATTCGGTTTTAAATTTCTTCGTTCGCGAACCAGTAGATCCATCCAATTATATTTTAAACTAAGATTATACACATGTCATAAGATATTCTGGCAAATGTATGTCACATACCTTCTTTGATAAAGATCTGAATACGAAATACTAATCAACTTTTTCTTGATTAAACAAAAGAATAAGCCTACAGCATGTTGACATATCTCATTAGGAGCTAGAAAGTCAAAATAATCAGCTAGATCTCTAATTGATTCATTATTAAGTTGTTTGCATTGTCCATTGTCTTCCATTAGATCTGAAACTATTTCAAACACTAATGTAGAGTGTAATGTAACTGTGAATCGTTCTAAATACCTTTTCTTTTGTTTGTTTGCCGTGTCACTTTGCCATGTTCAGACATCCTAGAGCGGAGAGAAAAAGTACCCGATCAGATTTACTTAAGATTCATCAATTATTTGTACAGAGCTATGTTAATTTTAAATTGAGTTGTTCATATGGAACTTGAATGTTGTATTGCACGTTGATTTATATAAGGTCAGATAATCTTTCGCTGAATCGGAAGTTGGAAGAGATGGAAAAAATTCGGCGAAAGTGTTTGTGTTCTTAGCAAATATTTTTTTTGGAGTGTAGTCGAAAAGTGACATGTTTCGCCGGCTGGTTGCCGAATCAGAAGGTCGTAAATTCATTACAAACGCATACTTGTCGCACTTTCGGGTTGAAAATGATTAGTCATCATTTCGTTGACGTATCAAGCAGTAAACTTGTTGTGTACTGAGTTCCTCTGATATTATAAAGTTACCTTGTGCTCTATACAATCCACTCGTGAAATCAAGTCTCATAAAATATATATTATGATCAGCTAGCAACGTCGGATTACATGTGTAGTTTGATTCTCGATGGAAACGAGGTAAGTGACAAGAGACAATATTGAGGATTATTATGAACTCTTTATTCGATTAGTAGTTGTTAGTATTTTTATAGTGAGTCAAAACAACACACGATTATTCTTGTTAGAAATTTGTTTTGGAAAACTTTTTCAAGAGTCTCTTTTTGATTTATATGTTCTTGTTAAACATTGTTCATCGCCATTTGTGGCTTCTTTTTTGAGACGGTATTTTTCAAGCCGTTTACACCATTTGTACCATTCAAACTTATCTTTCCAATATCATTCGCTAGTAAATCATTGTCATTATAAGTTTCATCACTTGCAAGTAAGTCTGTTTCTTCTTGTTTGCCAAATATCTGCGTAAATAATGCATCAAAACGCGAAATCAACGCTGCACCTAAGCATATGTACTGCATGGAATTTGCCAGTGCCACACGTTTAACAGATATCGACCACGTGTTCATTTCGATGCCGAAATTTTCCGAACCGATCAGCCACTTATCATCTTCCCAATCGATATAGACGATTTCTTCTTGAACTTGACCATTCGGTTGAAAACGGTATAAACTAAACTGATAATGTTGATCGGATGCTGACTCTTCCAATGACGCCGTGAAAAGATCTTTAGTAAACTTGACAATTCCCCAATCACCAGTATGATCTTTCACAATCAATGCTTCTTCTAGATCAGGATCCAGTGTTACAACCGATTTATCCGGATTACTCGAAACTTGATTTGGTAATGGGAGTTGCGACCAATTCAACGTATGACACGATGCGAATATAGCACTGTTAAATGTTGCTGTAAATATGTCGATGTCATTGATGATTGTATGACGGATATTGAGTAAAGTTGGCTGTTCTTGATGAACAGGAAGAATACTGTGCAGTGCCTGTCGAACTTTCACATTTTCCAAATTAAATAAGAATGATGTGCCCAATTGGGTCAAATAATTTTGTCCAAGTGTTACATCTTCATAATCGACTGCTTCATATCGAACGATAACAGTATTGATATCGATAGCTGGAATACCAACAGCAAGTCTAGAAAGAAAAAGAAATAAAGACTGAATGCACGATTCTCATAGGAAAAAAACTGAATCATACCGCCGTGCTTTGGGTACTATTCTTGATATAGGAGAACTATGATCGATCGGCTTGTTGAGTAAATAATACAGTGCACCTGCTTCATCATTTCCATCTGCAGCTAAGCCAGATTTAACGGGTTGAGTAAAATGAGTAATTGGATGAAGTTTTTCAGCGGAGATTTCATGTTCTTCCAATGAACTGAAATAGTTCATTGGCCAATAGCCAGCCTTTTGTTGAAGCTTAAGCACCAGTTGCGCTGTTAAATCATTAAAATCAGCCTCAAAGTGAGCTTCAATATACCCTGATGAACCTCGCGCAAAAAGTTCTTGATCTGATGAATTAATTTGAGCAAACAATTGTTCCGGTAGTGGTTCAGCGCCTGGCAGATGATCATCCAACGAAAGAACTGTCGTTGCCCTATTATCTGTAGTTTTTCCTGTTGCACCGATGGCCGTCGAGTTCTGATCGAGAAATTGAACAAAAATAGCGTAACGTTGACATTCAAGTAGAAAAGTAAAATCCGCCACATATTGATAAAAATCCTTCGATGTTTTCCCTCGATACATAGAACCATTTTTCGGTAAGCGATCACCATATAGTTCGAACCATTTATGTCGAGTTTCGTGATCTGATGTTGATAATTTCGAATTGGCTGAGCGATCTTGTGTTGTATCATCATGATGAAGAACATGTTGAAGATTAGTAATCATATCGCGACGATAAACTTCAGGAAATAATTGATGCGTGTGCCAAACGATATCGATATCATACATGGGCACAACATACAATTGAGGATTCAGACGTTTGAGATAAATGAATTTTTTGTAGCGTTTGATTGCTTCTTCGAGAAAATCAGAATCCTTATAGTGACCGAGGGCTACTGCATAATAGAAATCTGCTTGTCTCTCCATTGCTTGACTTAAAGCATATTTGATTTTACTTGTATAAGGTGGAATAACTTGAATATTCGTTGAATAATCAAGTTCAAACGGCATGGTACGATTGAACTTCTTTGTCCATAACTGTTCACTGAATTTCAGCAATTGTTCGGTACGTGGTCGGACGCGATTCGGTAAAACTCGTTCGAACAAACGTTCGCAATCACTGGCATACGCTGTTGGTGCAAGCATATGTGAATGCCATACAAAGAGTATATCGAGTGGTGGAATAATATCCAATTCACCATGTTCAGCTAAAAATGGCAACCAGAATGTTTCATAGCGATAGATCGCATACTCGCGTGATTGTTTTTGAAGGAATTCTGGATGATCATAGAATTCTTTTAGATAAGCCAAATGGTCGAGAATAGCCGGTTTAAGATTTTCGCTAATAACGATTTGAGATGGATGACTGATGGATGGATTAAATGGCGATTGAGCTGCAATTGGTGAAGTTGGTGTCGATGTCATGGTTAGCTTAGTTAGTGAGCGAAAGAAAAGTAAAAAAAACGAAGAAATATACGCGTTTATACAAGAGTATTCAAGGAAGAAAGCGAACGAACAAACGTTAGATAGTTACGCCTGATTAAACATAATCAACGAGCATAACTTACTAGATGAGTAGGATAGGACGTAATTTATCTACAGAAAATATCAGGCTTTTTCTCGAAGGAGACATGACATACGGAAGAAAGTTTATTATTAGTTTTTCATGAAATTCTGATTTCTACTATTTCAAAACGCTTCCGTATTGTAGATATAAAAATTCAGGTGCAAAATGTGAGAAGAACGAGGCCTTTGTATGAAAAATTATTCTCGCAATCATCCGGTGACATCTATGCTACTTTGACTTCTATTCTGTTATTTTTGGCTTTTGTACCAATAATACACGTTCAATTGCAAATTATCTGTGATAATATGTCTGCATCATTGCCGACAATTCATTTGTATTCCACTCGAATTATTTCTATTTTTATCATGTCGACTAGATCTCGGTGCACAGTTCAGTGAGTATGATTATTTCAAACATCATGTGGCGATGACTTCTCGAATTTGTACTTTCCTATTGAAGCAGAGACGTAGCTGTTCATTCGCTCCCTACTCTACTTTTTTAAAAGCTGATTCTCATTGTGCAAATTCCCTTTTTAGTCGTTGTAAACAGCTTATTTCTTCTTTCTCAAACACGTTTATGTCAATGGCGACAGAAGCGAATAAAAAATCTAATAAAGATTGGTGGCATCACTCTGTTGTATATCAAATTTATCCGCGTTCATTCTATGATTCTAACGGGGATGGTATCGGTGATATTCCAGGTATCACAATGAAATTAGATTATTTGAAGAAATTAGGTGCTGATATCATTTGGTTAAGGTACGTCACATTTTCTTTCAACGGACTATCATTCTTCCATGTTGGTTTCCTCTAGTCCTATTTATGATTCACCTAATTATGACAATGGGTATGATATTCGAGATTATCAACGAATTATGACTGAATTCGGCACAATGAAAGACTTTGACGTCTTGCTGAGAGAAATGAAGAAACGTGAATTAAAATTAGTTATGGATTTAGTTGTTAATCACACTAGTGATGAACATCCATGGTTTATTGAGTCGAAGAAAGGCAAAGATAATCCATACAGAGATTTTTATCATTGGCAACCCGGAACGGACGGACATCCGCCAAATAAATGGCGCGCTTGCTTTGGCGGATCATGCTGGGTAAAATAAGAGACCATCTTTCTCTACTAAATACATACAAACCTTATGTTTATTTTTCGTTGTTAGACATATGATATTCTTACTGGTGAATACTATCTGCATACGTTTACAGAAAAACAACCAGATCTCAACTGGGAAAATCCTCGAGTACGTGAAGAAGTCTATAAAATCATGCGGTGGTGGCTAGATAAAGGTGTTGATGGATTTCGCATGGACGTTATCAATTTCATATCGAAAGTACCTGGCTATCCTGAAGGTAGTTTCATTGATGACGGACAATACACCGACGGCTCACGATTCTTTATCAACGGGCCAACTGTTCATCAACATCTGCAGGAAATGCATGAAAAAGTTTTGCAACATTACAATGTTGTTACTGTTGGCGAATGTCCAGGTAAGAACAAACTCAATCATTTCGCGTCTAATTAATATTCCATCTGTTTTCTTCTTGCCATAGGCGCTCATCTGAAAGATGCTGAGTTATTCAGTTCACCTGCACGAAAAGAATTAAATATGATCTTTACCTTTGAGCACATGGATTTAGACGGTGGCAAATGGACGCCGAAATTGCTCAATTTAAGAGTTTTAAAACGATTCTTTACTACATGGCAACAAGGTCTCTACAAAAAAGGATGGAATAGTTTATATTGGAATAATCATGATCAACCGAGAATCGTGTCACGATGGGGAAATGATTCCGAGCCATATCGCGTTATCTCCGCTAAGATGTTGGCGACTTGCTTACATTTTCTTTGCGGTACCCCGTATATTTATCAAGGCGAAGAAATTGGTCAGTCACTCTTCTTTTTTCTCTTCCAAACTCTGCATGTTTTTCGATTATTTAGGTATGACTAACGTTCGTTTTCCGTCCTTAGCCGATTATCGAGATATCGAAACGACAAATTTTCATCGGGATGCTGTTAATCAAGGTCTACCTCTCGATACTATCATGGCCGCTGTCTATGCTAAATCACGAGATAATGCGCGAACGCCTGTCCAGTGGTCTGGTCAATTACCGCATGGTGGTTTTAGTGAAGGAGCCGTGGATGTAAGTCCATGGATCGGTGTGAATCCTAATTATACATATATCAACGTTGAACAAGCATTGAGTGATCCGCAATCGATATTTTATTATTATCAGAAGCTTGTTGAATTACGTCGTCAAATGCCCATTATTGTTCATGGAAAATATGATATACTTCATGAAGAGAATACACATATATTTATGTACAAACGCTCGAACGATAACGGGCAAGAATTGATTGTTGCATGTAATTTTAGTCAACAACCGATTAAAATTGATGATAACCAACTTTCTCAACGATTACGAAATCACAAACAAATTTTAATTAGTAATTACGAACAAAAAGGAAAAGAAGATTGGTTAGATTTTCGTCCATATGAAGCATGGGCACTTGAAACCGCTTAAAAAAGGACGCGCACTATGTTAGTCAAGCATGAAATTGTAATCTGCTTTATGTTTTATTGTAATCTTATAAAAGAAAACAAAAAACACTGACTCGGTGTCATTCATGAATTGCCGGAGCCAACAACTGCAATTCGGGGTAACGTTGATGCTGTTGTTGAGGAACGTTGTCGTTGAAAGAAACAAAATGCAAAGAAAACTTTCGTACATTCCGTACGACTATTTTGAAATGGCAACACAAATGCAATAAAAGTCAGGGCCGATGCAAGTAACTCATTGAATGATAAGATGTAATATAAACCTGTATAGAAGTCTAAGTCGATTGGAATGAAATATCTTAGTAACAGAAGCATTCGTAACGGAAATGTTGTAGTTACTTGTAGAATCGCAATAGCAATAAGGATGATACTTGTTTCATAAATGGATGTTCCTAGTTGCTGCTGCTGTTGTTCTTGGCCATTTGCTCGTAGGTATTTCTGATGGCGTTTATGACGCTTCAAGCCGATGATAATTAAAACAATTGAGATCGTTGTTAATGAGCACGGTAATAGAGAAAAGAGGATAATGTCGGCGATAGCATAGAATTTGTAGTCGAAAACCAAACTCAAATGATAAATGTGGAAGATTTTCGAATAGAAACACCGGGAGAAATCCATGGATGCAAAGTAATTTGGAACTAAATAGAAATGTGTGACAATAAACATGGCTATCATATTGATCAATTCTTCGATGAGTGCATTTCGCATCGTGGTTAAATATCTCGCACGGAATGGTGACCATAGAATAATGCAGCGTTCAATCGAGAGAAGAACAATAGTAACGACGGATAAGTGTGAAAAATAATTTTGAAGGAAAAAAGCGAGATTGCAACGAGTATATTTGTATCTAAGATGATCGATTGATTCGCCAAGGGATTATACACGATAGATGACTTACCTGGGCATAAACAGAGATAATGGAGGAAACCAATAGAATAATCTTTCGATGATACGACAGGCCTCATAGACAGCTAAACATCGGATGTGCAAACCAAAGGATGTAGTTCGATAGAGTGGAGAAAAATGCACGAGAAGAAAAGTAATGATGCTTAGAATGATTCGTGCCAGCTCAAGAAAAGGCGATAAAGTACTGATTACTAATTGTGTTGTGCTTAGAAATGAGCCGGCTTGAGGGAGTAACAGTGGTTGGTTATCAACCAAAGTGCCCGTCAGATTAGTGCGAGTCCAATTCATGTGTTTGATTAGTAAATAAGAAATCAAAAGAATGATTGTTTAAAAGAAAACATTTGCTTTTGCCTTTTTTCACACCTTCCGTAGTCGTCAAAATCGTCATTATTTCTTTTGTTATACACGCCCTTGAAGATTATTATTTTATTTCTATTTTCATCATGAAAAGCAAAAAAACAAAGTCTAACATGATTTCTTGGTTCAGTTAGTCATGTCGTTCACATCGATGTCCTTGCCAACCTTGACGACAAGTGCATTGGTAGAAGCCTGTACATCGACCCCCATTCAAACAAGGCAATGGACAAAATGCTAGGAGAAAAAGAAACGTTCATTTAAATCTTCTTCTTTTTACAATAAGTCTCCTACCGTTTCGGCATTGACTTTTACAGACACATTTCCCATCAAGACAAATTTCATTTGATTTACATGTATTATTACATTGATCACATGAATTTGTTTTACAAATACATCTTCCACTGAGACAAGATTCATGTGAACGACAACCGCCCCGTCTTGTACCACACATGCAGATATCTGATTGACAGACTTCTCCCTTGCCACATTTACCGCGTGAACCGCAACTACATGATTGATTACGACAACGCTCACCTACTTCACAAATTTCATAGCATGGTCGATCGAATTCACACAATCCTAAATGAATAACAAACTAGGACTGTTTTCTCAAATGTACAACTAACCTTTATAACAACCGCAGCGACCGTCCACACAGACTTGACCAGGCCGACATACCACAGGGCAATACGGTGTTAACGATGATTGACATTGTCGATTGACACATTGCGTACCGAATGGACATGATGGATAACATTGATCATCCATTTTGTCTTCATCGACATTCGACCAAGTACATTCTCCATCAATACAGACTTCGTCCTTGTCACACGGAGGATCGCACACAAGTGGTGTTAATCTTGTTGGTTGTCTTAAACACACGCCTGTCTTTTTCTCACACAATTCACATTCATTTGTGCATGGATTATCTAACATCATATAGATTCGTAATGAATATAAGCTATATTTCATACTTACATTTACAAGTTGGTGGTAATGGATACCATTCCGATGGCACCATGCAAAATGCTCGACTAGCACCAATCATTTCATATCCATAATCACAGTCATAATCAACCGAAGAGCCGACGTCGTAATCAGTGACACGATAAACTCCACCAGGTATTGATGCCGGTTCGGAACATCCTAACTCATTATCATTATTCTTACTTATTTCTAGTCTTCTTTATATTTTACCTGAACAAAATGATGAACTCTTCAATTTACGCGTATCGATATCCATTTGATCGGATACTTGCGACCAGGAGAAAATATCGCCGGTTTGCTTTCGACAATCGCGATAGCTGACAAGTAATTGTTGTTCTGATATGATTTGTTGCCAGATTTCAACGCGTGTAATAAATCCGTGAAATTTTCGATGAAATAATTTTAATCTTCTCACATCTAATCAGATAAAGAAAAGTCATACTGATCATTTATACATGCCTTTCGATTGGGCTTACTTGCTTTGTGAATCGAAGTTTATTACTCGAAAATCAATCGATTGCTGACGTGCGCCATCAATATATAAATTTGATTGCTGATTTTCGGTTGAATATGTCCAAGCGAAATGCTTCCATCTTTCCTTCGGAACATTCCCAAACGTTGTTATCGGAGATTTGTTTTGATTATGACGTGAGTGAGAAATCAATAGTCTATTTTCAAAAATATTTTCAACACATAACGCCTACGATAAACACTACTCACCTGCTCTGTTGAATGGCTAATTCAAAGAGAATACTGCTATTATCTTGCTCGAATGAGAGTAAATGTGCTTTGGTATTATTCTCCAAATAGAACCAAAAGATAATAGTAAATTGTGATGCATTAAATGGTGTTAACTGTATTCCTGTATCATTATTCTGAATTTTTAATGCGTAATTTGAATAATCTATGAAATTAACAAAAGAATTACTCTAGCAAACAGAAAGAAACAATATAGAGCTTTTACCGAGATATTTCGCAGTTGTAGTTGTTACACGATGTGTTGTTGTTGAACTTGTAATTACAAGCGGCGTGGTTTCCGTGCCGACTGCAGAACAAATATGTTTTATTCTACATTCCAAATATAGAAATGCGCTCACCGATACAAACTTGATCATATCCCGTCCACCGGCCTATTCTTAGACACTCACGTATACGTGGACCAATCAAACGGTATCCTGTATCGTTACATCTAGCTCGACATTTCGTACCAAATCGAAACTTCGTATGATTCTGTTGGGGAAAACAATCTTGTATAACTCGTGAATGATTTTGTAATGCAGTGCAATGAATTTCTAAGAAAAAAAATCGTTAATAAACGAACCATCTCTTTGCTGACTTTACCTTCACATTTCGGTTGCTGCCCAGTCCATGTTCCATCGGAACGACATTCACGGTAACTGTCACCACTGACTAAACGATATCCAGGCAAACATCCAAGTCCACACAGCGAACCTGACGTATGTTTGCAATAACCCGAAAAGAAAAATGCATGCTGAGGTAATTGCATTACCGGACACGATTTCATCTAAGATGAAAATGGAAAGAAGAATGAATGGAATTGAACACGAGTTTTCAGATTTACCCGCGTCGCTGCATCCGTTGACAAAGTGTTCACTGTTAAAATCATGAAAAAGTAACCGATCACAGATCGACTTCGATACTTCGCTTTTGACCACCACATAACAGCAAAGACGTTGCTATGCATTCCAGTACTGCTATGTATTTGTCGAAAGAATAAAAAGAAAGAGAATCATCATAAGGATATCAAACGATGCAAATGCCTGTTTAATATCTTTCATTGAACATCTGGTATTGAGAGAACACAGATATAGGAAAATGACGTGATTGGTGTCATTAGGAAAGCGGATGATCGTTTATAATATATATGGAAGATTATTTATTTGCATAGATATATACAAATCAATGACATGAAAATAATATGTTGCCTGTAGATTGTACAGACGATAGTGTTGGCCTGTCAATGTCATTGTATTCATATTAGACAAGAAAAAGGACCTTGTCGTTAGCAGTTTTATGTATTAATCATCTTAGTGCCCGAGCTATTATCCTGTGAGGAAATTTTCCCAGTCATATTTATTCACAATAAATGAAAAGAAGAAGAAGAAGAAGATTCGTTTTTCCATGGCGGAAATCGAATGCAGATGGCTTTTCACGTATCTTGCTGAATACTTTCGACAATTTTCTTTATAAGTGATTTTATTGTCCCCATTGCCATATGAAAATCGGGCTCAACAGAGTCGATAGCTGCACACGTTTTAAACAATTGATACGCCGAGTTTTGCATAAAGTAAAAACTCGTATTACATGGAATGTTGAATGTACTACGATTGAATTTCATTGCATGTGCTGGTGCATTCGTCCAGACAAGAGATATCTGTTTGATTGGTATTCGAAATTCGCGAAATGTTTCCAGTTCATGTAGATGATTGATGAGATCATCCCAATCAGGATTTACATCAATGTCTGAACCGTCCGAAATGACAACGAGTGCGGCAAAATGATTAATACCACATAAATTACATAGAGAATCGATAATTACATAAACATCTTCGCCTTCGATGTTCCTTAGCGGATCAAGAAAGACGAGTGTTTTGTGATTATCGATCAAGAATGAATAGCGATCGAAGGCGAATTTCTGTTTTAAACGAGGCGATTTGATCACGATTTCTTTTTGATCAGGCGCGATCAATGTTTGAGGCAAACGGTTGCGATAGGAATGTTTATTAGCAAATAGATTCGCGACATAATGAATAAACGTTGTTTTACCTAGAAGGAAAACTCGCTGGTGTATGCATGAAGAAAAAAGAAGATCTTGTTCTTACCGGCTCCTTTTTCTCCCGCGACTAAAACATAATATTCCACAGTATCATTCATGTTGGGCAAGTGAGAAACTCGCATGGTCGCTTTCCAATCGATTTCATGTGTGTCGATAGAAATCGTTGTCGGGTATTTGATCGGTTGATTGATATCGTGCTTTAAATCTTCCAATAATTTCAACCAACGGTCAAGATCACGCTCAACGAAATTTTCCGTATGCTGCTGTTCTTCAAGTTCTTTTGCGACATACAACAAGCGCTCGCTAAGAGCATGATTCGAACGCGATTGATCAAATGCTTGTTTAATTGACATTCGAGCTTCGTCGGCAATGTGACGGCATGCGACTATTGTTCGATCTTCCCATTCATTTATTTGCCGGAAGAGGCTTTGAGCGTCCTCATTTTCGAATTGTTCACGGATCGCCGTATCTATTCGAGTATTCAAATCCTGAAGGATTTCATCGTGCTTATCGATGGTTAGATTGAGACTTTTCGACAGTTGGTTACGATGTTCAATAAAGTGTTTATTACAGAAATGATGGTAACATCCATGACATGACGTAATAGCAAGTGTTCTTTTTGGCGTACATAAACAACACAATTTATCATCGGAATTCATCGGACTAGCAGCCATGATGAAATGTGAGATCAATTTTATCGAAATATTCTAGAAGAAAAGAGCGAAGTCTCATTTTGTTGCTCAACTAGAAAAATACTAAGGAATATATGCGATCAGGTGAGCTTTAACACTAGATGTCACTTATGAGTATACAAACAATGTTGACGATCAGAATAATGAAAACAAATACATCGATTTCTAAAAAAAAGAATTAATTGAACTTCCAATGAATAATGATAATTTATGTTTACCTGACAATTAATTATAAGAAGTTTTCATACATTTGTTGGACACTTGAAGAAAATGTGCTACCGAGGGTGTCGATACACATGTTAAGTATGTTCGTACTTCGTTACTTCAGCTGTTTCGATGTTGCATAATGCACAACATCACGTACAACCGATCAAGGAAAATGTATTGACGGAACGAGGGAAAGAGCAAATTAGAAGGTAATATCAGTCGCGACTGTGACGACTATGGCCTTTAGTCGTTTACACGTTATGACCAAGGTCAGATCCTTGTCTGATCATTTCTACAGAAAAATAATAAATATGTACAAGAGCATCAGTGCGAACGACGCTGTTGATCTTCATCATATTTATCTTGACAAAAACAATTCGAATTGTATCTGATGACTGTTCTCTGTTAGTTGAGTTTATTGTTTGATCAATTAAGCTCTGTAGATCATTGAAAAGTATAATAAGCTCGATATTTGGTACAGAAAAAAAAACAGGGAGATCCAAATCAAGTTGAAAATCACTACTATTTATACAAAAAGAAAAGCTCATTGTGTTCAGTTATATTTCAATCGGTTTAGGATTTGGTTTTCGAATATGACGCATATTGGCACCGGGTTCACTAAAGAATCAAATAGTAGATGCTGTACTGAGAAATTTCACTCGTTCATACCTCGGTTTAAATGGTGCATGTGAACCGTATGGTTTAGCTATTTGAATATCAGCATCGTTATCTGGAGCGTAACGTTGAGGACGAGGTTGAGCATGTGTAACTATGCCGCCTGGTAGAATAAAGTGTTCCATCTCACGTTCTTTCTAAAAGAAAGTTATCGAAAGTCAGTCGGAATATCTTCGTGAAAAATGCGTACGTCTTCTCGAGTTCTCCGTTCAGTTTTACGTCTTTCTTCAAGTTCATTGGAACGTTGCCATTCGCTTTCAATATTTTCACTCGGTGGATCTCCCTAAATATCAAACAAGACTTTTCTTTTATAAGTCCCAAGTGACAATTAACAAAGTCAATTACTTGTTCCATTCGTGCATAATATTGTCTTAGTTCGACATCTTTCATATTTTTTTCTTGTTGAAGTTTTAACGAATCTGCTTGATGAATAGCCAACTCGGATAGAGTTGCCATCATTTTGCGTGTGATATCTTTGATTTTGTTCTGTAAATCATTGACTTTCTTAGCTAACGATAATGTATCATCTTTTCCGGCATCTGCTCGTGTTGATAAACGTTCAATTAATCGACTGACTTGTTCAAGTATGAGATCCTTTTCCAACGACTGTTCTTCTTTCGTCGACAAACGTTGCTCGAGCTAGATGCAATTTTTTTAAAATAATATCCCAAAAGCATTGATTCATAATTACCTGTTCAAGTTTCTTCATAATTGCTGCCGGAGATTCGTCTTCACCATCGAGAAAACGTACACGAGCTGGATCGTTCGGATTTTCCAGCGCTTTCTCAAGTTCGACTAAACGTTCTTGACATGATTCAAGCTGTAACATAGAAAGATAAGTACTAATTCTACAAATATCCGTCTTCGCTTACGCATATGCGATACAATTCTAGTTCTTTGTCTAGAGCTCGCTTGACAGGTAGTTTCTTTTTCGACAATGCAATTTCTCTTCTTTCTTCTTGAATTTGCAACTCTAACAAACGAACTTCATCATCTCGGCTTCGCGATTCAATATAAGCATTCTTTAACTTCGTATCTTGTACATTCACTTTTTCCTACAATAGTAATTGCTGTTTGCTGAACACGAAAAACTAAACTACAAAGGGATACGAACTTGAAAAACGACTTCTTCATTGTACCGTTCAACTAGCTGCACACTGCGTTCATTTCGATCGATAACAGATGCGTCATATGCTTTTTTCAATTTAGCTAATTCTTTCTCGGCAAATGCGATCAGATTATTATAATTTCGATTCTCTAATGATTGTTGCTGTTCTTGAATATTCAACTCTCGCAGGTATGTACGTCGCTTTTCGACTTTGTGTTTCTCTCGATCACGTTCAATCACGGATGCCACAACAAGTAAGTTTTTCTTTTGCAGATCCTTTTCTAATGTACTTAATTTTGTTCGTAAGATTTCGATTTCGTTTTCAAGTAATTTGATTTTTTCTCGCATCTCATTGGCTTTTTGGTGATTAACTTGAATGGAATTAACACATTTGTTTCGTTCATTCTTAATGACATCATACATCGTCGCGAATTCTTTCAGTTGAATCTCGAGATCCACGATGCGTTTCTGATGTTCGTAGATTTCATTCGTTTTTCGTTGTTTTTCCTCCAGAGCTGATTCCAGACGAGCTTTCGCTTTCATTTTCTCGCGACATTTTTGTTCGCGTTCATTAGAAACCACTGATGCGAAATGAGCCAATGAAACAGCGTCACGGCGGTAGTCACTTTGCTGCATAAGAATATTCTCGTGGTCCTTTTGAGCGTTGGTCAACATACTTTGATTAACAATACGTTGCTTATCCTAATGAAACATTTTAACATACTCATCACAAAAGCTATACAGATCAAACAAACAAACCTGTTTTTCACTAGCTTTACAAATATCATCGATTTCTCCTTTAATATTCTCCTGTTCAGTGTCGAAACTTGTATCATCGTGTGGTAGTGCTGCATACTAAAACGTTGGTTCGATAAAAATCGTTTTCCTTTTGAAATGCGCAACTTACGCGTAGTGTTAACCGTTCGACTGTCATTTTGGCACTAGCCAATTCATCTTCCGCGTGTCGATGTTGATTTTCAGCACGCTTCAGTTCTCTTAGTAGTCTTTCTTTTTGCTTTTGAAACTTTTGATGTTGCTCGCGAACTTGTCGACACATTTGTACGGTACTTTTCACTGCTTCTGTTGACTGACGTCTTTAAGAAAAAAGCAAACATTGAAGTTGTTTGTTTTGAATTTCTATTTTGCTTTTAACATACTCATCAATTTGCCCCTTGGTTAACTTCGCTTCTTCGAATGCAATTAAATTCATCACACTTCGAATCTCATCGTTTAATCGTTCACTTTGCTGATTTTGCTGATCGACTAATTTCGTTTCTTTGTATGTCGCAGCTTTGACTTTCGTTATTTCCTCGGTTAATTGTGCAGTCAATTCATTTTGTTCTTTCAATCGCATTTCCAATTCTTCGGTTTCGTGATCCGTCTGACTAAACATACGGAGAAAAACATCAAATCAACAGTCTCCATTTCACTTTGTCGAATCTAGAGCAGCAAATTAGCAAACTTTATACAGACGATTAGATTATTTTATGAAAGAAAGAGATCTGGAAGGATATAAGTCATACTGTAAGAAAAATTCTTGAGTAAAAAACAACATAAACATACTCTTTTTGAAGAATAAAACCATCGATTTGTTTTAGTAATTCGCCTGGTCGACTTGTTACTTGAAGGTGATCAGTCTATAAAAAAGAACGGGGGCTTCTAAAAAGTATCATCAGGGTCGGAATGTTAGAATTACTTCTAACGTCTCGATCGTTTGTTGAAGTTCTTCATGTTGTTTCGTCGCAATGTTAATCTTCTTCTTTTTGTCAGCTAATGAAACGTTCTGATCTTTGATTTCGGATTTTTTCTGCGCTATCTGCCGTCGTAAATCATCACATTCTTGACGGAGAGCTTTCACTTTCTCATCGATTTCATGCTGATTCGGTATTCGTGCCTTTTCGTTTTCCAATGAGCGTTTGTCTTCTTCCAAACTACACGATAATGCTGAATGAACAACAAACGAGAAATTTCTAGTCCATTTCACTTACGCTTTGATTTTGTATTCGAGGTCGAAGAGACGATCGTTTGTACAAGCTAAGTCATTGCTATATTTCAGTAAATCCTTTCGTCGCTGTTGAACTTCAGTCGTGATTTTATCTGGAAATGCCTCTCCTTCTTCTAGAACACGTTTTTGTTTTTCAATTTGAGATAGATATGTTTGTTCTTCTTGACGTAAACGCGCTTCTGCGTCACGTGATCTGTTTTGAACAAAGAAAGATCGATTGATCTTGAAAACAAATCATCTGAAATCATTACTGTGCTAAGGCATTCTGTAAATCCATATATTTCGATTTGAGCCATGCCATTCGCGTGCCAGTCAAGACTCCTTGTTTGAATAGCTGTAAGAGAAAAGGAATAAACACAACAGATTGAATTACAAGAGGAAATGCAGACTTCATCAAGTGAACGAAAAGCTGGTGTACCAGATTGATGCCTCATTTGTTCATCCGTATTGATCTCAATCGGTGGTTTTGCTTCGATTGGTTTTATACCGTCATAATCTTGTTGATTGGATAGCTCAACAAATGCATCATCCGTGACAAATGCATTTTGTTCCTGATCATTGATATCTAACTCGTTTTCGGAAATATTGTCATCTTCATTCGGAGATGATTCTCCGTCACTTCGATAACTCATTCTGAAACAATAAGCTAAACAAGCAAAGAAATTTTAATTTGAGATCATGGTTTGAAAAGGAGAAACAAAAGTTTTGTTCACAGTTGTAATATAGGCGACGACCATTCACGACGTTTGTTGACATGGTAACAGAGAGATTATCAATTATATTCAGCGATAATTATCAGAAAAAATGAATGATTTTAGTAGATAAGGATGAAATAATCAAGAGAAATATGAATTTTACTTCTGTGATATTGGGAAGAATGATCATGATGTCGCCCATAGTCAGACGTAGCTACTACGGTTGATACAAGAGACGAAATACAAAATTTTCATATAAAATGTCGATCAAATGAATATATGTGTATATTTTTATAAGATATAAATAAATTACAATGATTGATCAATTAGAAAGAAAAAACTTCGAAAACTCTTTTTAAAAGTCTGTTTGTCCCAATGTTGAATAATCGTTTCGTTCAGAAGTACCGTGTTCGCCCGTGAATTCGAGATGGCGAAAAGCTGCTACTGGAACAAACGATCGTTCATCAATACCTCGGTCATTGTTATCATTGACAACTGGTCGTTCGTGTGCTTCGAGATGACTGAATGCATCGGGATTAACATATGAATTTGTGTCGATCGATGCATCAGTTGAAGAGCGTATTGATGTTTTTGGTGCGTCATCCCGAATACCTTCAAGATACTTAAATGCATTCAGATTAACATAAGATTGTTGATCGATGCCACTTTCAGTTTGTTCAATAAGATTTCTTGGTTCTCGTTCAAGATGCGCGAGTGCATTAGGATTCTGTTCAAGTATAAAACTGCGCGTATCTATTTCTGATTTACAGTCATCGCTTTTCTTTCCTGGCCGACGATCGATGTATTGAAATGCTTGTGGACTGATATAAGAACGTTCATCGACATCAGGACCGTCGTCAACACGTGGTTTTGGATCTTTCTTCTCAATCCATTTAAATGCTTTAGGATTAACAATTGGCCGATAATCAATCGAAGATTCGGTTATCTCAGGTCGTAACTCTCCTTTTCTTTCAATATATTTGAACGCTTCGGGATTGACCATAGATGACATGTCAATGCCGGATTCAATATCACGACGAACTGGCGTACCGCGTTGTTCCAAATAACGAAATGCATCTGGATTCACGATTGGTTTATAGTCAATTCCGCCTTCTTCTTGATCCCTTCCATTATTTTCACGTCGTTTTTCTAAATATTTGAACGCATCAGGATTTATGATCGGTCGAGTATCGATGACTGGTTCGTTTGAAGCTTTCGATGGTTTAGGTTCACGTCGGCTTTCTAAATATCTGAAAAAAGAGAAACCAAAATTTGTACGGAAAAACTAAGTGTTCTTACTTGAACGCATCAGGATTCGTAATTGGTCTGTTATCAATTCCACCACCAGCACCTTGACCCTGTCGGTCGCTATCTTTGCTAGAATTTTTCTTTGCTTCGATATGACGAAACGCATTTATATCTACAATTGGTCTTCCGTCAATACCCGATCCTGAACCATCGTCACCTCGTACTCGATTATTTTTCTCGATCTGCTGCTGTCGACGTTTTTCTAATTGGGTTACAGCATCAAGATTAATTATGGGTCGCGTGTCGATACCACTACCATCGGCAGATACCGCTGGTTTATTTTGACTTTTTTGATCACTGGAATTTATATAGCGAAAAGCGCTTGGGTCAACAATCGGTCTATCGTCAATTTCTCCCAATGTTTCTCGATTATAAAATCCGCTTTCTCGACCTTGAGTTGCATATCGTGATGGTTTGACAGTCAAAGCTGGGTTAACGCGTCGAGTTGGCGTACCAGGAGTATTTTGTGAATATATAGTTGATTGTGGACCTTGCGTAGAGCGCACATTTTGATAAGATTGACTTGGTTGTTTTGATTCAACATATTGTGGTTGATTCGGTCTGACGATCGGTACAGGATTTGTTGAACGACGCTCAACGTATAAAGATTGAGGTATAGCAGTATTATAAGTATTTGGAGGATTCGGTTGTGGTCGACTTCCTGGTGTGATCAATGCTGGATTGGTTGTGTGCCGTTCAACATGCGAATTTTGCTGATTTGAACTTGATGGATGATATACGTAGTTCATCGGTTGAGTATTCGATCTTGATTCGTATGGATAATGAGAGCCACTAGTGCTGCCGCTGCGCATCGAAGACATCGTTCTAATGTATATGGAAGTAGTAATCGTCAGAAAATAACAGAACGGTACTATTCTATTAAGAGAAAACCTAACGAGGAAGTTATCAACGTATCATTCCATTCTCCTGTTTTGCTCTTTTTTCTATATACGAGCATAATCCTTTTTTCTTTTCTCTTTCTTTTCTGTAGGTTGTAGAGATATCTAACAGTGGGCATCAAATTAGGTCTCTTTTTGGTGCAGAGACCAAAAAAGTCAAACAGTTGTTTGGTTAATCGACGTGTTGTGTATCCGTGCGATGTTTTTGTATTCACGAGATCCGATAGAAAATAGCAATTGCACATATTTCCTTTTGGCTAGAATACATCTACGTATAATGATCATTTTGTTGTGTCCTACACAGATATGACATAGCGTTGATAAGATATTAAGGAGAAGGCATTCATATTGTTTCTCTCGTAGCAAATTTGATCAAGATTTCATAGTTATTTATCATTAGTACAATTTAATACTTATATCTCAAGAAAACATCTTCGATATGCTACGATCTGATGGAGTACATTATTAGTTTATTTTATTCTTGTTATGAATGATATATAAGCGTCATCTTCCTCGGAATTATTTTGAGCAGATTAGGAAAGCAAATTAGATCTTCCTATAAGTTATTTGTTTTTTTCTGACATTTGAAAATCAGATATATAGTTGGATCGAGTGATCATTCAACATAACGTGATAGATGATAAAAACTATATTAATCAGACGATAAATTGCAGCTCATAATATGTATTCAAGGCGTTGATATTTATATTGGAATTAAAATCTATCGTTTATTGATATATGGACTCAGTCACAGCATAGTATTTATTCATATAGTAGAAATTATATGCAAAATCCCATTTGTATCTAGATAGCAAATCTCAGTCTTTTAAACATATTAATGCGGACTCTCTACACATCTTTTTGCATAGATATTGAGAATAATGATATGAAAAGTGTTCGATGATCAAATTTACCTATGTAGGAACAAGAAAGATTAATCCCCGTTTCTTCGTATAAATATCATGTTATTTATTGCAATAAGCACTTATTGAATAGATGATGATTTGCACTTTAATATCGTTCTTCCTTTACACTCAAAGTACTTTTGGTCAGAACCTATCCTGGAATCGGCCGTGGCCATTTGTTCATGAAACTGGTGCAACACAACCTGTTAGCACAGATCCAGATGATCCAGCTATATGGGTTCATCCCTATCGGCCTGATTTGAGTCTCATCATTGGCACCGATAAAACAGCTATGATTGGCGGATTATATGTATTCGATTTGAATGGAGTCGTACAACAACATATTGGAAACATTGATCGCCCAAATAATGTCGATATCGACTATGGATTTCAAATCAATGCGACACATTCTATTGATTTGATCGTTCTCACAGAACGTATACAGAAACGGTTACGTATTTTCTCTATTGATGTTTCTACGCGTCATGTCTATGAAGTTCCAGTAACGAATCCGAATGTATTTGTTGATAGTAGTGGCGATCACTCAGCTCCTATGGGTATTGGATTATATAAAAGAAGGCATGATGGGAAAATCTACGCTATTGTCAGTCGAAAATCAGGCCCTAGCCGTGGATATCTTGGTCAATACGAGCTGATTTGGAATGGTCGATCAATCGATATGAAATTCATTCGATATGTAGGCGATTTTCAAGGTTCAGAAATCGAATCGATCGTTGTGGATGATCAATTAGGTTTTGTCTACTATTCTGACGAAGGATATGGTATTAGAAAGTATAATATCGATCCATCACATACGGATATTGCGCAAGTTGGTTTAATTAATACAACTAACGTATGGCAAGGCGATTCCGAAGGATTAGCACTCTATACAACATCAGCTACCGATGGATATCTAATCATAACTGATCAATTACCCAATGGTTCGATCTTTCATTTTTATGAACGGCAAGGTGACAATGCCTATGTACAATCAATTCGAACTCGTGCTGATAAAACCGATGGCATCGATGCGACAAGTAGTTATTTAGGTGAAAAGTTTCCTCGTGGTGTGTTAGTCATAATGAATGAAATTGAAAAGAATTTTCTTTTATATGATTGGCAAAATATTGACAAAGAACTCGATTTTATTAAAAACCATGTCTGCTTTCATCAGTTACATTTGTTGTGTTTAATTTTAGAATCTTGTATCATCTTCACCATCCTTGTTTGGTAAACCATTAGGATTGTTGTCGTCATCTCTTTCTTCTTCTTCGTTATTTTCATATTCAACAAATGACTGTGCTCTCGAAACTTTACGAGGAGCATCATAGGTTGCCGCGTTTCGATTATTCGAAACTTTCTTCTCGACGCCATTACTTGAAGTATTATTAGGCTTTTGTGAGCGTGCAGCAACAAATGAAACAGTCTACATACAAAACCAATTTTCGCTTGATCATTGCACTACGAAATAGCTCTCACTCACTTTTCGTCCATCTTCATATGCACGTTCGACAAGTACCAAAGCAGTAGTTATATCAATGTCGATCAAACTGTAAGAGCCAGCTTGTATCAAATAATCACCTTCTTTCAATACACCTACAAACGAATAGCAATACAAATGTTCAATAATAGAATTCTCGAAAGTTAAGAGCTCATTCACCATGCATGTCGATCATGCCATTTGGTAAAACCTCATCAATAAAAATATATGGTTCGTCGTCAACTTGACCGAGCACTAATCCAATTTCTGCGTCCTACAAGAACGAACACGAATATGTATTCAGACACGTGAAACACATATTCCAACTTTTTCGATTTCCACCGGTAGCAGTTGATATTCGACGCCTTTGACCTGCGATGAGAACAAAATTTGTTAAGATAAAGAGAAACATTTGTGCAACCCACTTTGATGGATGACTTTCGTACTTCAGCTAGATCGGGTGGTTCGACGACTAGAGATCAAGAAAATAAAATACCTTCGATCATTAATTACAATGATAACGAGATGATTACTTGACGGACGTTGCGCCACTCGACGATTTTTCAATGGAATACTATGATCACCACTAAATCAATGAAAATTTCACGAAATGTTCAAATCGAATAAAAAATACTTACTTTCCAGGTGATGAAGGGTATGTTCTTGCCTAGAAAGGATACCAAAAATGAAAGTTTCACGATAGAAAAGAAATGTTTTCGTGGTACATACATTTCTACTCATTAGACCAGCTTGTTTCTTATATAGTGAAAACTTCACACAACTTTTCGATCTTCCAACAGTTTCTTGTATTCTCTCAAATAATTACATCAACTATTCACAAGATATCATATCTATTCGTGTTTGTTATCAGAATCACCCGACAACGTGTTTACTTTTTTCTTCCTTATCACAAGTCAGTATTTTTAGTTGCAAACTCGAATTCGAATACTTTGCACATGACGAGAAAATACTTGTTAGTAGTATGTAACAGCACTCAACTCAATAATATTTACATACCAGTAGTTTGTGTTACGAAATGTCCTCTCTACCATGACAAAAGTTTGACATAATCAGAGCCTAATCAGAATATATGATCAACGATGAAATGTATCGTTTCATTTTGTTTCATTTTATTTTCATATCTTTCTGATGAGAACTACACATATAAGCACAAATGACATCAAGCAAAGAGAGATTATACATCTTGATCGACGCATAAACACGCTCAAATAACAGTCCACAGCAATAGAAATGAGAAAACAAATCAAAGAAAAAGTACCTATTCATTGATACAATGATAAGTAGTGTACAACAAACAACAAGAAATAAACAAGAAGTTGAGGAGAAAAGATCTCTACAAATGATGTTAAGCGGACCTGTGTTTTAACTAACAAATAATGACAAAACAAAAAGAAACAAACAAACTAGATATCGATAAGGAGCGGGTTTCATTTTTCCTGTTTTTTATCGGCTAATTATTCGATTTTTATTTATTGAGCGCCTGGTTTAGCTGTTGCTTGTGGTAAACTACCTTGAACTGGTGTTTTCTTACCAATAAGAGACTAGAATATCGAAAAACTATGTAATTTCCATCCGTTGCAAATCGTTAACAAACAAACCTTGTGAATATGTGGTATGACACCACCACCAGCAATTGTTGCCTTAATTAATGTATCTAATTCTTCATCACCACGAATAGCTAATTGTAAATGACGTGGATTGATACGTTTTACTTTGAGATCTTTTGATGCATTACCTAAAGGAATATCATCACCAGTATATTGTACTATTCAGCAAAACTAGTTCGTTACTAACCAGCAAGTTCGAGAACTTCAGCAGTTAAATATTCGAGAATAGCGGCAGTGTAAACTGCAGCAGTTGCACCAACGCGGCCATGCGATGTAGTACGTGATTTTAAATGACGATGAATACGACCTAGAAGTATAGAATGAACTAAGATTATCTAATGAAGGGAGAAATGGCACTTACCGACAGGAAATTGAAGGCCAGCACGGGCACTTCGTGAAACAGCTTTAGCTTTGGCTTTGCCATGATCTTTACCTAGACACACATTTCATTTTTTCAAACAACGAACTTTTCAAATGAAACAAGGCAACTAACCAGCTTTGCCACCAGCCATTGTAGTTGTCAATATCAAGTGGTCAAGAGAAAACGTGAAAAAGAAAGGCAAGTGATGAATAAATCTAGAAAATGATAAATTAACGACAATTATTTGGCCTTTCGTTCAAAGTAAATATTCATCGGTCTCAGCGTTCACTGCATTTGTGAATGGCATTCATTCGATGGAAGTGAACTTCCATCTCAATCACAAGAAATGTCATCATCATCAACCGAATAACTGTTTTACTTTTCAAAAAATCGTGTACACTACATTCAACTGTCTGTAGAAGTGATCATGAATATGCCAACAGCAAATATTCTACACCAGTCAAACAAAGGACATGAATCACGTGAAAACAGAGAAGACGTCGTTCTCTTTCTTTCTTCCAAGCAGCAAGACGGCGGACTAAGTCGATATAGATGTGTACGTTGTATTTTTTTTCAGCGAAAGGAAGAAGAGAAAGACCCTCACGATCGAACATACGTGTCGTATGTGTGTCTATTCGCCGTCGTCGATACAACAAGATGAATGTACGAGTGCGACATATTCTCTCCATCGGTCAGAATCTATTTGCATACGTAAGAAAGAAAAGCTGACAAGGTCAAAAAGAAGAAGACGAAGGAAACTATATTCTATGATACGATTAAGTACAGTAGTCTGCTGATCACGTTGGATCGGATAGTATCGTTTCGGTATACACGGATAAATGATAATTATTAAATAGTAGAGGAATGAATTTAAATTGGAGTAACAAGTAAAGTGATGCTTATCTCTGTCTGAGAAGAACAACTGTTGATTCTTTATCGTGAATTTAATAGCCGTGAAACGAAGTTTATCAGTTCGAAGGTTCATTTCAAACTGTTTTAGCGTGTTACAAGCAGAATTGAATAACCAAACGCATGAAGTTCATAAATCGTCAGTTTGACATTATTATAATAAGAACTATGAAAGCAGTTTTATTTAACTGACATATTTTATTCACTCTTCTCCGTATCGTTTGTATATTTCACCTTTCATCGTGAAAGTTCAAGGTTTTTTGTTCCAATCGTAACCTGATAAGAACTTCGTTCATATACATTTATTGAACTAATAAAGTATTTAAAATCAAATGTGCAGAAAAGCCTAATTACACGTTGTAAACATAATATACAAAATAGATCGTGAGATTTGTGCAAAAATCAACCATACACGAGAACGAAAAGTACATAGATTGGTAGAAGATGCTGAACAGGACGACTTCGTTATTTTTTCTTCGCACCTTTTTTGATTGTTTCCATATTTGCCCGTTTGCGCTGTTCGAATACATTCATTTCTTGTTCGAGCAAACGCCATTTTTCATCACATTTATCTTTTTGATCTTTATATTGCTTTTTGATATCTGTTAGTTGCTCGTTAATCTAAATCGTAAGTTAGAGTTAAGGAACCTTTTGTTTCTCTTCTTGTGTATTTACCTGTTTTTCCGATTCTTTTAAATCCAATTCCTTTTCTTTGACTTTTTCGATAAATTTCTCTTTTAATTGTTGTTCACGCTTTTCAAGTTCTTTTCGAAGTTCATTGCGTTTCATTTCTAATGTATCGCTAATCGACACTTGCTTTCCATCAACGCTATCTGTTAGGCCAAGTTCAGTTAAGCGGTTTCGTCGAAAGATTTCATAATGTTTCGAATGTGTGGTCTCGATTAAATCCAACATATTCTTTTCAATCAAGCTATCGCGTAATTTTTTAAAATCGCAATGATTTTCATTCTCAACTAAAACAATAAATCACAATCGTGATACTCGTCCGATGAACAGATTATTAATTTCATCATACAAGGTGACACATGGACAAGGAAATATGTTATCTTATCCTTCGATTTCACATTACCATCAAGGATAGTTTTAATTCGAGGAAAGAAAAGACATCATTCATCAATATATATATATACATAGATGATAAAACATCAAAGAACAGACATCTGGTACTATTCTACGCCAATGATTTTGTTATATCAAACTTTTAGTTAATAGGTGAACTTTTATTTTAAGGAGACTCACCTTGAACAACGCCCCATGGGTATTGACGTGCTCGTACGTATTGATTGCCAACTTTGACTGTTTCGTTACTGCCAACAATAGCTAATGGAAGAAGGTTCTTAAAAGTAGAAAAGAAAGAGACAGTGAATTGAGATGGTATTATGAATTTCAAACCTACGTTCGCTTTGAGATTCTCTTCTGCTAATGTTTCATCATCGACAGGAAAACGATAGATCTTAATTCCAGCTGAATTTAACTCGTTGAGAATATTTTGTTTGAAACGTTGTAATTCGTTTTTCGATATTGTATCAGATTTAGCAATGATGGGAATGATGTTCACTTTCATGTCCAAATATTTCATTGTAACTAAATCTAATGCTTTCAATGAATGGCCCGTTGGATTGATAAAATATAAACAAACGTGAATTCGTGTATCATGATAATTCGCTAGGTTTCGTTTGATTTTCAGTTCTTCATCAAGGTACGACTGAAACTGTTCGTCGATGAAATCTCCGATGATCTTAAACGATTCGTCTTTGTTGATCTGATCACCGAAACCAGCCGTCTCGACAACAGTCAATTTCAGACGAATCTCACGTTCAAATAGATCATATGTGTTTTTGCGTAGACACACACGAGTGTTATCATGTGTCGAGGGTGTAGAATCTAATCGTGTATTGAATAAACTATCGAGTAAAGACGATTTACCACATGCTGTTTCACCAACACATAAAATATTGAAAACAAATCCATCNGTAAAACATGTGTTGAGATATGTATTCAATTCAACAATCTTCAATGTTGAAAAAAGAATGAGAGTAAGATGATCAGAAAGAGAGAGAGAGAGACAAGGAGAAAAATCGACAAAAAAAGGCCACAGGGTGATTTATTTATTTTAATAATTATTGAGATAGAGAGGTTATGCTTTAATTGGACGACATGGTTGTGAGAAGGAAACGAATGATGTAATTTCGACCGTGTCTCATCACAATCTTTTCTGTCCGGGTGCCATTTATGTTTACATATAGATATACACATCAAGATGTATATACAGAGTCACAAGAGATTAATGAAGAGGGATAGTCGAGTGTGAGCTTAAGGCAAAAATATTCATTAATCAACTGTCCTCAATCGATTTGTCTTTTTTTTTGCTTAAGAAGCCTAGATAAGGTATGCGCGTTGCTCAACAATGTCATATGAAAAACACAATTGATAAAATAACATTCGATGTGAATAAAAGGAGAAGAAGAAGGAGAAAAGAGTGTGCTGTAGCTATGTATGTGTAGAAAAAGAAGTCAAACACAATAGAGTAGTCAGTTAGTCAATTTGATTGTTTGAAAAGAAAAAGAATTACCCAAGGTGTCCGTTCACTCTTGTCTAGAACAACATTCAATTACGGGTGCAACGTATGACGTCATACAATTCAATTAAATATATTTTTTTATTATTACGGCTGTCGACCAATATCTATATAAAATAGCGTGACTTAGCACTCAGGCTAAAGAAGCCTTGACAAAAGGAGATTTGTCTTTACAATGCTATTTTCAACATGCGATCAAGTTAATAATAATCATCATCTATCTATGAAAACTATGTCGAGACATCGATTATTACTACTTTACGGAGTATGTGCTAAAACAGGCGGTTCCTAGTTGTTGTTTCCGATGTCATTGTTAAGCTAGTTGATAAGCATGTGTGCATATATACATAGACGATAGGAATGTTTACATGCCCGCAATCATAGTCTGATCTTGATCTGTTAAATGCTCGCAGGAGCAGTTGTTCAAGAATCAAAAGAAAAGCAAAGAATACTATGGCTTTTTTTCGAACATGTTTGTTTGATCTTCCATCGACAGTTATCTACCTTTATAAACATTCTTACAGAAGATGAAACGAGGCTGATGATGAAGTTGTTTCTCTCACGAGAATTATGCAAGCAATTTTATTTCGCTTCTTTTGTACATTGTGTGACAGACAATTATAATACCTAGATGAATTTCATCGTCAGCTTACATACAATACAGTTTAATAGCATATACAAGGTTATATTTGCTTTCTAGGCTTTCTCTATCTATCACGTGAGAACAAAGGTGATTATGCATTGCAAGATATCTATACAGCATTACATTGGTTAAAAAATTATGTGACAAATTTTAACGGCGATCCAGATCGAATTACACTCTATGGAACAGGATCAGGCGCTGTCTTAGCTAGCCTTGTTGTGATGCTCGAAACTGTCAATGGTTCGTAAATATTTTCATTGTTTCATATCGATTTCTTTTCTCTACTCTTGTATCAAATTACCTTGAATTTAATCTTTTATATTATATACTAGGTGGTACGGGAACAATTAAACGTCGCAAATCCCTGGTTCATCGTTTAATTTTAAACGATCAAACATTTCTCTCTCCTCACATGACATCGATCATCAATGAAGTCTCATCGTTTCAAAAAGATATCCTATCCCATTTATCATGTACAACATCTCAATGTTTACGTAATCAGTCTCAAATCAGTACAAATCAATTCCTAGACTTGAATACTTATTCAAAAGATCATGGCTACATCAACTACATGTGTCCATTGGAGAATCCATTTCCATTCTTTAATACACAATTTCAAACTAAATCTGATCAGAAAAATCCTTTGCGAATCAAATTCTATCACCAAGCAAATGCACTTCTCCCTGAAAATCTGCCTATTCTGCTGACAACATCATTAAATGCTAATCGTTCATTAACGAAACAAGTCGATGTTAACAATATTCTCATTGATAGTTTACTCAATTATGCTTATACAAAATGGGATCGTCAAACTCATGAATATCGTCTTGACGAAACACTATTAAACTATCATCAACAAATCCTTGCACCTCTCCTTAAATATGCTAAATATGCATCAAATTATCGCAATATTCATATCTTAGAACGATATGCAAAGAAATATCAATCCGAATTACCATTCACGTTTGGCTATGTTTTAGCACCATCTATGAGTATTTTCAATGAAACATATTTCAATGCGAATGAAAACGATCGAATCGAAAGTATGAAAATCATGGATCTATTTGCGAAGTTATTACATAATGGGTAAGAGATTATAGTTGTCGACTATAGACTAATATTCTCGCGTGTTCTCTTAGAAATATCAATATCAATTCACCTTATTGTAAAGATAATCAATGTGAANAAAAGAAAACTTACATAATCAAAATAAATCTCTAATGTAAGCTATAGAGTTTTTTATCTTCCACTATACTTTTTAGCCAAAAAAATTAATTTAGAGGTGTCAATTTCTTTAGAAGAAAATCGAATCGGCTTGCAAAAGAGTCAAAGGCATAAAAGATGTCCTACTTTTAATTCTTAAAATTACCATTTTAAATGTCAAAACAGAATTCAATGAGCATGCGTATTCCAATGCCATCTTTCTGCGCACGCCAACAATTCGTAACTGTTGAAATGGTTACACGTCATTTGTTTTCGTCAAAACTATATATAACTACATCATCACCATGAGTTACTACTCATAACGAATAAACTCAAACATTTTTCATCGCTTCCAGTCTCTACGGTACGGTCTGCTGCACGATTAAAATACAACATGCACACATTTTCCACATTACCCGTCGAAATTTTCTATCGAATCATGGATCATCAAAATGAGCTGACACTATTTTGCTCCATGCAAAATATTTCCCGGCGGCTCAATCAGATTCTGAGCACCTATGACCGATATCGAGTAAGTTTACTAGGCACCTTAACACTCTTGTCGGTTGTTCTACATGTAAGCCTAACGATATTTGACGTCGTAAATTTCCTCATAGAATGAGGTAAAGTAATCTCATAGTACCCATACAATTCGGTCGAATAAGACAATCGCAGTGTGAAGTCGTATGAAATCAAGCATTCCTCCACTCTCTCGCCTTTCTCCTATGTATGCTGAACTATTCGATACAAAAGTGTATCAACTATCACTTTTCATGAAACTTCCCAAATGAAGCAAACTGATCTCCACAATTTCTGAGTCTATGCCCGTATTAATTCTCACTCTCACCCACACCAAATCCAACTCCCACATATCATGAAAGTAGGACTTCTATTTCATTGGAGCGCCATCAAAAGAGATATCTCACTAGAATCAATAACTATTGATAGTTATACCCTACTCTTTCTACTCGGTCAGCTCACCGTAGTCTCCTCTCTATATTACCAACACAGTACTTCTTCACTAAACGCAATCTTTCCTGCGCCACACCACACCCTCATTGACCCCAAAAAACTGACATCTATATCCAACTGCTCCGTACAAATCGTCCCCCAACATGCCTATTTCCTATCACACATATGCAATCAGAAGCATCAAAAAAGGTTCTCTTAACTACTTCTCCTTTTCATAATATATTACTTTATTGTAGACATTCAGCACTCTAAACCTCCAACGCCGCAGAATCGGTTATGAAGGGGCAGAACGCATTGCGAATGCGTTGCGAATGAACACGGTACTATTGATCTCAGTTCACGGAGGGTCATGTATTCAGTCTCTCTCACACCTACAGACACTCACCACGCTAGATCTCCGCGGTAACGAAATCGGTGCTAGAGGGGCACGACACATTGCGGATGCGCTGCGAACGAACACAGTAATATCGATCTCAGTTCACGGAAGGTGAAGTAATTAGCCTCTCTCACACCTACAGACACTCACCACGCTAGATCTCGGCTATAACAGAATCGGTGCTGAAGGAGCACAACACATTGCGGATGCATTGCGAACGAACACGGTAATATTGATCTCAGTTCACGGAAGGTGAAGTGCTCAGCCTCTCCCACACCTACAGACACTCACCATCCTCACCCTCACCCAAAACGGAATCGGTGATGAAGGGGCACCACACATTGCGGATGCATTGCGAACGAACACGGTAATATTGATCTCAGTTCACGGAAGGTGAAGTGCTCAGCCTCTCCCACACCTACAGACACTCACCATCCTCACCCTCACCCAAAACGGAATCGGTGATGAAGGGGCACCACACATTGCGGATGCATTGCGAACGAACACGGTAATATTGATCTCAGTTCACGGAAGGTGAAGTGCTCAGCCTCTCTCACACCTACAGACACTCACCACGCTAGTTCTCCGCGGTAACGGAATCGGTGATGAAGGGGCACAAGGCATTGCGGAAGCGTTGCGAACGAACACGGTAATATTGATCTCAGTTCACGGAGGGTGAAGTGCTCAGCCTCTCTCACACCTACAGACACTCGCCACGCTAGATCTCCGCGGTAACGAAATCGGTGCTAGAGGGGCACGACACATTGCGGATGCGCTGCGAACGAACACAGTAATATCGATCTCAGTTCACGGAAGGTGAAGTGCTCAGCCTCTCCCACACCTACAGACACTCGCCACGCTAGATCTTGGCACTAACCAAATCGGTGCTAGAGGAGCACAACACATTGCGGAAGCGTTGCGAACGAACACGGTAATATTGATCTCAGTTCACGGAAGGTGAAGTGCTCAGCCTCTCTCACACCTACAGACACTCGCCACGCTAGATCTCCGCGGTAACGGAATCGGTGATGAAGGGGCACAGGGCATTGCGGATGTGTTGCGAACGAACACGGTAATATTGATCTCAGTTCACGGAAGGTGAAGTGCTCAGCCTCTCTCACACCTACAGACACTCACCACGCTAGATCTCCGCGGTAACGGAATCGGTGATGAAGGGGCACAAGGCATTGCGGAAGCGTTGCGAACGAACACGGTAATATTGATCTCAGTTCACGGAGGGTGAAGTGCTCAGCCTCTCTCACACCTACAGACACTCGCCACGCTAGATCTCCGCGGTAACGGAATCGGTGATGAAGGGGCACAGGGCATTGCGGATGTGTTGCGAACGAACACGGTAATATTGATCTCAGTTCACGGAAGGTGAAGTACTCAGCCTCTCTCACACCTACAGACACTCACCACGCTAGATCTCCGCGGTAACGAAATCGGTGCTAGAGGGGCACGACACATTGCGGATGCGCTGCGAACGAACACAGTAATATCGATCTCAGTTCACGGAAGGTGAAGTGCTCAGCCTCTCCCACACCTACAGACACTCGCCACGCTAGATCTTGGCACTAACCAAATCGGTGCTAGAGGAGCACAACACATTGCGGAAGCGTTGCGAACGAACACGGTAATATTGATCTCAGTTCACGGAAGGTGAAGTGCTCAGCCTCTCTCACACCTACAGACACTTGCCACGCTAGATCTCTGCGGTAACGAAATCGGTGATGAAGGGGCACAAGGCATTGCGGATGTGTTGCGAACGAACACGGTAATATTGATCTCAGTTCACGGAAGGTGAAGTACTCAGTCTCTCTCTCACCTGCAGACACTCAGCACGCTAGATCTCGGCTATAACAGAATCGGTCATGAAGGGGCACAACACATTGCGGATGCGTTGCGAACGAACACAGTAATATTGATCTCATTTCACGGAAGGTGAAGTACTCAGTCTCTCTCTCACCTACAGACACTCACCACGCTAAACCTCGGGTCGAACGCAATGAGTGCTGAAGGAGCACAACACATTGCGGAAGCGTTGCGAACGAACACGGTAATATTGATCTCAGTTCACGGAAGGGGAAGTACTTAGCCTCTCTCACACCTACAGACACTCGCCACGCTAGATCTCGGCTATAACAGAATCGGTGATGAAGGGGCACAACACATTGAGGATGCGTTGCGTAGGAATGCAGTAAGACCGATGCTTTGTTGGAAGAAATTTCGAATATCTGATTTATCTAATTGTTAGAGCATCAATATGGTGTAGATCTCGCCCTGGATGGAATGGGAGAACAAGTGATAGTGGATCTGGTGACTCTTTGCATAGAAAGGGTGCTTTTTGATTGAGAAGTTAGTCGATATTATTTGGTGTGTGATTTTGGTGACAGTGCGAAGTAGTTAATGAATAAAAAAATTAATTTTGTTGTGAGAAGTGGATGTGACCAGAATGAGAATGCTTTTTGTTGTGGGAAAATATATGTGGAATAGTGGATGTGAATGCTTTATTTTGTGGAGGTATAACGGTGCAGTGTTTGACGGAAGAGCTGTGATGGTACAATGCGTTTAGGGGAGGTTCTCTTGGTTTGGAATTGTTTCCTGAAAGTGTGTGATTGACAAGACAACATTACTGCAGACTGCTTTACTCTATTGGCGATTGAATAGAACTGAATCGACAGGAGTACAGCACGTATGCATTTTACAGGTCAGATCTTGTAAAAGCGAAGTGATCAGACCATGGCACATTGAATGGGAACGACGTTTCATTAATATGTAGCTGTTTCATGTTTGATTCCAAAGTCTAAATGTATTGAGAGCTTGATGATGAAGTGTTATGTTTGTTTGTAATTTGTTTTTGGAGAGAGTAGTATGTATCCGTTATCTACGAATTCCATGGTGCATTGGAAAGAAACAATGTGTTACAGAGTGACTAAAATGGCACAGTGAAGAGAGAATGGCCAAAAAGTAGCGCACCAAACCGCACTTTTAGGTTAATGATTTCTCACGATCAGTGTAGTCTGAGAAGAAGTGATTTTGTCGATTATGATCAGCTCGATTCACTCTCAGTGTTGATCCATAATAAAATATCAGGGAAGTATTTGTTGCAACATTTTATCGCGGAAAAAGCACTGGAATATACTCTCGAGCTTGTTTGTATTTTATTCTGATAACAGGGTTTTTCGTTTACGGTTTGCTTACATCGAAAATCTCTACACTGCTTGAAACGATAGCAAATTTGAGGCCGTAAGAAAAGCGGAGGATAACCAATTTTACAAATTTTCTCAGTCAGATTCAGACTGGTACATTTGATATCTAATGATAGGCAGCTATTGAATCTCACACGAAAGGATGATCTTTGAAGAGAAGTGGATTTTGACTATCTGAAGTCACTCCAGACTGATTTTGTGTTTGTAGTGTTGCTAGATTTTGAAATGTATCTGAAATGGTATGTATATATCCCACCTGTTTGCAAGAGGTTAACAGTACTTAGTCAAAGTACACTCATATAAATCGAGTGGACTGAAAGTATACAAAGTGTCCTCATCTAAGTACAAATAATTTTACTTTTAATCGAAGCATTTGCGTACATTTAGTCACCGTTTGTTTATCAATACAGCGTCCTCAACGAATACAGCTGTTTAGTAATAGTCTGTACGTGATGTAGATAAAAGGTAGAATTTACAACAACCAGCACTGGTATCCACGAAGTCCGATATAATGCTATCGACAGAATTTGTATATACGGATATATAAAACAGTCAGAGATAGCGTGTCCATAGACATTAAAACTTTTTAACTGGGTATGCAGTCACTTTTTATTGTCATTGTTAAAATGAGGTAAACATGCTTGGATTAGTTACTGTTCTTTGCTTTTCAGTAGTTGCTGAAGCTTCTCCTAACACATGAAAAAACTAGCCTTCCACGTTTGTTGCAAATAGAGCGCTCACGCTCAAAATCATCGTCTCCTGACGGTAAATCTTGTTGAATTTTCAGTTTGGATCTAATATTTCCAACAAAAGCGAAGACCAAGTTCAAGATAACGAATACGTGCACAATGAGACTTATTTCAATATACATATGTAATTTATAAGTAGTGTTCGCCCATTGAACTCGCTGATCTGATACTAAAATGGTAGAACTATATATTTCAGCATACTTGAAACGCCATAGAGACTTGTTTTACCTCATAAACCAAACTACTTGTCTCTTTGTAAAAAAAAGCCGTTTTTCTAATCCTATCCGAATTACTCGTTGCAGTGACGCAACCAGTGGCGGCGTAAATGGCAATTGCCCATTGAAATATTTCTGAGTAAGGTTTTGCTCACTCATATTTTACTTCTTAAAATTGACATATTGATTTATGAGTGAGATAGTAGCTATGTATTTGTCGTCTTGATTTTGGTATTCGATTTAAATATACATGTTGCAAAGCATAAAAAATATGCCAATAATCGTTTGACCTCAGCCTGAGGTTTCTGTAAACCTGCAGTTTCCTATTAGAAAAACGTTGTCTAGTTTCACTATGTCTCTGCTCTTCTGAACGCTTTTCGCATATTGATAAGACAAACTTTTTTGGCCCGTCGATAAAAAGCCTGTCCACTTTGTTCATCATCTTTTTATTATGTAACAGAAGTTTGCCCATTGGCCTAAAAATTCTGGTTGCGCCACTGACGTGTTGTTTACTTTTAATTTGTTTCTAATAATGAACGTACTGAAAACAACTTCGGTGACGAATTATGTAATTGAATATATCAATTAAGCAGTAAAGTAGATTTGTGAGGAAATCGTATAAAAACTATGTATTCAGCTAAGATATGCAGCCATTTGTTTGTACTCATAACTTAAACATATTTTCAAAGTAAAAACAATGCTGCGGAGTTAGAACAAGGAAACTTCCTTCGTTTAATAATTGATTTCACAGAACAAAAAGTAAAATTTCTACGAAATAATACACGATAACATATTTTCCAAAAAACTAATGTGTATAACATCTATATGAGAAATCGGGTGTCACTTTCATTGTTCATTATCATTTCATGACTTGCATTGATAGTATGTTCAAAAATATCTTTATAATAAATAGAAAAATGATATTTTCTTAAATTGCATATATGATACCCCTCCGTACAACAAACTATTCATTTAATCCGATAAAACTGCTTTTCTCTGATATATTCCACTGAAATGAAGATTTTCTTACAGCTATCTCATGTATGAATCTATTGTACAAGAATTCGAAACAGTCACCTTCAAAACTTCCAACTCGGTGCCCAAAAGTAAGAGATTTCTTTTAGAATCAACAATGCCACCATCGATATTTTTAAAAATCAACTGGAAAGAAAATAGTTTGACCAGAAAATTCACATTCGTTCGCAATTTCTCACACCCAACATCTAACAAAGTGCGCCATTTATAAACCCTTTAACTTGTCTTTTATATGACATGCTTAGATTATTCGATAAACATTCATCAATAAAGTCTAAAATCTCTGAAAAATAATAATAAAAATATCAATTAGTAATAAAAATTTCCGATATGAAAAATAGCTATTTGTTCATGTGAATTTATCAATCTGAGTTTTTGTCAATGTGCATGTGCATGATAAGTTGACAATCAGCATTTTCCTGAACTGTATATAACTTAAAATTGATAAATAAGACATGGAATCGATAGGATCCATCGAGTTCTACTTGAAACGCAGGAAACGAGAGTTGGAATACACTCGTGTGCGAATGCGTTCAAGAAAATGTCGAACCCGCGTCCAGTTTGACAAGTATATTGTGTAGAAGGTAGTGGACAGAATGCTATCCCTGGATGCGATGTGTGCGAAAATAGTAGTCTATGGAACTCGCACAAAACGACTTAGTGTATCTTACATTATGATAGCTGTAATTCATGAAATAAGAAGAAGCGATATGAGCTTAATATGATGATTGCGTTGTTTGCTGAGAGACGTCAGGCTTTTCGATATGATTTTAGAGAGTATACATCATAAAAATGTATGTCCACCAGTGCAATTCTTTCTTATTAGCCATAGAGACATCAGCTGTACAAATAGTATTCTAAACATACGAAGCAATATGATGTGTGTGTTTTTCGCAGAAATCATAAAATAAAACTTTTGATCTGACTTACTTTGGTAGCCCAATGAGTGGAAGACCACCATTGTAGAAACAGCAATGAAAAGAAACGTAGATATTTACTCTGAAAGTTAATCAAATGTGAAAACTATAATAGAGGCAGCCATGGCAACGAGTAGGCGGCTTTTTCCCGAAAGATATTCGCAAGATGAATTTCGTATGAGTTCCAACTCTTATTGATGATTTTTCGAAGGAACGTAATTGATGTCTCTTTGAGCTTCGATAATAAGCCCTGCGAATTATCAGCTCCTTAAACTGAAGCGAACAATAAAATATGTACTCTGAATGATACAGTTACGAAGAATTCTGACAACTTCGATTAAAGACCGACTCAGTGCGGGCGGTTTGTTTTTGTTTATATGAAAGTATAATATATATTCATTATGTATCAACGGCTAGCCGTAAGTGGCCGACCGACTAGACTTCAAAATCGAACTGCGAAGATTTTTAAAAAGGGTTTGACGAACGTTCGTCAATGAAAATATTCGACACAGTTTCATTCTCTTGAAAGTACAGAAAAGAATCAGTTGTTGACTGTAAAATACAGCGTCACAGTTCAGCTAACAACTAGTAGCAAGTGTGGTGCCTTATTCGTTTTCCAACGGATTTCCTCGACTTTAGGAGTCGGATCTTTTGTATTGTACTATGTGAATGATCACTAATGGGGATTTTTAGGCATGTTAGCTGCAGATCCTCATCTGTACAACGTTTTTTCTCGGTCAACTATTTGGTTCTTCGGTCTTCATCCTTTGAAAATTTCTCATATGTTCCTAAACATTTCATAACGACACAGTGAATCAAATGATATCACGTCTTTTATGCTAGTGGTCACCCTAGGATTCATTGAGAGCCCTCGGCGAAATAGTCTTCTCCAAAGAAGATTTATAGGTTTTCATGAATTAAGACGAATAAGTACAATGATACTATGCAGTTGGTCAATACTGTAAAGTAACAAAGAAGTCACCGAATCTCAGGTACAAGTTCGCTAGCAAATGCATTGGCCTGCTGTTTCGACGTTGCATGAAAACAACTTTTGTTTTTCCTTGAGAGTTTTCACGTCATTTTAAATTTCTTTTTGAATACATTATCAAAAAGAAAAGAAAATACTTAATGCCTCCAGTACAAAACG